CCCGCGAATTACACGCCGGCCCAACCAAAGACGCCCGGCGTCCACGCGGATTACACGCAGGCACGGCCCCCGGCGCCACGGGGGCCATACTGCGAAACGCACCAAGGGGGCGGGCGCCCAAAGTTGTCCCGGCCCTGCCGCCTGCGAATTACACGCAGGCGCCGCGAAAGCAAAAGCCTTGGAGGCACTGCGAAACGCACCCGCGCCACGGCGGCCCCATGCCCCCTTGCGAATTACACGCAGACACAGCCCGCGACGCATCGCGGGCCATACTGCGAAACGCACCAAGGGGGCGGGCGCCCAAAGTCGTGCCGGCCCTGCCCCCTGCGAATTACACGCAGGCACCACGAAAGCAAAAGCCTTGGCAGCACTGCGAAACGCACCCGGCCTGCCCCTGCGGCGGCCGCATGCCCCCTTGCGAATTACACGCAGACAAAGCCCGCGACGCATCACGGGCCGCGCTGCGAAACGCACCAAGGGGGCGGGCGCCCAAAGTCGTCCCGGCCCTGCCGCCTGCGAATTACACGCAGGCGCCGCCAAGGCAAAAGCATTGGCAGCACTGCGAAACGCACCCGGCCAGCGCCGGCCCGGCCACCCCCCTCCCACAAGCGAACTACACGCAGAGACAGCCCACGACGCATCGCGGGCCGTACTGCGAAACGCCCAACAAGGTGGCACCTGCCTGGCCCTTCTGCCTTCTTGTCTCGCCGCGTATTGCCCCCGGGTGAACTGAGGCCCGAGGACCGGGGGGCATCGACCTCCTTCGTATGTGTCTGGTGCTTCTCCCTTCTTATCTCCTCATATATTACCTCGCGATGGAGTGAGGACCGAGGACCGGAGACCAACAACCTCCTTCTTATGTGTCTGGTGCCTCTCCCTTCTTATCTCCTCATATATTACCTCGTGATGGAGTGAGGACCGAGGACCGGAGACCAACAACCTCCTTCTTATGTGTCTGGTGCTTCTCCCTTCTTCTCTCCTCATATATTACCTCCTGATGGAGTGAGGACCGAGGACCGGAGACCAACAACCTCCTTCTTATGTGTCTGGTGCTTCTCCCTTCTTCTCTTCTGTTGCTTTAAATGAGCTTCCTTTAGGATCTTCCTTCGTTAGTTTTTCAATTCCTTTTAGAGCAAAAACACGAAACACGATGGAACTGCACCTATTCCGTACCATGCCTTGTTCTTGAACTTGCCAGGGACACGGTTCTCTCGTCGGTCGTACTACTAGCACCACCACTGGCGCCAACTCGCGCGTTCGGCGAGAACAGGTCCCGGTGCTCTACTACTCGATTTGGGTGAATGATCACTTGCGTCGCTGGTTTCTTGTTTTTCCACGAGGCTGTCCACTTGCTAAACCGGGATTTGATCTCTTCATTCGGATTCTTCTTTATCTCAGTGGTCGCAGACTCGTCCACTCCACTGGAGTAACAATCCTCGGAGAGGGAGGTGTAATTGTTCGCACAACTGCTGGTTGTGCTGTCGCAGGCCCCCGCCAAGGTGGTTTTCGAAAAACCTGAATTTGTGGTCGCGGTTTTCTTGCTTGCCCCCGTGCGCCGGTCCCGCTTTTTCGTAGTAGATGTGTTGCCGTGCTGCTCGCAAGAAGTAGATGAAGAGGACCACGGTCGTGCAACTCCTGCAGCTGTCGTGCCGTCAATCGTCTGTTGTACCTCTTCAGCTAGTACCATTTTCGCACCCACATTCCGCTCACAATCGGCGCACATTTCGCTGATCCGGGTCTGTGCGCCGAGACTGGCGCCACACCGCTGGCAGAAATTCGTGCGCTCGGAAGGCACGCGCCAGTTCAACTTCTGCTTCTGGCAGGGAGCCTTCTTGTTCATGTTACGACCCATTGTGTGTGTTTTCCTGGGGATTCTTTTGGGCGGAAGTCGTGAAGATGTAGTTACTGGCGAAAACTAGTGCGAGGGCTTCTAGCAGATCGTGTGGTGGTCGTTAGAAAATGGGAATAAAGAAGGGTGGATCAGGTGAGTCAGAGTTTCTTGTTTGGGGACTATTTTTTTCCTACGTGTAGTCGTGAAACTTTCTTGGGCACAGAGACAGGCTACGGGTGTGACGTGGGTTACAGAGTCCTGATGGATCAATTGCTTCGGGAGATGGAAAGCCACAACTCCTAGAATTGAAGGTAAGGTTAAGGATCAGCATGAGCGGGCCTCTCAGTGAAGGTACGAACAATGTCGTCTAGAAGTGAGACGCTAAACATTTCTCTCATTGTTTCCTCGCTTCACGATCGGTCGGGCCTGTGAATCGGTCTATTGTTCTTCACGCATATAAAGTTCAGGCAGATGAGTCCAGGTTTTTATGTTTATCATCGATCTGCTACCGCTCCGACTGAACGCGAACAGCGAGTATGTTCTTGGGGCAGAGGAAAGCTCCGATAGTTTGCATTTTCACTTCCAGGCTTCTTCTCATCAAACTCAGCGGCTCATTTCTGGCGATAAAGTTCTCCTTAAACCATAAAAAATGGATGAAGCACTAGAGCTTGAAGAAGAGAGGTGGTGGTGGCCGCCCGAATCCACGACTATGATTTGTTTTCTTCTACTTGTACAAGGCGCACGCAGTCGCTCACACGCAGGGGGCACCCGAGCTGCGCCATTACGTCTTCGAATTCCTGAACTACCTCCTTCTTTCTCATCAATTTCGGTATTGCGGTCCTTGCTCCCAATTGTGTCACACTGTGCCCCGCAACCGCGGATGCGAACAAAACCTGTGCACAGGGGTTTTCCCAGCACTCGCTCCTCCCTCGCTGGGCACCAGCGGCACCCTGCGCGTACGCGTAGACGAGGCCACCATTGAAGGCATCCCCGGCACCACACGTGTCAACGACCGCAGCGCCAGGTGGTAGCCAGGCGGGAACGTGGTAAATGTGAAAATGCTCCTCAAGTAGTGGCTGTGCGGGTGACAACTGCGGGGGGCCGGCTTCTCGTCGTGTACTATCATCCCACTCCTTGTTCCGGTCGTCCGCGATCCACCCAACAACTGCTCCGTACTCCCCAAGGGTGACTACCGCGAAGCGTAGCCTTCTGTTTTGTTCTTCAACTTTTTTGCGCGCAAGAAATCTCCTCAGTTGCGCAGCCGCCTTTTGTATTTTCGCCGGCCCCGAGGCTTCACGAGCAATCGCATTGTCTTGCTGCGACTGAGGTAGAACAACAGCAACAACTTCTGGTAGTGCCGCTGCGGAGGTGATAGTTGACGCTGAATCTTCAACAGCTGCCTGCTCTGGAGGAGTTTCATCATCTTCAACAACTGCACCGTCCTTGTTCCCGCTTTGATGTCCTCTCTTCTGCTTCTCTAAGCGCTCTTGGTTTTCGAGAATCGTCAAAAAAGTCTCTGAACATGAGATGACCGTACAGTAGTCCAGCATCTCCCGGGTGCACGAACTTCGCAGCCGCTCGCAGTCCATCCGATATTGTTACAAAAAATTCCCCCTGGTCCCCATGCTGAAAAGTAGATGCACGACTGAACATTTGCGCTGCTGATCTGTGGCCACAAATCGTCTCTGTCTTGCAAGACGGCAAATCCGCCAGAGAGCTCACGCCGTGTTATAGTAGAAGCGATGAATTTGTAATACTGCAACAAGGCCAGAAACCAACGCAGGGGGGGTCTGCCATGCTACGGAGCCCCTACACTAAAAGCCCTCTGCTCAGGCCGCTTAGGATGAGGATCATGTGCCTGCAGTCTCCTACGGAAACACAAAGCTGCTTTGCGTACTACACAAATGCAAATCCCACACGACGACGGATTTCCATTTCCATATGGGGAGCAGAGATGATCCTCGCGACTTTTCATCTTGATATGAGAATGTCAATGAAGAGTTCCGCCGCTCTTTTCAGGATCTCCAGTGCAGTGTCCTCGAACCTCCCATCGGTGAAAAGAATTCCTCCCCGTCCGGCTCGACGAGGAGCCACACCAGTAGACGGCCGCATCAACTTCTGGAAAAACTCTTCACCTGGCAGTAATAGCGATGACCGGGGCTCCTGTGTGGTGTGAAAAATGGTCCTTCCATGCGTCTGCTCGTCAAGAATGATGTAGCTGTGGCCGGTCCGCCCCGTGTCGGCGTTGGAGAAATCAGCATAAGCGAGTGACAATCCCTCGGCTGCCAGTTCTTTCTGGACCTTCCTACCAGCTTCGTCGTTGAATATAGGAGCGACAAACTGCACGACTACTTGATGGGGGCAGCTGTAGTACAACTTGCTGGTGTGCTGCGCACTTTCACTCGTGCTGGTGTGGTCGTGGTCCCCGTCATTTTCACAAGAGTGCTGATCCTCCTGGCCTTCTGGTCTTGCGGGCGGTCGTCCCCCGAGCAGCCGCTGCACAACGATGGCGACCGTTGCCCCGTTGCCGCCGCCAAACTCGTGGGAACTTTTCGTCACGTTTTTCGTGTCAACACTGGGGTACTGTTCGACGACAAGAACTGTGTCCAAACACGCAAGGCCAACGACGCCGATATGCTCCGACATGATAACTTTTCTTCACTATTCGACACAGCCAAATAAGCTGCTTGATAATTGGAAACGTTTTATGTCGAAAAACACTTCCGGCCGCTTCTAAACTGCCGGCCGTTTTGCTGTCTGGCTGTCAAAAAAACCTCCCCGGTTAGAGCCGTTCGGTGACCTCACTACATTTGAGCAGGAGGATCCTTGATTCTATTTTCAAGACGACCGACTCTCGCTCTCCTGAAAGGACCGGGATATAATTTCTATCTCGGCACTGCTGGCAGTCAGAAAAAAAGGCCGATGAGGTTATGTGTGTTGACCATCCACTACGGTAGGGATCATCTCCAACTGCCGTTTCATCCTTTCGCTTTCCTCACAAAGTAGATCTCGTCCCCGCGACAATGACATCCACATCTGTCTATACGCGAACAGGTATACATACTGGGCTCGTACTTGATGTGCCATTGAAACTTGATCTTGTGCTTGTCAGTGTGGTTGTATTGAAGAGGTACGTTTCCCAAAAAGCCTATCGTGGTACTCCGTTTTTTTTTTCTGAATTTCTTTGAGGCCAGAATTGCAGAAGTCAAGCCGTACGCTCAAAATCCACACCTCGAAACTACACCTGCAACAATTACAACTGCATCGATGCAAACTTCAAGTGTAGCAGCTGTCGAAACTTGTTTTCTTTAGCTGGAATTTGACTTCTTGTTTCTACTTGACAAACATACTAGCAAACGCGGCCAACGCGATGTTGATCGCAACAAGACCAAGCTTTTTTTCGATGTCTTCTGTGCTTCAACTGCGATAGCAACTGGAGGTCGTTTGTCCAACAACTGCACAACTCGTGCACGATGGTCACGATCTTCAAAACCGTGCGGAATCCAAAAAAATCTTGCACGCAAAAATTGTATTATGAAATCTTACAGCACGCAAGAGTCATTTATCTTTCTGAACTGAGGGGGGCATGCGAAGGGGTCCTTACGGGGGGATTTCATCTGCTTCTTTTTTTCGACGGTCGAAATTCGACCACCTAGACCTACCAAAATTCTCATCGCTTCGAAATCAGGCACACTACTACACACTGCAGCCGCTCTTTTACTCTTCACCTGTACTATCTTGTATCTTCAAAGGGTGGAATGCTTTGCAGCAGCTCCCAGTCCTTTTCGAATGCTGATTGCAAGGCGGCTCGGATCTCCACCAGTTTCGAGCTATCTTCGTTTTCCATTTCCTGCTGGCAAAAAATATAAACGGTATCGGCCGCGGAAAGGATCGCATCAATCGCCTCGCGCTTCACAGCTAGCGCCTCAAAAGTCATGTGTCTCCGGATCTGTTCGCTTCTCACATCCGCGCGGAACAGATGGAAGGCTTTTGACGCTTCCATGCAATTCATGGTGCCTCTAACACGATGACCCAGCGTGGCAAACAGCTCTACCAGCCCGGTTGCTAATTGCCTAGTCGCTGCCCTTCTTTTGTTCTGCCCAAAATCCCCTTCACGAGCAGCAGAACCAGAACCCACAGTGTCCATTTCTCTACTAGACATGCTCATACTTGTAGCGGTGTCCTCGTCGCTTGTTCTTCTGCTCCTGTCGAAAAAATTATCAAAGGAACGCTGCCTAAGTAAGGCCATCGCCTCCCCCACTTGATTCTGGCCGTGCTGCTGTCGGTGCAAACGGGCAACATGAGAAACCTCGGTTGCAATGCAGTTTCGACACTGCGGACTTATGAGCATCCGCCTCTTACAGTGGCGCGATTCAGGGGCGTTGGATACCCATTGGAGCGCATCGAAAAGGGTGAAGCGCTGTAAGGCAACATCCTTCGAGGAAGCGCCATGTCCCGGAAGCACAGCATCTCGTCCCCCACCGCACTTCAATTTTACAGGAACTACTCGACCCGACGTTCGCAGCCGTTTCCATGTGTACACGCAGCGACTTGGCTCGTCTGCTCGGATCTGCATCAGCTGATGGCCCTGCCTTCTGGAGGCCACATGCCAGGCCCAGGATTTCGATTGCTCATCTCCATCTGCCGACAGCCCCGTACTTCTTTCCAGATACTTCTTTAGATTGAGAAAGTTCCTGCGCTCGAGAAATTCCGCGGCAAACACAAACTGCGTATTTCGAAAAAGCAGGGCGCTTCCTTTTCCGCGGCCAGCCGCATTGTAGCCATCATTCAGCGCCTTGGTAATCCTCTCGGTGGTCATAGCAGCGCTGCTGGTAGATCGAGCTGTGCCGTCAGGTGATGCTTCTCCGTTTCCTTCTTTCTTCATCGCCCCGGAAGTCGCGGCGACCTTTTCCAAGCTCTGCAGAGCGACCATACTCTCTTTCAGATAACCCACATGGCTATACTCCGCAGAACTCGGAACATGGTCATCACAAATTGAGAACACATGCCCCGGAAAACTGGCGAAAATGAGATCCGTATTCTCTGGCACGTCGAACTCAAAATTTTTCCTCGTAGCCTCGTGTAGATGTTGGTAATCTTCTTCATCGGCGGGTTCTGGTGGCAGCAAGGGGTCATTTCGGGGATAACTTCTTCCCCGACCTCGTCGAAAACGAAAAGGACAAAAAAGCCGCGAAACATTGCATCTATTTTGTCGGCGGGGGGCATGCGTTTGCATCTTAAACTTGTTTTTCAGATCATATACGCCGTGGACATTGAAGTAGTACACACCGCACAGAGGATGGCCAGCGTCCAACTCTTTCAAGTCCTTAGCATGCTCGACGCTGTCAAAGACATGGCTCCTATGCCACTCCTCCACAACGCGCTTCTTCTCTTCGGCGAAAGGCCAGGACGATAAACAAGAGGGATCGCTACATGGGGCGACTGGGGGTGGCGTAGTAGCAGCAGCAGCAGCAGAAGCTGCCCCTTCTGCTGTGAAGAAGGCCGCGAGGCGGCTACGTAGCACGACGAAAACAAAAGTCGAGATGAATCTCCTCGATGAATAGCGCATGCTTTTATATTATACAGTGTGTCGCGCCAGCGACAAAGAAAAGCAAAAATGATTAGACTTTCGCCGCACAAAAATGAAATCTTTTTCTTGCGCGTTGTACACACAACCGCAACAATAGTATAAAAAGAGACGAGAGAGGGTAGTTTATTCTAAAACTAAACTACTAGTAAAGAAAGCGATGTTGACGACCAACGCCAGCACATGTTGTTTAGTTTATTCTTGTTCAACATCATGACCCTAGGACTAGGTGGGTCGGAAAAAAGGGCTGTGCTGGCTGGATTGTCATTCATGAATATTTCCACGACTATCAGACGCAGTTCTTTTGAATCCGCAAGGCCTTCGCAGTCGTGCTCATCCCAAGCGCAAGTGGGAATTTGCTTCCCCGACACAGATCTGCTATGATTTTTGATCAAAGTTTCTTTTAGTGGATTTTCAGAAACCCGAATTGTAGAGACCGCTGATTTCGATCTGCACTCCATATATTCATATTTGACCCATGAGACTTTTTCGGTGCTTACAGGATGAGGATCCAGGCTCATTGATTTTATTTTCAACACGACCGACTCTCCTGAAAGGACCGGGATATAATTTCTATCTCGGCACTGCTGGCAGTCAGAAAAAAAGGCCGAGGAGGTTATGTGTGTTGACCGTCAACTACGGTAGGGATCTCCAACTTCCGTTTCATCCTTTCCTCACAAAGTAGATCTCGTCCACATCTGTCTATAGACAGTGTCTATACGCGAACAGGCATACATACTGGGCTCGCTCTTGTGCCATTGATTGCAGTCCCAAAGGTGCTTCTACTTGATCTTGTCAGTGTTCTTGTATTGAAGAGGTACGTTTCCCAAAAGGCATATCACGGTACGCCGTTTTTCTTTTCTGAATTTCTTTGCAACCAGAATCGCAGAAGTCAAGCCGTACGCTCAAACAATTACAACTGCATCGATGCAAATTTCAAGTGTAGCAGCTGTCGAAGCTTGTTTTATCTACTGGAATTTCTCTTTTTTGATAACCTCGTCAACCGAAGACGTGCAAGACGAGGACGACCAAGTATTCTCATGACCATAAGGATAACTGCGGAGGAGCAAAAAAAATTAAGAAAGAGACATTGACATTTTCGTTTTCCTATTCCAATTTCGCAAAAAATAAAAAATTTATAGATATATAACGGTTTATTTGTTATTGTCGTCATTCATTTGTACTTCAGTCACCTTTATTAAGTACTCAGGGCAGCGGCTCGTTGCAATACACCGCGGCGTGTGACCCCACTACACCGTCGCGTAAGTAGCCATCAAGATTCGCAACGGAAAACACGTTTTCTCGCATGCTCGGGACCCTGGAAAACTGGAGCAGGTTGCGCCTCCTGTCCTCGTCCTGCGCGGCGGAGCTAGTACAGACGGGAAGCTGCGGGTGCACTGAAGAGGATACCCCAGCTGTTGATGTTCCGGACGTGGCGTGGAGATAGAATTCCTCACTTGAAGATGCGTGGTCAGCTTCGGCTTCCGCTGATTCTGCCCCGCCCCGGTTGTTACTTCCACTGGATCTACTTCCGTAGAAAATCTTACCTTGCGCGGCGGAAGAACCAGCTGCAGGCGACGACGGGGGAGCGGTAACAAACGGATTGAGGTAAAAATGTTCGTCCTCCCCAGCATGATCCGGCGAGTGGTCCGCCACAAGGGCATTCGTGTTGACTCGAATGTGATTTATTTTGACGTGTCGCGGTGGCCGCGGGGGCGTCCCAGAAGCAGGAGGTACTACTCGTGGTTCTCGAGAAATTGCGGAATGAAGATCTGGATCTCCTCTACTAGTTCTATCGTGGGGTGGAGTTCCTCCGGCGGGGGTGCTGCCTGAGACAGGTATAATAAGTTGCACAGCTGACTCGTCCGTCGCCGTTGATGTCCCGGGGCTGGCACTGCTGGACGACACACCGGTTCCCCCAGTCGCCGTGGACTCGTCGCTATGAAAGCCTCAGAATGGAAATTCTCAAAGTGGAAATAATTTGTGATGCATGAAATGCGACACCAAAAAGACTGTATTGCAGAGAACGCAATGGAGGCCGACTATTGTGCTTCTACGGGTTCAACAGAATTGGGCTGCTGATTAGCACGAGAGAAGGGCACCCGTTTGCCTAACTAGCATGACAGACACGTTTTGAGTGCCCGGAAAATTTGTCATGCCCCGACTAGAAATGGTGCTTCAACTGGAGTCGTTTTTTTGCATTACAAATTATTTTCACTTTGAGGGTGTCCAATCTCTTGAGGCCTTCATAGTCGCCCCAGGAAGTTGAGGAGGTTTGTCGCAGTTGAAGTTCCTCCTCTTCCTCCTCGTCTTGATTGCGATCTTCGGCATCCTCGACGGCTTTTTTCAGGTAATTCCGAGGAACAGACGCTGCTTGTTGGTGTGCGGAAAAAGTTCTGCCTTGTTGTTGTTCCGGCGCGGGAGGTGGAGCAACTCCAACCGAGCTGCTCTGGCTTTGCTTTCCAACTCCAACTCCAACCCGCTCCGGTTCTTGTTGTGAAAAGTCTACTTCTTCCTTCGACGATGCGAACGTGATTTTCCCCTCGAGCTCGTCCTTTAGAAACTCCGCGATGCTTTCCGGGAAGTAAAACATCCACGCCCGGCGGGCACCGCTCAACGATCCGCCGCTTGTTCCCGAAGACCGTCGGAGCGAGTGCGAAACGTATTTGCAGCGCAGGTAACCTGATTTTGATTTGTAGTATGGTAGAGACACATATAAATCGTAAGTACAGAAGAAAAGTATTCCGAATCACAACAAGTACAGAAAAGTGTTCCGAAATTCTGTAGTTGACGGCAACGGCATGCTTTATCACAATTTTGCTGTTTGTCTCTGTCTTGCCAAAGAAATTAATAGAAAAGCGGGATATATCGGCTTCGAAGATACATACCCGCCTGCCATCTCCCCGGTTCCTGTTTGTAAACGTACTGGGTCAACGCGTTGCCTTCCCGGAACTCCCTAGTGCCGATTTGCTGCAGCGCAAATTCGTAGTCGTCGAGCACAGTCGGGTTGCTGGGGCGATCCCGATCGATGATATGAGGAGATGTGCCCTGACTTTCATGAAGATCCTCGTGAAGATGAAGATCTACCCCTTCATCTCTGCCAAGAATCCATTTGCTATTCCGCCTATATTTCGCAATTTCCTTCATCGCGCGCCCGACATTGGTGACCCACAACCGCCTCTCCAGTTTGTACATAGCACGGTAGAGGATGGACGCCTCATCGGCGATTTTGTCCTCATCGTCGTCGCTGCTTGATCTACTTTTCGTCCCGGCATTTTTTTCGACAAACAACCCAGCAGAAGTACGACCAGCAGCCCCGGGCTTGTTCGTCATGGTCCGCTTGTCTTTTACCGTGTCACGACGAGCCCAGGAGTCCTTTCGCGCATCAGGATTTACCTGTCTTGTCCCAAAGATTGGCTTCTTCGCGAGGTACTCTGTGAACGCGTACAGCTCCTCCTGTAATTGTTCGTCATAGCGTCGATCCGCGTCTTCTTGTTGGACCGCCTTAGCTTTATTCGACTTGTTCGACGCTTCTACTGTTCTTCCACTACTATAACAGCCGTCAACTTTTGAGGAAAATTTCGAAATGCGTTTCTGATACGCGGCAGAGGACGCTATAGTGTGGAGGAAGAGCGCGATCTCAGACGAATCCAAATGTCCACCTTTCACGAACTCTCCCTCCCTTTTCGCCTCCTCCAGCCGTCGCTCGTGGTTCCCAAACAGCGTATCCGCTATGGAGGTGGCGAAGTCGGAGAAAAAATCCCCGATGGCGGCGCTCACTGGCCAGGAGGAGGACTCATCTTGATGTTCAACACCGTCCTCGGGTGGTGGACTGTTTTCATCGACCACTATGTCTTCCTCGTCGTCGCACGGTGCTGTTGTGCCGGAAGCAAGCGGAAGTAGAGCTGCGGTGGGAGTTTGAGTTTGTGTACAACTAACACCTTCCTCCTCGCGTGTTTCCGCTTTTCTTCTTTCAAGCAATCCTGGGCTGCTCCGGCATCTACGAGACGACGTCGAGGATGATTTTTCCCCCTTGGAGCAACAAAAAACGTGATTCTTTACCATCGTAGATCTTCTGCAAAATAAGCCGTCGTGCCCCGGTGGACCACTACAAGACGAGCAGGTGGCTCTGGTTCCCGTTGCTCCAGCACTGGCATCAGCACTGCCTAGTCTCGCATTTGTTTTCAGCGGAGTTCTCGTGGGCGAAGACGAGGAGCTCCCACCTCCAGCTGCAAGGCTAATGACATGCGATGTCTCCAGATTGCGATGGATGATTGGCGGGGACGCTGAGGATAACAATAGAACGCCAGCCAGACAGGAGGCCGCGGTCCAGGGGGACAGCGTCTGGAGGTGGTGTGCTGCGCGGTGTCGTGTTGCACCTGCAGCTCCTGTTGTTGGCGACGCCGGAAGCGATTGAACAGATGTCGGCACTGTCCAAGTGGTGCAAAAATCTGGCGGTAGTTCTTCATCTTCGCCGGCTGTAGCGGCGAAGAGCGTCGTTGCATTGAAAAAAGAGTAAGGTGTTGCCTCGTGTTCGGGGAAAAAGAGAGAACTCATTTCGACGTCCGTTTTATTAATACCTGCGCTTTGCAACAACGCCCCAGCACAGCCCTGGCTTTTCGACAGTCGATCTTCTCCCGATGAGGTTCTCGGTCCTACGGTTTGGCTGTCTCGCTCGTCCCCCACGAATCTCGGATCCTCCTGCTTGAGGTTCAAATTCAAAGCACCAGTGCCTTTCGCATCAACATTTTTACCACGATTACACAGCTCTTCGCACTTTTCATCATCGGCCAACCTGTCGAAGTCTTTGGCCAAAAACACGCTTTGAAACGGGACAAATTCGCAGTCGTTCAGGTTGGCCGTGAGATTGTTGTAAACGTAGACCTTGTGAAGAGTAGTTCCATCGAAGTTGCAGCCGTTGCGAAAGTTCGGAAGTGCTGAACCTTGAAAATCCGACTGCGTGATGCCGACAGTGAGGTCATCTGCGCCAAGAGTTGTGGACCGTGGCGGAATTATGGGTGGGAGCAGCGATGTGCTGGAATTCCGCTTCTGTAGGTTGGCAAAGGAAAACGGTTTCTCGTCGTCCAATTGGTCCAGCGGTTCGGGGAGTTTTGGCAGTTTCTGTTGCATCACCACAGTCTCCGTGTAGATCGGCTTAATAGGCTTTGCTGTTGCAGCGACCACAGTTGTTCTTGCAGCTCTTGCGTCGTGGAGATTCTTTGAACGCGGCCTCACAGCTGTAGTGCTTGCGCTGGTCGAGCTTGGTTCTTGTGTGTGACCAGCTGGCACGCAGTGATGTTCCTTTCCACCCTCATGCAGCTCCTCCTGCCGCTCGGTCCTCAAAGTAGACACCGACGCTAAGAACCCTCCCTCCTGTGACTCACGCCCGTCATTGTAGTGAAACTTCAGCGGGATTTTTACGGCGGCAGTGCTGTCCTCTTGCATTTCGTCCTTTCCTGCAGGTGGAAGTTCCTTCCTAGGCCGCTGAGCAGAGGACCGCGTAGCCGGCAAGAGTTTTCCCTTTTCCAAAAGCATATCCAGGAAAAAACACCCACCCCCATCCATTTTTTGCATGACAAATAGTGGATTTTATGCATGTTTCGCATGACAAATTGGATGGGGATGGGTGTTTTTTCGTGGATAAAGCATGTCCGTCCACAAGTAGCGGCGAAAAACTTCTGCCGGAATTATCAAATGTAAAAGTGTCTGGGTCTGGAAGAATGCAACTTGTGATGCATGTTGCGCATCATACAAAAATCTGTGTTGCGTGACTTGCAAAAGGTGCTCACTTCTGGCCATGCTGAGGGGGCATTTCTCATGCAGAACAGGCATCACAAAGGGGCTGCAGATCCTGTGATGCTAGGTCCTGCATTCCAGACTTAGTGGAGCTTGGAAAAACTGCATGACAAATCTCGGAATCTTCCAGACCCAGATATTTCTACATTTGATAGGGATCGGACCAGGACCACCATCCGCAGTGGCGTCTAGTGGCGCAGCAGGAGTGCTTGTTCCTGGGCGATGGTCGTCCCTTTCATCGCTAGCCTCCGCAAAAGCACCAGCACTCGTGCTCGTGCAGCCTCCGGTCATGCTTGTTGTAATCACCGCCGGTGCATGCAGTGCAGGCCCGACGCTGCTGTCGTGCCCGTACCTCCGCTCCGACTCCTCGTAGGCCACCGGGAGTCTGTCGCCGTAGAGGAGCTTGCTTTTACCACTTGCGCTCGCGGCCCTCGACGTCGAGGTACTACTACCACTAGCGGCTGGACTGGTGCGCATGGCCGTGAGGTGCCATCGCGGCGGAGCTGGTCGCTTTGTGACGAAGCGAACGCAAGCACGACGAGCAGGCTGAGCGCTCGATCGACAGAGTCGGCTCGGTTCAGCCTCATCTTCCTTCACGGCAACGCCGCGTATCCGCAGGGCGGACGCTGTCGAGATTTCCCTTTTCGCGCCGTCACTCGAGAATAGAGATAGACTTGTGGTCGTCGCAAACAGCAGAAAGTAAACTGCGAGTTCGACGAACCACGACGCCAGGCAACATCGCTTGCAAAAAAGTTTGTAGTTGCAGACTGCACGGGAAAGCCGGGAAAATATGACTGTTTGCATCATACAGTGTGCTGGCCGCCGCGGTGCAGCTTCACATGGAGGATAGGCTTTTGCTTTTTCAACATTCATCTCCGCTGATTTTGATCCACACTCCATTGGGTCAGAAAGTATTTGACCGACCCATGAGAATTTTCCGGCGCTTACAGGATCCTTAATGATTTTATTTTCAACAACACGACCGACTCGAAAAGGACCTTCAATCTTTCTCGGCGTTGGCAGTCGCAATCAGAAAAAAAATACCGAGGTCATGTGTGTTGACCGTCAAAGATAGGGATCTCCAACTTCAGGAACAAGATCAATATCAGTTTCATCGTTTCCACACAAGCACAAGGGACTTCGGGACATAAGAGGAAAACGCGATGCGAATGAATTTTGATCCACAGAATCATATATCTTATCTCGATCTACTTCATCAATACTTTACAACTCGTCCATATCCACATCATCAAGGCTGGCGATACGACGCGGACTGCGACTCCGCCAGCAAGGAGAGTTGTCAGAGCTAGGTCGATTTCCCGCCGCCAGTGGTCTTCTTGCTTGTGCCGCGCTTGTACCAGGGCTGGGCGTGGTAGAGGTTGATCTAGTACTTCTTCCTTGTTGTTTCTCCTTCTGCAGTGTCGCCCATTCCGTGCAGCCCTTTTCAATAGACCTGGAAAACGTAAGACACAAGTTAGTCGTGATGCACTCTCTTCCGACGGCGGCCACACGAACATCGGACGGAGCGCTCCGCTCCACCGGGTTGCGCGGCAGGTTGTACTTATCTACCACGAAATGCTGCAACGCACTACGGTATGCTTTGCGCAACGCGGTGGGAAGCCTTCTCGTCGGGAGAAGCGGGTAGTCCGCTCGCTCGAAATCCAACACGGGGAAGGAAACGTCGCCCAATCCAATTAAAAAATGGAGACTGAGCAATTCTGGGCACTTCTTCACGCGGCACCACGATGGACTGCCGATCAGGCACTTCGCGTCCTGCTCGTCGTCTGTCAGCTGCCCCTGCTCGAGCTCCACGAATAGCCTGTCTCTGGCCTTGCGCGGCATACTGCAGACAGCCTCCCACACGGTGGCGGTAAGCTGGATGCCCAGATTATGGATTGCAAAAATGTCTGGGTCTGGAAGAATGCAGGAATTTGTCATGCAGATTTTGCATGACCGATGAGGTCTGTGATGCATACCCTAGCATCAGAGATTTTGCGAGGGCTTTCTCGTGCTCATACCGCATGAGAAATGCCCTCTCCGCGTAGCACGAATTACACCTCTTTTGCTGTTCATGCAATAGCAATACAGATTTTCTGTAGATTCCAAAAGTAGCATCACAAGTTGCATTAGCATTCTTCCAGACCCAGACATTTTTGCATTTGATACAGATGCGACAGCGTCATCATCAACGCGTCCGGGGGGATGGGGTATGAACTGCAAAAGTATCGCACTCGTATAAATGCATTGCAAATTTCCTCAGCATCATCATCATCATTGAGACGGACCCCCTGTGGTCGTCCTCACGGCGTCGTCTTGGCCCTAGGCTGTTTCGGACAGATGTTGGTTGTGTCCGGCAAGAGGACGGCTCTGCGTGGGCAAATGTTGGTAATGTCCAGCAAGAACGCCTCCGTGGCCCCATTTTCTGCCGGTTTTTGGCTTTCGCCAGGCTAACCCGCAACACCACCCGTAGACAGTGAAACCCATGGCAGGCTTTCGCCAGGCGGTCCCGGGGAGGCCCTCCTCTTGGCACAATGTCGGTCAGATACCAATTTGCACCCCCCGGAAGCGGATGTAGAGCCGATCCAATGTTGGTGCAAAGCACAGGTGGGATCATGGGCTCGGATGAGTAGTTGGGGGGGCTACTCCGGGGGTACTGGGACTGTTCGGCGGATTACTGCTGGATATGAAAAGTTTGCGGGTTTATTCACGTCCATGGTCGCAGGCAATGTTGGGCCAAATTCCATTGGAATTTTAGCACAGGTGGCCTCGCATGGGGTGAGTATGAATCTCGGACTTGTTTTCTTTGTCCGTTTTTTTCTCTCTCTTTTCCCGTCTGGCCCTCTTGTTTCGTCCCGTTCCGTCGCGGCTGCGGTGCAAGGAGGACTTGGGATCCAAGTTTGTTTTACTGGGGGGGACGAACAAGTCGCGAGCCATCTTGTTTTTTCAAAAACAAAAAAAATTTCAAATACAACTTTTTTCCTCCTTCTCTCTTTTTCCCTCCGCCGGAACAGCTTCCGTTCCCCGGTGTTGAACTCCAGCGCTTTGTCGCCCGCCGTTGCGTGGGCTTCACTAGCTCCCTGTAAGGCTGCTGTAAGTTTTTCCTTCTTTTTTTTGAAAACTTAGCTTCCGTAGCTTATCAAAAAAAATCGACCTGCTTATCAGTAGAACCTGTGTTCTTTCCTGCTGTTTTTTTTAGTTTTTCAAGTTGTAGCCGCCCCTGTCTTTTTCAAAGCGTCCGCTCCTCGTGTTGGTCTGGGTTAGGCCTGTAGCGGGGCACTTCCGTTTCTCTTTCCCTTCTTGGTGGCGTCCGCAGGCACGCTGCGAGCGGTCGGCTGCCGCACGTCTGCCAGAGGGGGGCTGGTGCAGGGTAGGATCTTGCCGAGGTTCTCAGCCTGGGGGGGGTTTTGTCGGGGGGGGGTTCCGCTGTTGCGTCTGCGCCGGACGCGAGGAGCTGGCGGAGCTGCCGAAGATGTTGCCTGCGACCTCCGCGCCTAGGGGTCCGAGCAGGTCCGCGGCGCTAAAGAACTGCGAAAGGTGGGCTGGTTTCCGCTTTTTCGCCGGTGGTCTCCAGATTGGCGACGACTCGCGTCGCTTGCCGTTTCTGACTCTCGCCCCCTCTTCGTCGTCTACCTCCGCGCTCTCCGGTTGGCTTCGAATTGGCTCCGCCCTCTCGTTTCCGGTAGTCGTGTTTTTGCCTTCCGGTCTTTGTGGCTGCTCTTCTCCGCCCGTTTCTTGTTTGGGCTCGTCCGGTTTTCTTCCGTCTTTGTCGCCCTCTGGCTTCCCCCCGGCGGGCTCTTCCGCGCTTGCCTTGTCGGCTTCCGGGGAGCTGTTGCTCTTCTTCTCGCCGTCTCCGTGCGGCTGTTGTGCGCCTGCTTCTGCGCTCCGCCGCCTTCTCTCGCTTGGGCTCTGTTCGCCGTTTTGGCTTGCTGTCGCCTCCTGCCTACTGCTTACGTTTTGTGGGGTGCTGAACAGCTGGCGCGGTGTCGGTGGGGCTCCCACCTCCTCGCTCTCCTGTCCCTGCGTTGCCTGTGCGCCTCCTGCGACCTCTTCCTCTCTGGGGTGTGCCTCTTCTGCTCGTGTCCGCACTACGACACCTTCCAACGCTTTTGCTAGGTATTCCGCTCTCTCTCTCATCGACATTGGTGGCCACTCTACCACGGGGGGGATTCCCGGTAGCGCTTCGTCTCCAAAGTCGAAGCGAAGCCACTCCGCTGCCTTGTCGTGTCCTGCCAAGTTTATGTGCTGCAGGTCGATTTCCGAGATTTGGCGCGTCGCGTCGAGTGTCCTCGCTTCGCTGCTTCCACCTTTGACGACCCGGTGTCCGAGTCCTTGCAAGTCCTCGATCTTTTCAACCAAGTCTAGGTGGATTCCTTGTTTCTGTCTCATCGGTCCGCGTGTCGCTTGAAGAAGGGCGCTGTAGCTTTGTAGGTGGATGATGAGAGTGTCGCGCGGTGTCGGCCCCGCCAGGTTTGCAGCCAGGATCGGCATCGCCCAGATCACGTTGTTCGCGTACGCGAGGAATCGCTGCTCCTTCTTCCTTACCTCGGTCTTCAGGTGTGTGCTCTTGGTCCTGCACTGGAGGGGTATGCGGATCTCGGTTGCAGAGTTTTTCATCCGCGCCGTGCAGACTAGTCCTTCCCCGTCACCGGTTGACCACAAGTAGACGCTTGCGCGGCTGTCTACTCTCTGCGACCGCTCGGAGCCTTGGTCGCTTCTGTCTGGGATGAAGCCCTCTGCTCGCAAGTCGCTCGACGGCGGTAGCCTCGTCGCTGCCCCGTCCGTGGCGGCCGCGATTAATGCGGCGTCTGCGTCCTGTCTGTCCTCCAGGTCGTCGATGTCTGCGTCGGACATCCCTGCGAATCCTTCTCCATGTACCGAGACTGGATACGTTGCCCATTTCAGCATCTTGTTTGGGTCGGTCAGGTAGCCGCTCTGCGCCGAGCCCCGTAGTCCCTTGATGCCGAGCGTGTACGGGTCGAGTAGCCCTAGCAGGTTCTCGCTAAAGATTACTCTGTAGAAAGTGTCATCCGTTGTGTCCGTGAGCTCCGCCAACTTCGGCAGATCTTCCCACTTGAATCCGAGCGATGTCGCGATGCATATTGACATGTCGGCTAGGAGCTCTGACCAGTCCTCTTTCGTACAGATCACGTGCATGACCGGGAGTCTGTAGATAAGCGCTGCCATGTAGAAGGTCTGAATAGCTAACCTCAACTCCTCGCCGGACATTGTTTTCTGCATACTCTGCGCGACCGCTACACGGTGCTGCGCGGCTCCGATTGCTTTCCGCACCTGGGCCCGAATTGCCCTCCTCTGGTCTTCTATGCTCCGCAGTGAGATCGTGATACCGAGAGTCCGCGTTTCTTTCTTCTTTTCAAACTCTATCCCGAAGGGGTTGAACTTCTCTCGTATCCTTCTCGCCTGTTCGGGGTTCGCGTTGGTGACAAATTCGCACTTTGTCGGTGCTAAAAATTGTCCTTCCGAGCGATAGACCGCTTCGTAGCTTTCTTTCACGTTTGCCAACAGCGTCAGAACATGCTCCAGGTCTGCAGACCTGAAGCGCAGGCTTAGACTTCCGTCGTCGACGAACTGAAGCGCGGAACTTTGTTTCGGGTTGTCCGCGCCCGGTTCTTTCCGGAGTTTTCCGTCGATGAAATTCGTCACCGTTTGTCCCGGGTTTCTGCCCCTTTTCTGCGTTGTCACTGTTCTGCGGTATCCCGTGGTGGTGCCGCCCGCTGTGACCGGGTCAAACCATACCTCGTCGATTTCCTCCGGTTTGTAGTCGGCGAAAGTGGTGTCCAGGTCTGGCGCCCCGTATTCGCGCTTTATTTCTCGCCTCAGCTTGTGCGTCTCCCCTTCGATCTTCTTCACGAGTACTCGCCCGTCCTCTCCGAAGCAGCTCTCGAGGTATTTTGCTACTTTTTCAACGCCGCTCATGTAGAGGATGACCCCCGCGAGCATCGTTTCTACGGCGCCTTGGATGAGCTCCCGATGTCGCGTCACGAGGCCGTATACCTTGCCGTTCCGTAGGTATACTTCTTTCCGCCAAGTCGTCATCAGGATCAGTTTGATGTAGACGGGGTGGAGTCGACCGCGCCGGTAGGCTCTGACCGCGCTCGGCAAACTGATGTTGTTGTAGTAGTTCGACGCGTCAAGCCCGATCAGCAGTTTGATCCACTCGACCACCTCGCTTGCCGCCGCCTCCGCTTCTGTGTTGCTCGCGTGCGGCTGCTCGTCTGCGGTCCCTGCCGCGTGTTGACCCTTACCTCGGCTGTGGTCGTTTCTTGGTGGGGGGGTAAACAGCGGGGGTCCCGCTGGTGTTTTGGGGGCCGCAGCGTGCGGCGGGGGTCCCGCCGGGGTCTCAGGTGGAAGCAGCCTCTCCGTCCTTGGCTGTCTTCCTGCACTTGCTACGTTGGCGCCCCCTTGTTCTTCTCGTGCCTCTTTTTCGTTGCCGCTGTGTTCCGCGTTGCCTAAGCCGTCGCTTAGCTCCGCTCCGTGAGAAATAAAATTTGTAATGCTCAGCATGAGAAATAAAATTTGTAATGCAGATTTGCCTTGGTAATGCAAGGCCTGCATTCATACGAGTACGATACTTTTGCACAGGATATGGGGTTCGCTCCGGCAATGAAACCGTGGATCGTTTTCACGGATCGCATCAGCCCGTCTTCTCCGCCACAAATTTCCAGAGTCTTCGCGTCGTGCTTGCGAAACCCCTGTAATGTACAACGTGTAGTGGTCTGTCGCATTGATAAATCAAAATCAAAATTTAAAGTTTCTAACCTTATGTCAATAGAGAAGTCGGGTACGACCTTACCGGTAAGCGTATATTCTTCTGTTGTAGAACGTGGAATTATATACAATCTATGTTCGTGCTGGTGCTGGAGGACGAGCACAAGTAGTGCATGAAGTACAGTGGTCAGTACCTTCGTACAGCCCTTCGCCAGGTGCGTCTTCAGTTCGCTTAGACGTCCCCCGGCGAACCCACAGCCGTCAACTGAATGCGGGCATTTCCACCTTGCGTAGGGGCAGACGGCTGCATCCCTCGAACTCTCGCGCAAGAACCCAAAGTAGTGCCCTTTCGGGTGCATGTGGCTCTCCAAATCCTTCAGCGCCAGCTCGCTGCTGCATTCCTTGCAGTTCACTTTCATTTGCCGAAACATGCGGGTTGCGAAGTGGCTTTTCCGAAACTTGAACTGGATACCATCCCCATCGGGGATTTTGCTGTTCCGGCGGCAATGAAAGCAGGAAGTCGCTATTCTGCAGTCCTGAGCACAACTCTCACAAGTCAGCTTTCCGCAACATTCCGTCTCGAACGCGGTTCCAGAAATTATCTCGAAGCAGATTGGGCAAGTCGCTTCATCGAGCGAAAAACACAGCTCGTCGGGCGTGCTGGAAGCTGCGGCAAGTGCGCACGTTTTGTTGGGAGTCGTGAGCGTTCCTGCAGCAGGTAGGACAGCACTGAACGACACCGCGGGCGCGATGGTCCTCGCCCTTTGTTCGCTGTCTCCTTTACTGGTCGCGGTAGCGGATGTGAACGTGATTGTACCACCCAACGGTAGGCGGTGTGAGCGTGATTGTCCCTGCGACAGCGCAGGTACTGGTATTGTTACCCTGCCGAATCTAAGCCCTTTGCCCTTGCCACCACTGCTTGCGGCGGAAACCGAAGAGAACGACATCGGGTTTACAAGAGGAGGTGGAAACTGCCCTTTCGACTGAGAGTGCATGGCGCCGAAGTCGACGCCTTCGTGCATGTGCTTTCCAAATGATCCCTTTTTGCCGCCACTTGCTACTCCTACTCCGCTGCTTGCGGAAGCAGATGAAGACGGCGCGGCTGGTGCTAAAGGGCATGTTTTTCCTTTCGACTGCATGTTGCCAAGAATTCTAATTTATTGACCGCGACTTTCGATTTTCTTCGTATTTGTTTTGGAAAAGTAAACACAATAAATACATCGTCGTCAGCTCCCGCACAAGAAGCGAGGAAGGAGTTGTCGCTAGCAGCTCTGGTTTGGAGAAGCAGAATGCAGCTCGACGCAATTATTTACTACTTGTTACAATAGTCTAGGCAACATCAACATCAAACACATAAATGGCGTGCAAGAACCAGCAGTAGCTGCTCCTGGTCCTGGTGCAGGAACCACATGAACATCCCCATCCGTAGCAATTCTCTCTAAAATTCGTCCACGCCGCAGCACAATCCAGACCAGTACCATTTATTTTCTGTTCAATTCATTGCCTTGCAGCTCATATGTCCAGTTGAGTTGATCTCGACATTTCATTTTCCAAAAAGGCTTTTACAGCTTGGAAAATAGCTAATATGAAGGTCGCGCCCGGAGGGCGATATTGGTAACCAAAAGCGTGCGCGAAAATCTAACCAGCGCGAAAGCCTAACCAGCCGCGCGGCTGCCACCACCATTTCTTTTTAATTAGAATCCCACTATCGCTGGAAAGTAAAAACGCCATCTATCGCGGGCCATCGGGGGCTTCCGGATTCGCATTCAAAGCTTATCGCAGGCTCCTGCGATAAGCATTGAAGGCGAAATCCGGATTGCTATTTCGCAGCGGGGCATCCTTTCTCGCCCCCTGCATGACAAACTGGCCACCTGGCCAGGAAGGTATGTGGCCAGGTAAAATACACAAATTTTGAAAAGTCATGCAATTTTCTTCATTTCCGGCTGCCCTTTTGGGCCACCCAGATCGGGCATTTCTAAGCGGGAGGAGATCTCATTTCGCGACCCTCAGAGAGGACGAAAACCGTGCCCGTGTGACACACCTCCGCAGGCTTAGTAGTTGTTTTTTTTTCGTCCAATCTCGACGGTGTGGGCCGTGTGACAATTTGAAAAACCGTCTTGGAGCGGCAATTTCCAAGCGGCTTTTGCTATTTCAGCAAAAATTGTCATTTTCTATTTCCAAGCGGCTTCCGGGGACTGCAGAAAATCGGTAAATTTTGTCGGCCGCTTGTATGCTGCGAAAAATTGCATTTTTTCAGCGCTTTTTTTCAATTTTCAAGCGGCTGGAGCTGCCCGGAGGTGACGCATTTTCCGCTATAAAACGCATCACACCGCCGGCCCTTGCCGAAAATGCCACAATCTTTTTTCAGATTCAGACCGGGCGGAGCTGCAAAACTGCTATTTTTTACCCTTTTCCCACTTGGTAATTGCTGTTTTGGTTGCTTTCGGGAAAATTCCCACAAATTCTGCCCGATCCGCTTTCTGAAGGCAAAACACACTTGATAATGCCCGATTTTTCCAGTGATTGCATACCCCCGAGTTCCTCCCATATGGCAACGGCAAAGCCTTCGCGCTGCGTTTGCGATGGATGAGCGCTTGCGCACGCTTTGGTTACCAGACTATAAGCAAAGGCACTGAAAACGCGTTTACATTTTTGCGACTTGGACTTGGTGTTGGTGAAGAGAGTTCTTGTAAGTAGGTTAGACTGCTTGTTTTCACTTCTCCGTCAGAACTGAACTACGCTAAGTTCTTTTACCACCTAGCAGCCGGCTCCTTGTTCTTCGGCTGCGCGGGCTTCGGCTGCGCGATCGCGACGTGGGCTTCGGCTACGCGATCGCGGAGCAGAAGGTGTGTAGTAGCCTTCATGATGTTGATCTGCTGAAGTGAATGTCGCTTGTGATGTGGCGTCGGACGAGATGCGCGCCTGGTCCTCAGCCGGGTCGTCGGCCTCTGGCAGTTGCAGCAAAGAAGGAGACATGGGACGAGACGCAGTCGCAGTGGCAGTTCCAGTTGCAGCACCTCCACCAGACGGATTAACTTCTACATTTCGCGGCAGCGACACTATCTGCCAAGTCTGGATCTCTTTGAAGACGACGTTGTTGACGTTCAGGGATTGAAATTGATGCTCATTATATTCAGAGTTGTTCCCAGCCGGCGTGGAAGGTTTATTAGGCGGGATGGGGAGGCGTATGGTTTGTTTGACGGGCTGGAGCGTCGATGGGTCTGGCCGATCATCGGGGTCGCTCAGGTTGTACGAGTCAACGACGAGCGATTGCAACACAGAACGATACATGTCGCGCCGACGTGGTGGGGCGTGCGTGTCTCCTCCGTCACGCAAGGCAAGAATGCCCGCCGAGTACTTTTCCTCTGCAAGGTAGGAACGCAGCTGGAACATTTCCGGGCACTTGTCCGCCATCCAGGACGAAGAACCAACCAGGACCGGCGTGCTCTGCGGGTCTGCGGTTGTTCCACTCAGCCGATGCTCTTGCTCGAGGTCCACGTACGCGCTCTGGTAATGCTCCCCATACCTCTGGTAATAAATACAGCTTTTATCCGGCGGCCGCAAAACCAACTTGGAAAAAATACTGCTAGTCAATCGGACGCCGGCGTGATTCAGAGCCAGAAGGAAATCGAGCGGATCGATAGGACTCATCCCGGGCCCGACGGTAAGCAAATTGCAGATAATCTTAACAGAACGCGCAAGGCCTGCTCCGCCACCACACATTTCTAAAGCCTTCTTGTCGTGAGTACGAAAGCCCTGTTGATGTATAGTATGTTTTCAAAGTCAACAAACATCATGCATGGTCAAAATGGTACTTAATGTCGAGACTGCGCTCCTACACCTAGTACATCTGCCCAGTTTTTGCATCGTGTATCTCCATATTTCTCGCTATGAGTACTGACGAAAGCCAGCACGATGGAAGATCATCAGCGAAAGCGATCGCGCTCAAGCATTATAACTACCATTGGGCAATCCTTCGCAATATGCATCTTCAGGTCGTCAAGCTCACCGGTAAATCCACAGTTGTAGGGGCACTGCAAGTTTGCGTGCGGGCAGACGTAATTTTTCCGATGAAGCCCGTCCCAGTACCAGTAGTGTTCTTTCGGTTTTGAGTGCTGCTGGAAGTCTTTCAGAGGTACCTTCACCATGACAAATTTGAATTTTTGGCCAACGATTTTCATTTTTCGCCGCCAAAAGATAAAAAACATGATCAGTCGCTCCTGAATTAAAGGCCGCCTAGTTTCTTGATGATCGTCATTTCTAAGACGTAACGAAACGATCAGAGTTACCTTCTTCCTGCATTTTTTGCATTTTACTTTCCCTTGCCGAAACATCCGGGTCGCGAACTCGTTTTGGCGGAAGGTAAAACACGAATCAGCACTAGACTTCTCGTCCTCTTTGCCAGTACTACCGGTACCGCCACCGAAGATGTTCACGTTATCATCTGGTGCACTCTGGCGGCAATTGAAGCAGCTGCTTCTACGCGTTGAAACGCAATCGATCGCGCAGCCCTCGCAGGCCAATTTTCCGCAACAAGTCGCCTCGTACACAGGCCCCGCTATGATCTCGAAGCAGAGCGGGCAGGTGGCATCGTTGATTGAAACGGGAACGCACAGAACATCCTCGACCGCTTTTTTGTTTTTCTTCTCCTTCTTCTCTCGTCCAGTGCGCTTCTTGTCTCTAGTTTGGATTTCTTCTTTCGTGCTGTCAACTGTAGCCATCCTGGGGGCAGGTGGAGCAGAGGCAGAGAATGTTGACGTTGAGTCGGTGTCGGAGTCGCGGATTTTTCGCTCATTAGCATTCGGGGTAACGTCAGCGGCACGTTGCAGCTCGTGTTCAGCCTCCATTTGCTCGTCTGGTAAATTGGAATTGCTCAACGTTGCTCTTAAATTAATAAAATCAGATCAATTTACTGAGTGTCGATATTTCTATTTGCGATCATTTTGAACTTCACTACTGCGTGCCTACATTCAGAAGGTCTCGGAAAACTGCGCGGCCCACCATCAAGGCCACACATCAAAATTGTGTTGAGGCCACACACCAAAATCGTGGTGATGAAAAAGAGAACGAAAAAGAAATGCTTTATTGTCGGAACACACAAACACGGATGACGGAGCCTTTGCGTCCCTCTCGAGCATTTTTCTGCTCGGTGGGTCGTCCTCCCAAGGTTCGAATACTAGTAGAGATCGCGTCTGTATTTATCATGATGCAGTTGCTTGCCATGATACTGGCAGTCTGAAAAAAAGTCGTATTCGCATAGAAGTCGCTGGAGGTACAAGATTTTGATTTTTGCGTCTCTCTCAACAATAAAACATGTCGTAGTCGCTTGACGAAACATTCCATGTATTTCCTGGACCCTTTCCCGTCCAGGGGATAACCACCTCTGCATTCCCCGGTAGCACGGTTGTGGTCCTTCGTTTTCGTTTTCCCAGTCTTCCGCCCGAATATATTTTCAGCGCCCTTTTCAAAGGCTGGCGGCACCATCGATCAACGCCTGAACAAAGACACAAGCCGCGCACTCCCTCATCTATTAGCCGCAGTTCCCCCGCCGGCTTCAAGTGCGACCGTCGCGTCCTCTCCGCCGGGCCCGGGCCGCGTCGGGACGGGACAGGGTGGGCCGGGTTCTTTCCGAATTTCCTTCGCCGAGTGGATTGGCATTAGTTTGCCTTTGCTCGTTTCGCTTGCTGCATTTCGTCCGGGACGTCCCCGTCCTCTGGTTCTGCACTCTACTTCCTAGCGTGCGCACCACCCCCGCAGCCACCTTTCGACGCGCGGACATTTTTCACATCGCGCGCGAGCCCAACCGACCCCACTGCTCTCTGATTGTGGAACTCGAATTCCCTTTCCCAGCCGCGGCCTCATCGCCGTGCTGGTTCTGTCGCCCGTAAACGTCGTTGCAGCAGCTGAGGGTGTTGAGGGAGAGGAGCTTGGTCTTCTACTGTTTCCCGCTGTTGCTAGCCTACCGCCAACATTTTTGTCGCTTAAACAAGAACTTACGTCGCTTGTTCCTTCTTTCCAAAAATTAGGTGGCTTGTTCCGCTCCGGGATTTATTTCACAGCACGTCGTACTATACGTAGTAGCCGACGTTCCTTCCCACCACCGCCATCGGTCGCCGCCGCTGCTTATTTCCAGCTCGCTCTATTTCCCCTTATTCCCGCCCTTGCCGCCCATGCCAGGCCGCCGGTTCTGGTTCATTCCCCCACCTGGGCGCATCAATTTCGCCGCCGAGGCGGATATCCCGTCGTCTAAGGGTAACAGCGTTTGCGCAGGAAGCGAACCTGGACCGCGTGGCGGTCCTCCGAGATTGAGATTCGGCGGCGGTGGGAGGAGTACATGTGATGACTTCTGTCCGCTGTTCGTGCGGGGTAGATGAGATTTTTGAGCTGCATTTGGTCCACCTCCTTTCATCAGCATGTTGTGCTGCTGTTGTTGTACCGCGGCTGCGTGGCTGTTGTATTGCGGATGCTGACCTCCACCTGGGTAATTACTATAGTGCTGCCCTTTGTGATGTGCGGCGAAGTGCTGCGCGGCCGCTGCCTTCTGCTGGGCGGAAAAGTTATGCTGGCCCGCCGCGGCGTTCATCTTTCCACCGCTCCCTGGGGGTGGACCACTGCCGCCTTTATGCTGCAGAAACATCTGGTGCTGTGCGTGTGCCGCTGCTGCTTGTGACGTTGCACCACGACCAGCTGCACTCGTCCCGCCGGCCAAAGTCGAGGAGGAGCTAGAACTACCACTCGTCCCAGCACCTGTCCTGTTATTCCCGGCCACACCTCCCGGAGGTCCACCCCCGCCTCCTTTCGTCAACAACTGGAGATTCTGTGCCGCGTGGCCGGAGGGTTTCAGCAACGCCGAGCTACTTCCCCCCGACATCAGCTTGTGCTTGATCTGTGCCTCGGCACTCGGACAGTAGGGTAAGTCCGCCCAGCGCAGCTGCTGCTCCTGCTGGGCCCGTTGGGCCGCAATGCGCGCGGAGGGGTTGCGGGTCTTCACCTTTTTCTGCTTTTCGTCCGAACTGGAATCGCTCTCGTCACTGTCTTCCTCCACCGCGAGCAGCTTCATCATCTCCGCGTGGGACCCGTTTTGGTCGCTCTGCTGCGCATAGTAAAACGCGTTCCTGCGGCACGCGTCGCGGGTGTTTTTGCTGACGCCATGCTCCTCGACGAACATCTTCGCGGCCTCCAGACTGTTGTGCTTGGCCGCGTAGAAAAGCGCGGGCTGCCCGTTCACATCGTAGTGCTTGGCTTTGGCACCCGCTTTTATCATGATCGCGATGGCCTGGAGATGATTGGAAGGGTCAATTTTAATATTTCTGGGGTGAACGTGAAGAAACTTCATTTCTGAGGAGTTTTTTGCGACGAAAAGGAAAAAAACCCCAAAGATTGCATGATGGTGAAAGAAAACAAAAGGTGAACAAGCTGCGAATCAGTATAAAACATCAAGTACGTCGCATTTGTTGAGGTTCGCCGAATAGAAGATCGGCGTTTGCTTCCACTCGTGATCCGGTGACTGCGGGTCCACCCGTCGCCGCACCGCAGCGTCCACGAGTGTGTCGTCCCCGCTTTGCGCCGCTTCGTGCAGTAACGTCCACCCGTCCACGTCCTTCTTCACGTCGGACGTCGGCAACATCTTGATCCGCAACCGCGCCTCCCTGGCGCGGCTCTCCTCCCGGAACAGCCAGAAGTTCTCCGCCGTGAGGAAGGAGGAGTGTAAAGCCGCTGCGTTCGGGAGGAGCGGAATTTTCGTTCTTTCCAAAACCTCCAAATAGTCGATGTAAAACAGCTGCGTGGTGCTTTGCGAGAAGCAGTGCATCTCCTCGGCCACCTGCCCCGTGCAGATGTGTTCCCTCTTGAACGGGTCGTTTTTCACGTTTTTCGTCCCGAGAACCAGCGTTTGGTCGGCGTAGTTCACGATGTTTTGCTTCTTTATTTGGGTCGCGTTGTTGTTGTCTCCTCCTGCCGCGGAGGGAGAGTCCTCGTTGGCGAGATTGTCTTCGTTCAACACCTCAATCAGCTGCCCCCCCATCTTCTGCCAGAACGGGACCGCCTTCTTCGTCGCGGGTAAGTAAAGTTCGCACACCCGGCCCTCGTCGCGATTATTCGGTCTCTTGTTGCTCACCAGACGCCCGAACTTCCCGAGGTGGCTGTTTGTGTGTCGCCACCCAATGTAATCGAGGTCGGTGGCGAGGTTGTGCTCCTGCATGAGCGAAATTTTTTCCTCGTGCGCGCGGAAGTGGGCCTCTTTGTTCCAAAGTGTGTGCGAGAGCGTCTCCAGAATGTAGTGCATGAAGATCTCCCCGAGCTTCTGTCCACGAAGCCCAAAAATCGTGCCGAAGTACGGGATGCAGACCGACGGAATGGGCTCTCCCTGGTCATCCACGTCGCCCACCTGGTGATCCCAATACAGGGTGGCGGCGCCGATGCAGACGAGGTCCATGTCCTGTGAGTAGTTTGTGTCGACGTGTCGATGGAATGTCATGTTTACTGCCGGAAGTGCCGAAGTTACTTTCCTCGCAGCAGCAGCCGCGCCAGAAACAGAATGTGGGGTGGTTATAAAGCTACAGAAACACAAATACACATGCTACAAGCAGAAAAAAACTAGCTCATATTTATATTGTCTATACCGGCTTATTCAGACGCGGCAGCACGGGATGGTTTTCCTCGCATTGATCGACCGAATACGTGGGCACGATCAGGCTGACGGTAAACATGGCCTTCGGCCCGGACCGCCGCTGCCAGACACAGAGGTCATCGAAAAGTTTTCGGTCGATCAACAGCCGCTCGCCATGCTCGACCACGGGGTGGGGACCTGTTTTATTTGAGAGGTCGAAGTGGATAGAGCGATAGAGCTTCGATGTACCTATTTCTTTGAGCGAAGGCGAACCAACAGATTTTTCTAAAACATAGACAGATTTTCGCATCAAACAGAGAATGAGAAGAAGGCTTCTGTGGTGGTTGTACCTGCATGATCTGATGTTCGCTATTGTATCAAATCCATCGAAAAATGTACAACTTAAAAGAATACATGGAATTGTGTATTTGCTGGCCTTCATTTCGGTAATGGTTGGATTTTTCTGCCCCGTCTTTGGATTCATTTTTCCCGGCCCCCCGGGTATCGTTGGGTGCATGATAGTTGCGGGCGTCGGCCGCCCCGGCGGGATTTGGTCCGCATTTTCTTCTACTGCCGGCGGGGTGAGCGACACATTCTGTTCGTTATTGTCCCCATAGAAGTTGTTCCAATTGTCCGGACTCTGCCCCTCGAGCAGCGAAGCCGTTGCGTTTCGCGTCCCGAAATCTTCACTGACATCCGGTTTGAACGCGGTATTTATTCCCGGTTTCAACACCCCACTCTTCTTCGGAGGACGTTCCTTTGAAGACGAAGCCCCGATGGTCTTATCGGCTACGGAAAATCTGTTATTCTTCGCCTGTCTTCCTGCTTCAGATGCAGCAGAAGATGCGTCCAGTGTCAACACCTCCCCGTTCTCATCTTTCAGCCGCTTGTGCTCGACATGGGATGCGAAGATCCTCTCTGGACTCACGAACCGCAGGTCGTCCCAGGCGTAAAAATCAAAAACGAGGTTGGGCAACTTTTGCGCCGCCTCCGATAAAACCCGGCTCTGGTACTGCCAACTCTTTTTCCCGTGCGGAAAAATCGGGTAGCCGCTGATAAACTTGCCTTGGGGCATTTTTATTCGCGACGTTTATTTTTTCGTCCTCGTCGTCCGCGATGGAGGTCAATAAAAATGCGAATTCTTCTGCTCTTGCGGTCGGTGGTCGCGGCTAGTATTAAAGAGTACAACTAGGGTGCGTCATGTGGTCGAGAAGCTCTTGGTCTTGCAGTAAGGCAGGTTGTCAATTAATACAACTACTGGGAGCGGGAGACGACGAACTACCCCGCGCAGGGACGCGGTGCCATCCAAGTGCGTGAAACAAATTAGGGTCTTTTCTTCGAACGATCAAGAACCTCTACAACAACGGCTTTCTAGTACAAAAGGAGCGAGATCATGAGTGGTAATGAAACGGAAGTAGCTAGCATTGTCACACCAATCATGTCGAACTAAAACCGCCTCAACAGAATATTGCGCCTGAGAGACCAGGATGACCACCCCCTGCTGTTTGGTTCACCGGACGGAAAAAAAAAATGAAAAGATAAATTCTGTAGAAAGCAAAAAATGCTTCAGTTCTCGATACATAACATGGGATCAACATCTTTGGTTTTGCACATTATATATTTCGCACAGGGGCTTTTTGCAGCAGATCTCGAAGAAACAAACAGATCACAACTGACGAGCCGCGGATTTTTACCATTGAGATCAGAGAAGATCAAGATCCAGACCAGTAATGCAATTCTTTTGGAACAAGCAGCTAATCGCAAAAACAATAACAAATAGAGAACGAGCATTTTTTGATGACAATTTTCAACCCGCCTCTCCGTCGGATCAACTCGGCGCGGGTGTCGTTCCCTTGCTTCTGGTTTTTGAAGATGGATCAACAACTACATCATGAAGTCCATGCCTAGATCGGTTTATTTGATTGCAGGAAGAGGAGGTTATTTGAATGCAACAGTTTAATTGATCTCGGGGGGCCAAAAGACCGCAAAACATTGAAAACTGTTCGTTGCCTTCGACAGCACGCCAACTGGAACGATGGGAAAATCCAGCAGCGCTTCATCGGAAGAACATACGCAGTCGCATTTTGACGACGCGCATATTTTCTTCCTCATTTTTACGCAGCGGTAGTGAACGCGGATCTCGTGGTTGTTCCTTTGTTTTTCCTGGACGAGGACGAGCTACCACCAGTCAGAATTTTTGGTTTTTTGCCAACTAGATGAACTACTTCCACTAGCTTGCACTTACTGTTACTCGTGGTCACCTAAGAAGTAGGCCTATTTCAATAAAAAAAACACCATATTAGCAGCACCTTGATGATAGAAATTTATTACAGCAAACGACCGGATCTGAATTTCGCAAACATTTTAGCCTAGTTTTCTTTTCGGGCCATTGATACAAGAATAAACAAATTTCTCAGACGTACTGACCGTACTCAATTCACAAAATCAAAATTTCTGGAAAACTGGTGTTGACGTAGCAAAACTTTTTTTATGTTCTATGAGTGTGTATCAGTTTGATTCTTGCATTGACTTTTCGACCCTTTTTCGAGGACCTAAATTCTTTCTAAAGAGCTGTTTTACTTTCAATACAACGAAAACACAACAAGAAATCAACACTTCTTCTAGGGAGGGCCTAACTGCTCGAAGCAGCAAAGAAATGACTCAGAAGCAACGCACGCCACCCTCCATAGTACGCAAGAACCTCACAAAGATACAAAATAACGCCCGTTTACTAGTGCAACAACGTTAGTGCGCTGTCGTTTATCATTCTTGCTGGCTTTATTTCACAGACATCCAAGCGAAAAGGTGGAAAGCCATAAGCTGCAAGCGCTATGTCTCAATTGGACGTATTGGCTTTGGTATTCTTGTGGGTGAGTGGGCAAACTCCCGAGCCTGCCCTTCTGGTGAATGGTCAAACTCCCGACGTTCCCCTCCTAGTGAATGGCCAAACTCCCGCCCTTTGCCTTTTGGTGAATGGCCAACCTCCGGGCCTTTCCTTCCATTCTGTTTGAGCGGTGCAGGGTCATGGTCAAACCCCTTGGCCGGCTTCCCATTCTGTTTGGCGATACACTGAAGCCGAGGGAGGGCGCCGGGGGAGGGTGGTGGGGCCCAAAGAACAAGCGCCCGCGCTTGGAGGTCGGAACCCAGAGCCCCACCCGAATTCATTTGGCCAATCGCGGCCGCCCAAGGAAAAAAGCGCGGCCCCCACCGATACAGCGAGGAAACCGCTCCACTCGGGCAAAAGACTGACGCGAGAGAGTGTATAAATACCCCGCCGAAGCATGACGATACTACCGACCACACCACCCACCCCGCTAGGAGGACGCCTCCCTGGGTAGCCGAAATAGCTGCGCCAAACACAGCCACGCAGGCAAAAAGGAAAAGCGCGAAAAAGAACATCGCAGCGCATTGCTGCCCTCTATCCCCCCAGCGCTGCACCTGCCCCCCCTGTCCTGTTAGAGCCCCGCTCTTCCAGGTAGCCAGAATTTCATCATAGGGCGCGCGGAGCTTCGTCGCCATTTGTTGCTGTAATAGAGGACTGCGCGGCGTGGTAAAGCAGTGGGCCCACTTGGGGCGCGACGTAGGCAGAAGGAAAAACGCTGCCAGATACCCATGCGGCACGCATGCCGCGCCGGCGGCACTACGGCGCCCCGTGTGTCACATGCCCCCAAAATCGCGGCGCCGCGAACTGCTTCCGCTTCGGAGGCGGCGCTAGGAAAGATGCGGCCAGATACCCATGCGGCACGCGCGCAGCGCCGGCGGTACTGCGACCCCGCAGATGTCACATGCGCCGCGCCGCCTCCCAACTTCGCGGCGCTGCGACTTTGGTGCCCAGAATACCATGCGGCACGCGCGCAGCCCCGGCGGCATGGCAACACAAGAATGGCCAAAAGTGGCCTTTTTTGCTTCTTTTGGACCCGGCCGACTGGCCGAATCCCGACGGTATGGGCCAACTTCCCATGCCATAAGTTTGAGGCCTGGCGCCTCGCCAAAGTCGGAGCAAAAGACTTTGAAAAGACTTCGAAAAGACTTTGAAAAGACTTTGAAAAGACTTTGGAAAGACTTTGAAAAGACTTTGGAAAAGACTTCGAAAAGACTTTGGAAAACGCTCCCGTTTCTGCATGGCCAAAATTGACCATAACATCGGGCGAAGCTTTCAAAAAGCGCGCACTTCTGGGCGCTTTCCCCAAAGTCTTTCCAAAGTCTTTTCAAAGTCTTTTCAAAGTCTTTTGAGCAGGAAAACTCGCGATTTTTCTGGCCACAGACAGAGTCGGGCCAGGAAAATGCCTGCGTTTTTAACACCTTCCCCGAGCGGATTCGGGCACTTTGGCCGTCCCGAACACCGCGCCATTTGGGCCAACCAACTCCCACCGTGCCGCCGGCGCGGGGTGCGTGCCGCATGGTATTCTCTACGAACTTTTCCCATGTCATTCATAGAGGGCTGAAAAAGGCAGCCAGCTACGAGCGGATCCCGCGATGCCGGTCGCCGATAATTGGCGGCCGGACCCGGGGCCGGCCCCGTTTCACGCCGTAACTGTGGCGCTTGATATTGCGAAAGGCCGCCAAGCGTAGCTGCACAGAAATTCGCTCGCAGACCACTGCCGCAGCAGTGCCATTTTTTTCGCCGAGTTACTACCGGGCGAGGGGTTTCTTTTTTTGGAAGGGGAGAGTGTGATTTCTGTCGCGCCCATGAAGCACAGAGCAGCTCTTTTGCTATGGGGCGAAAGAGCAAAATAGGAAAACCCAGACTCAGCCTCCCCCTGCAGCTTTTTTTTTGGGCCTGCGTGTCGTTTCCGAGTTTTTTTTTTCCTTCCACGTACTGTCAAGAGCCCATTTTTTTTTTTGGAAGTGGGCGGGCAACTTTCGGTTTTTTTTTCATTCTGGCGACCAAGAAAATTTGAAATTTTCAAAGTTTTTTGGAAGTTCTTTTGCAGTATTTCGACGCCTGAACTTCACCCGCCGTCGTAGGGGTAATCAAAGCGAAAGCCATAAGCTGCAAGCACTATATCTCTGCAGCTGCAGGACGTATTGGCTTTGGTATTCTTGGTATGAGAGCAAATAGGAGCAGTAGCATCGTGATTGGCATTTTTTTCCTACTTGTGCAAGAACTGCAGCGAAGTTGACTCCCGATGTGTTTGAAGGTTTTGGAAAAAAGGGAAAAAGACGACAAACCCTTCCACGACCCTTCTCCCCCCGCTGCTATGGTGTTCCCTTACTCCCCCCCGCTTATCTATCTTCATACATCTTTATAATATATGGTCTATAGCTATAGCACTATGTTCATTTTTTTTTTAGACTATGAATGGAGTAGCCTATGTATATATGTAGCTATCTGGGTACAAAAACCAGCACGACCGAGCGCCACCCACCGCCACCCACCGCCACCCACCGCCACCCACCGCCACCCACCGCCACCCACCGCCACCCACCGCCACCCACCGCCACCCATCGCCACCCACCGCCACCCATCGCCACCCATCGCCACCCTCCCTCCGGCACCCTTCCCCCCCCGCTGCTATGGTGTTGTGTGTTGGCCTACTTCCCCCCCCACTTATCTATTCGGGACATCGACATATGAAGGAACTCTATAATTAAAGAGAAAAGGTAAAGGGATGACTATAGCGAAGTAGATGAAAAAAGGAATAGAGGTAGAAATCCAGAAACCACCGCAACCCCCCCCCAACCACCGAAGGCCAGCACTGCTATGGTGTTGGCCTACTTCCCCCCCACCTACCTGTTAGCGAAAGGCGTACGCAATAAGCTTGAAGCCCGTAACCCTCAGCAACATCCTGCACATGCCGCGCATAGGGTGCGTGGGGTATGTCGCCAACTTATGCCAGGACTTTGACACATTTCGGCAGTTCTATTTTCTGGTCTCGCACGAACGTCGAAACTAACCCGCCGCGCCACCTGGCGCGATGAGCGGCGCCACATCCATGCAGACCCGTAGCCCAAAAAATTTTCTGGACGCGCGCGAAGAAAAAAAAATGCAGATAGGGGTCTACTTTTCTTGGGCGCGCGCGCGCCGATCGGGAGATGAATGCAGGACGGAAAAGATTTTTCGTGGCGCACACTGCACGCGCTCGGATCGGCATACGTTTGCACGCAGAAAACAAAAACTCTCGGGGCGCGCGCTGCGCGCGCGCAGTGAGAAACATGCAACGCGTAGGGTATGTAGGGCATGTAGGATATGCAGGCACGTTCGAAAGCGTCTGCACTTCTGCGCGCAGCGTCCTACATATGCTGCATGTGTAAACCCAAAGTCTGCTGCTATATAGCAAACCTATGACAAACGGCACCCATAGGGCCGGTGGAAACATAGAGCCTGCGCGCCCGTCCGATGCTGGGTCACTCGGCGCACTACCGGGCTAACCCAGCTACCCGGTTTCTCAACTTTTATCATCATCGAAAAAAAACCTATGGCAGCAGTATGCTAGCCACGCTAGTGAAGTGCCCTATGCTAACTAAGTAGCTAGAGTACTGGCAATAGGGGTAGTAGCTAAGCAGCCGCCTGGCACTACGCACCGGAGGCCAGGCGCGTAGCCCCAGGCGGATGAGGCTCTGGCTGACAGCTGTTTCTCCGGCTGAAAGGCATTTTTTTTCATTCTGCTCTATATCAGGGCGCGAAGATGAAAAAAAAAGAAACGAAGACAAGAGCTGCTGCTAGACCTCGCGCCCCTGCTTCTACTACTCTAGCCATTTACCTAATTGGCAGACGGAATTGGAATTGGCAGACGTCTCCGCAGCTGCAGGACGTATTGGCTTTGGTATTCTTGTTGTTTCATACTTAACCGTCAGGCATTGACAATCAAAATGATAATCGTCAGGTTCATTTTTAATAGGGAGGCGGGAAAGTAGAAAAACCCATGTGTACAACTCCTGCCCGCGCCAAAAAGAAGCTGCTGGCAAATACAAATTCAAAATCTAATTTACTTAATGCTGGGGTCATTTTTTATTTGCAAAAACGGTTCCTGGTGGCTACTCAACTGCTCAGAGCAAAACTTGTTGATGTTTCTCCAACATGATAGTGATAAGATCCAAAACAATCCTTATCGTGGCCGTGAGAAGGATTCATGCTTAATTTGCTCCTGTGAAGAAATAATGGCTCGCTTCTCGTTAATGTTGAACAAGGTGGAAAAGGTCTACGCTTAACGTGTTCTCAGGAGTTTTCACAGTTTTTCCTGCATGATATTTTGATTTTCTTTGTTCATAGAATGTTGACTGAAATCGTGCAAGGCGCTATCTCGAATAAATAACCCTAACCCAGGAAAAAACCCTGAAAACCCATTAGCGACACATTCCGGTCGGTGCAGGATCTGCACGTGAGGGAGAATACGAAACTAGTGTCAAGAACTACTTAGTCAGCCTCGTTGTCGTTTCCAAAAAACTCCTGCTGGAAATACATTTCCGGTGACATGGTTGTGGTCACCACTTGTGTGCCGCCGGTCAGAGCTGCCAGATTCTCGCCGGTTTCCAGCACCGCTTGCTCGACTTTTTCTGCGACGGTGGTTGCAACGCGGGCGCAAGCCGGACTGTTCAAGAACTGCGGTGAAGTTTTTTTGTGAAGCAGAAGTTCGAGATTCGTCGCGCCGTAGTCGTATAGGTCCTGTTTTGTCTTCCGCAAGTCGTCGATTGCTGCGAACAAACTGGCTCTCGAAGCTGGTGCTGTAGAAGAAGTACTCACAATTGTTGTTCCCTGTGGTCCTGTCCCCGACGTCAGCCCTTTCCCTACCCGCTTTCGCTCCTCCCCAGCCTCTTCCAATAGCAGATTTTCCACGGGAATACCGCACTCCTGACAGAGCGCGCGCGCCTTGCTCTTCCGGTTCTGCAGCTCCGTCTGGAGTTTCTGCCGCTTCCGCGCGATTTTCTCTGCTTCTTGGGACAGATACTTGTCGCTGTTCAGGGAGGCAATTTGTTGTTCATGGAATAATGAATCATCATCGTCGGACACGACATCGCCGTGGTCTCTGTAGAAGTCCTGCTTGTTTAGTTTCTCGCAAGAAGCTGCATTTTCGCTCTCACTTCCCTCTGGAATGGGCGCAAGATTGCTGATGTAGCCGCTTTTATTGTTGTTCCTGCCATAGTACAAGTTGTTTTTCGCCTTGTTCTTCCTCGCTGCGATATTCGACCGCTGCGCTACTGTTTTGTTCAACTTCTCCAATTTCCGCCGCATGTCCCCGTCCTGCTTCATCAGTGCCGCGATTTGTTTCAGCTCCGCTTGTATCATATGCAAATATGTCTGGGTCTGGAAGAGTCGGGGTTTGTCATGCACAGTTTGCATGACCCATGAGGTCAGTGATGCAGGTCCTAGCATCACAGATTTTGTGAGAGCTTCTTGATGCTTATCACGCATGACAAATGCCCTTTCTGGTGCGTGCCAAGAGCTGGACGCTTCTTGCTGCTCATGCAACACAGATATTTGTAGAATCCGCAGACAGCATTACAAGTTCCACTCTTCCAGACCGAGACATTTTTGCAGTGAATAGCTTGAAGGTCCTTCTTTTTCTCCCCCCGCACCTCGGCCACTATAACCCGCTCAGGTGTTACAATCTCAAACGTTGCAATAGAATATGGAAATCTGTGATGCAAGAGTGCATGATCTAGCCTCTTCCCACAGGATTGCGCATGACAAGTTTCGGAGCTCCAAGCCGCACTATAATCTGGCGAAATTTGTATTGCAGAAAGTGGAACGCTCTGCGAGTCTGTCATGCTCATCCTGCAAGACACATCCCAGATTCTATTGTAACGTTTGAGATTCTTGTAACGCTTGAGCAGGTCATAGCCACGCGCAGCTGTTTCTGAATTTCGTCGTTGATTACGCTGTTCGCCGGGTGGGATTCAGTTTCGAGCGCTTTTTGAAACAAAAACTGGTGCTTTTGCTGCTTGTTCATGCTGGACGAGGCGGTTTTGGAATAATTATTGTTGACATAATTGTATAATTGCTGACCGCCGGCGGCAGGAGGAGGAGCAACATTTATTTTAGTAGGATCCTTCAAGATGAAGGCGATTTTCTCCTCGTCCCCAACTTCCTCTACCATCCTCTCGTGCAGCAACGCGGCGGACGAAAATTTCTGCTCTTCGGAGAGCCTCTCTTTCTCGTATTCCTCTTATGCATTGCAAAAGTATCGTACTAGTATAAACTGCATTACAAATTCCCCCAGCATTACAAATTGAATTTGTAATGCTGATTTACCTTGAGAAAGAGATTTGTAATGCATAAATGCAATTACTACGAGTGCGATACTTTTGCACAGGATACCTCTTCCCACTTCTCCAAACTCTCCAGAGAAATTGCTTCGATATCAAAAGGAAAGATCCCCCTCCCCATATCGAAAAGCATCGCCTCAGAGAATTTGCGATGCTGATTTGTGACCACAAATCACGTCTGTCTTGCAAGAGAGCAACGGCATGGGATCCGCCCCATTATGCAGGCGGTTTGCAATGCTGTTGGTCCTACAGTATAGACGTTCCCCATGCTAAGTGCCTAGGCCAGAACCTCTCTACATTCGCATGATGTGGGCCCGCAGTCCTCTACTGCAAGACAAATCAGATTTGTGCACGCAAATCCAGCATCAGAAATTTTGTTTTGATATGGGGTGGGGGCTTATTTCATTGTAATACTCGAAAACGGTGCTTCTCAACTCCTTCTTTTTCTCATCTTGCGTCCGCATTTGCTCTTCCCGAACCAGCCCCGCGACGGCTCTTTGCAGCAAGCTCAGCTTCTCCTCGGATTGGAACAGAACCCCGAACCTTTTCTCCAGCTTTCTCCTCGTTTCTTTCCGCCTCTTCGCTTCAAGCTCTTCAGGACTGTAGTTGTTGTTCTGCTCGTCGTGCTGGTCTCGACGTTCTTGCGAGAGTTGTTGTAATTGCAGACCACCACCTCGATTTCGATCTACTACAACTTCCTCTTCGTCCGCAGACGAGGAGCTGCTGGCGCTGTCCGTCCTCTGGAGCTGGGGAAAAATACGTGGTCCTTGTCCGCCGGATGCGGCAGCAAGCGCTACCTCTTCAGGGTCTTCAGAAATGAAGTCGCCGTGTAGTAGTTCATCTCGCGCGGGACCGCGACCTCCTGCACGTATCGTGCCTTCGTGTTGTTCGTGTGAAGCAGATGTGCTTTCGTTTGCAGAAGCTGGCTCCCCTCGTTCTCCTACTTCGTCCTCCACAACAGGCCCACTGATCTCCCGTTCCACACTGCCCACAATTTCCGCAAGAAACTCCTGCACGGATTTCTCACAATCGATGTCCGTCAAGCACTTCCTACTCCACCCCTCCTGCCTGCGGTCGGAAGCTCGCTCCTCATCGAACCCAGTAAGCCTGTCCAGGGTTCTGCGATGCGCGTTCGGCTGCATAGAAGAGGCACAAGCTGTACTGTTCTGCAGTGCCAGCAGCGATTTTTGCAGCTGGTGTTGGTGTTGCGGCGGCCCTTCGTGCGTGCTATTATGTGGTCCTCCTCCTTCTTGTTGCAACAACACTCTTCTGTGTCGGAGCAAATTATCCGAGTGATACAGTTGTTTCGGGTGTCCAAACTGCCGCCACGCTCGCGGGATGAAGATCGTCGTCATTGTTGCGGTTTTCATCTTCGCGCCCGGCGTGAAGGTCCTCGCTGGCAGCAAGCCGAATCCGAATAAACTCGAAGTAGTGGTCGAGCTATTCATCATGCTCATGTCCACAATTGACGGCGTATGACTAGACGATAATCCCGTGGCAGAACTACAACCGGCGCCCGAAGACGAGTTCTCCTGCGCCATTACTGACAACGCGTCGCCATGGGTGCCCGAAGGAGCTCCTGCCCCACTAGCACAAAGCTGTTGACTGCTAGAAAAGAGCATCAAATCGCTGACGTCTTTCGCGCTGTAGTTGTCCCAATTATACGGGTTGTAGGGCGTCGCCGGTCGCAACCGGTACTCGAAGCTATCGAACAAAAAAACTGTGTTAGTGCAAGTCTCTTGCGAAAACAGCATCACAAGTTTGTCTGCCATGACAGGAAAAACTTGTTATGCGCAGATAGGAAGGAAAACACATACATATGAAGCGAGCCGATCATGCATGTCGAGCATGACAAGTGTAACTGTTTTGCATTTTCTGCATCACAGATTTACAGTTACACAGTTCTTTTCTTGCGTAGAAGCCTTTCAAAAAGCACAACTTCCACAACTCGTTCTGCTCGTACTTTTCTTCAAATATCCTGTGCAAAAGTATCGTACTCGTATTGCAATCATGCATTACAAATCTTTTTCTTAGGGTAAATTTGCATTACAGATTCTCTGTCTCATGCTGAGGAAATTTGTAATGCATTCATACGAATACGATACTTTTGCAGTCCATATCAAATTTCCTCCGCTGGTTCTCGAGGTTTTTCCGATCCTGGATACTACAGCCGTACTTCTGGACGTGCGAGAAGTCTGCCCGAAGGGTCGCAACGACGGACTTCAGGTTCGGCTGGTCAAGATCTGGAGCGGGGTTGTCAGGATGAAAATCTGGTACTCGAGTGGTCTCTTCTGGTGTATCTACTTCAGTATTTATTCCCGCCTGAAGATCTTCAACACGATTATTATTTTCCCGCATCGCCGCAGCTTTATTTTCTCGCGCCGCGGCCAGCTGGATTTTTTCCTGTCGTTTGATTTCCGACTCGAAAACTTTTCTCACGTTCTTCGCATTCCGACCGGAGGGGGAAAAGGAATTGAAGCCGGAGGCAGTTGCTGAAAAATCGGTCAACGGGACAAAAGTGCGGAGAATCGCGTGGGGTGAATCCAGCAAGTCCTTGCTGTGTGTGTCCAGGTTGGTCAGCGTGATGCTCGTGCACAGGTTCCAGACGTGCCGGGAAGGAAAGTCGTGATTTGCAACATGATCAGGGTAGTAGTGATCGCGTGCATGATCAGCATCCCCCTTCATCTCCGGAGGGCTCCCCCAATCGTAGTCGTGGCCGTCTTGGTACACAGTGAAAATTTGGTCATCATCCTCGTCCACAGCCCACTGCCGCGTGCAGGGTACGCCACCGCAGCCGTCTGTTTAGTTTGTGTTGAATGGGTTATTCATTGAATAGACATGAACTTTTTCTGCAGCTCTGACTACTACATCATGCCATTTACTACACAGAAAAAACTTAAAATACACCCTGTACATGCTGAATTCTTACAAAACTCAGTACGGCATGGCACGCGCAGCACAAGAATGTCGTTTTCCTGCTTCCGATTCTCGAAAAGGGGAGGACCACCAGCTGCCGATTCGCAAACTACATCCTCTCCGTCTTCTTCCTGCCCGTGCTTGTCGACCGGGCTGGTTCCAGTTGTTGCAACCACCAAACGCGTCTCCACCGTTATTTCATGTTTATCTCCACCTGTAGGTCCTGGTTTACTCTGCAGCGGACCATCGTTTGTAGGTGCTCTGTCCTCATCTTGTAGCTGTCCTTCCCCTGGCTCCGCGTAAAGGTCCTGCTTTGTGTCGTTTTCAAGTTCTTCGTCAAAAGTCAAACTTTCAAACTCCTCTACAGCGAAAAAGTCGCGGAATCTGGCATCTCCTTCGTCTGTGTCATCAAAATCAGCAAGCACTGGATTGCCGTCATCCTCATTCTCTTCGCAGGTTGTACTAGTAGAGGATGTTGCAATCATTTCGTCTTCGTCTGTTCTTTTACGAGCTGCGAACTTCTGGCTCTCCTTGTTCCCAAGTCGTCGGTAAGATCCCCCCTGCCAGGCGGTGACCTTTTGCAGCATTTCGACGGAAATGGCCTTTTCCCACTCCGCCAGCTCCGCAAGCAAAACCGGTCTCCGCGTGTGCAGCTTGTACCGATACATGGGACGTCGACGCTCATCGATTTCTTGCCGGTCGTCGTTGTCGTCGTCCACTTTCAGTACATCTTTGGTGTTCTTGCTGGTGCCGCTCGGAGCCGCCGTTGCGCGAAGTCCGGTAGCCGTTAGGCCTTCCTCGGTCTTCGTGTTCATCGTGTCAAGAACAAGAACATCTCCCTCCTGGTCGCCTTGATCCTGCGCCGCGTCCTCGCCTGCCCTTGGTGCATAATCATGACCCCTGTGTGGCCCGCTGTTTTTTTCCTTGCCGTTATTCTCCTCAGTTGAGCTGCTGGCATTTTCGATTATTTTCTCCACCTCCTCCTCCTCTTCTTCAATTCTTTCCGCCACAACCGTCGCCACTTTCACCATGTCAATCTTGCGTCGCAAGCCACACCCGGCGAGCTCCACATACTCGATGTTTGACACCACGAGCACTGCCCCGTCCGCCCGCGTGATGATCGTCCCAACTTTATCCAGCGGGTGCTGCTCGTTCTGCTGCCACTCGAAAGAGATGGCGGCCGAGTCCGGGGTCGGCTTGCGGAAGTGGGTGTAGTGCTGCGTTGTAGCATCTTGCTGCTCAGAATTGCATTTTTTCTCGCCCATCGTGTTCGCCCCCTGGCTATACACATCACGACCCGCAGTATCTCGTCGTCCCAGTATCGCCAGCTGCGGACGGCCAGAAGCATCGAACATTTTTGTCGGTTGACGTCTATTACCGGTAGACAATTTCTTACGAGAAGCAACGCCAAGATCATCGTCGTCGCTGGATGATGAACAGGGAAAATCTACCTCCTCATCATCGGAATCAGTACCTAACTCATCCAACCTACCACCACCGAGGACGACGCTGTCGTCCGTGCCTTCCGCAATGTTCCGGATCGCTTTTTGCAGCTGCCTCAACATGTCCAACTCTGCCCGCTGCTTCAAAAACTCGTGCCTCTTGAACAATCGCCAATTCTCGTCGTCATAGCAGAAATCCGGATAGTAGTAAGAAAGTTGTGATTCGGAGGAGAAACTTGTGTCTCTGTTCTGTCCAAACTGCCAGTACTCGAATCTCTTCGGAAATCTGAGCCTTCCGTAGTGCAGGGGCAACACCTGATTTCGGAAGAGTAAGCGGATTCGGCTGTTGGTTTTGACGGCATGGTAGTGGTGTTTGAAATGGTTGTTAACAAATTTCACTCCCTTTCGGCTAGCGCAGCTAGTGTATTCGTTGGATACTTTGCTGGAAGTCGTCTTCAACATCTTGGTAGTGGTTTTCCAAAACGTTCCCCCTCTCACAAACCGCGGCAACGCTTTTTCCACCCGGAGACACGCATCCCGATTCTTGCGCTTCGACAACACTTGTAGTCTGGCAAGCCAAGCGGTGAAGACTCGGGGCTTGAACTTGTTTACGGATGAGGAAAGCAATGCAGGATGGCACACCGCGGAGAAGAAAGAACGTTTTGGACCACGTAGCGATCTTGGAAACATCCTGCTCTTCATCCCATCATCTTCACCCTCCTCGTCCAAATCTACAGCTTCCCGTGTGTCTCCTTCTGAGTTTGGAGATGTTGGGAAAAGCTGATAACTTGTTCTTTCGCCTGACTCATTTTCGTTCTCGTCCGCTCCATTGCCCCGTTTCAAAATCTTTTCCAAGTCGGAAAAAGCGATTCGCAAGCGCTCCTCGGGACTTATTTGGGTCGTCGTTGTGTCTTGTGGTAAGAAGTGATCTCCAACATGCGAAGACTCACGACCCTCGTCTTGCTGATGTGGAGCAAGCACTTTTGAAGATGATGTTCTCTTCTTGGCAGATTTTCTTCTCGACGTCCCATGATCATCCAACCCCTCCACGATCTCTTCCCTGACCATCAACTCCGGCGGAAGCTTTATTCCCTGCTGCAGCAGCTCGTAAATCTCGTTCTTCGGAATTTTCTTCGAGAAGTCAGGCTGGTCGTCTTTCATCATTTGTTCTTTCCTCATCTGTTCTGCGGTCAATATTTCCTGCTCTTGCTGCAGAAACCGTTCGTATTCTACCTCCTCCCGTAGTTTCTGCAGTTCTTTGTCACCAGCACAGTTTTTAGTTTTACCCTCTGCGCCGGTCGGAAATAATCGCGCCGCGTTTTTCTGTTCTTTCAGCATCGCCTCGAAATTCTTGTCAAATTTTGCGGCAGACGCAGAATCTCCGTCTCCCCGAAGTTTCCGAAGTTCCTGCTGATACGCGTATTCAGCTCGGTTGTTGATGGTCTGGGTCATCTCGGACTGCTTTTTCAGCCACAACAGGTACTGCTGCTGCATGTAAGGGCTTCTTCTACTGTTTGCCGTGTTTATTTTTCCATTCCTGTTCATCTGCAGCTGCGGAGCAGGAGCCTTAGAAGCATTAAATAAAAGCCCTGGTGCCCGCGCGTTCGCCAGTGGAGTGAGCTTGCTGCGCGAGGCTGAAAACTGTCGCTCGTCGATGAAACTTGTGTCCTTCGCCAGGTTGATTACCTTCAAGTGTAGCCCGTCATCGCTTTCCTCGTCTCCACTTGTTTCTGATTCAGATGATGAGTCCGTGTTTGTATCAAGGGAGTCTTCTGATTCCGGCTGTTCCAACTGCTGCATCCTTTTCTGCAGCTCCCGGAGCTGTTCTTTTCTCTGCTTCTTGTTTGTATTTTCGTCTTCGTCCTCTGTGTTCAACTGTTGCACTGCTCCTGACGCAGCTGCAAACTCCTGGAGAAATCGTTCGTACAGAGTCGAGGATGGGTCCTCGTCGTTGTAGTAAGCATCGTTAGTCTGACGAACCTGCTGGTTGTCGCTTTTTGTCAAATCCGACCACAAGGCGCCGGTGTAGAGTTCAGCATCCTCTTCCTCTGTTTCACCTTCATCATCACTGCTTTCCTGATTTTCGTTTTGATTTCCCTCCAGTTTTTCACTTTCGGCGAAGAAACTACCTCCGGTAAGGTCGATCAGATCGTCGTCTTCCGAGATAATTGACGGCATGACGTTGCCCCTGCTGCGCGGTGGACAATGGGTCACATTTGACGAACTTCCAGAGTTCTTTCTGCCGTCCACAAGGGCCAAGCCCTGCCGTCCAATCTTCGCAAGCCCTGGTCGTTTCGACGTCGGTTCACAACGGCCTACTACGCCGTTCAAAGAAGAACGCCGCGCAACATGTAGCACATCAGAGCAGCCGCTCCTTCGTTCGATCTTCTGATAAAGCTGTTCCAAGATACTCGGGGGTCCTCGTTGCTGGCTGGACTTGTTTGCTTCGCCCTTGTTTTTCTTCATAAGTCTCCTTCTCTCCGCCCTCGATCGTCTTCCCTTTCGTCTAGAACGAGAGGACCCGAGGTCGAGAATTCGTTGGTTTTCCCTTTGTTGCGAAGAGATTGTTGACAGAATGGAGGAGCTGCAATTGCTTCGAACGCCGCGAGAAGCATCTCGAGCAGCAGACATTAGCGCTGACAAGGACGCAGCGGTCACTGTCCCAACGTCCGAGAAATACTCTTGCAGATCGATGTTTTCGAGAGTTTGCTGCGGCTCTTCCTGGACGACGTCAACATCAACAGGCTCGTCAAAGAAAAGTAGGTCTGGAGTTGCTAGCACTCTGCGCGGCTGTTGTTGTAGATGTGGCCGCGGTCCTACCGAAATGTAGTTGTCCCTTCTTCTTGCAGCACTTGTGCAGGTCCCGGAGCTGCTCGTAGAGTTTCGGCCCGTCATCCCGGCCAAGTTTCCCGTCCGATCCGTCGTGGCTACAACCGGGGTATCAAGAGTATGCTCTTGTTGGGGTTGTTCTTGTTCTACTCTCCCCGAGAGAACCGCGGTGGTGCTAGAATCCTTTTCTTCACCCCCAAGACCTACATATGACACTCGGACAGCACCAGGAGCTTCCCGGAGCTGCAAGGACGCAGAAGCAGCAGCACCGCGGTGCACCGAAAGAACTGCAGGACCACGAAGTTGTTGAGCAGCCGCGTCCGAGTCGCTCGTTACTGCAGCGATAATCTCCTCCTGTCTTTTTCTTCGCGCGTCCCGGGCAGCTTGCTCCCTCTCCTTCCAGAAGACCAACGCACCACCAGAAGCACTACCCTTTTGCTTTTGCTGCTGTCGCTCTCCCCCGGAAGAGGAAACAAGGCGCTGCTCATCGGTGTCCGAACTGGTCGTACAGCCTCCGGGCGTTGACGTGCTGAGAATGTCAGTCGTGACAACGGCGGCCTGGTTGAGTGTTCCAACCATGTTGATTGGGTCAACTACATCTTCGCAAGAAGAAGTGCCTTCTCCGCGGGCCCCCATCGTGAACATCATGTTCTTTTGCAGAAAGGTGCTCGTTACCACAGATGATTTGCCCCCGGTCGTGCCGTTCATTGGTATTGCTCCTGCTCCACAACTTCCGTTGGAGAAAATTTCGCCGTCCGAGCTGTTCACAAACCCGGTTTGCTGGCCCGCACTGCCGCGGGGCGAACAAGACTCCTCTACTCCCGATGAATAGTTGGAGCCGCTCACGCAGTTTGCGCCCAGCTGGATGCCGTCCGACTCCGATTCGTCTTGATGTGGAGCATGAGCAAAGCGGCCTGCTGGTGTGACAACTTCTGGTCCTGGTCCTCCCCCATCGAGTTGCATCTTCGGACGAAGAAGTTTTGGTGCACTAGCACTGGTCTGCAGCAGGCAGGGCAGTTCGAGTTGTGGTGGAGTAGGACTTATTTCCTCTTCGACGCAGCTTTCTTGTATGCTGGCCCCCGCGAGTTGTGACGTCTGCTCACGGCACTCATCATTCTGGATCAGCTGCACTCCTACAACATCCGGCGCAGCAGAAGTGCCACCAACTTCTTTCCCAGAGCACGCAACATCAGGTCGTCCGTCGTCCGGGACAACATCGAAACTGATCAAATCCTGTTGCTGTGGGACCGCCTCGGGCGCCACACCAAGGCCAGGGGGGAACGGAATCATCAGGTTTCTTGCGGTTTGGTCAGATGAATCCGAAGCGGTGCTATGGTTGCTCTCCATGATGCGGTCTAGCAAAGTGGAACTGGAATTCGCAGCAGGTGGGGGTCTAGCTATCGTTGCAGTTGCCGTCTGTTCAGCACCACCACTACTAGAAGTGGAGATTTTTGTATTCGAATGCGACTTGGTCGCGCAGTAGTGTGAAACCAATGGCGACACTTCATCTTCGATCTTACTTTTTTTTTCATTCGCTGCAGGACTACTTTCTACTCCGTCGATCATAATGGTTGGATCAAGCGAGAACCTCTCCATCCCGGGCGGCCCGAGATCGCTGCACGGACTCTGATTCTCGCGCATGTCCGCGGTAACGTAGGATATCGATGAAGCGGCGACGAAACGGCTTTTCTGCTGCTGTGCCGGCGGCGGGTCGTGGTCGTGCTTTACCTCTTGCGCCGCGCGGCCGATTGTAGCTGCGGGACCATTGTCTTGCAAATCCAAGAGGTCCGCGTCTATCAGACTGGAAATTTTTTCCAGAGGTTCTGTATTTCTGCTTTGCAACTGACTCTGTGTTCCTGGTAGTACGACACCTGAAGGAGCGGGTGCCCCCCGCGGCCCTGTGCATTTACTACTACTTCCCGCGCTTTTTAACATTGCTCCGGCAGTAGTGGCTTGCTGTTCTTGAACTACGGACAGGTTTCTGACGATTGTGCCATCCCTGCAAATTAAAATTTTCCCAGGCTTCATTGCTCCTACTCCTGTTGCTCCAGCTGCTGCCGCGCTCGTGGTAGACGTGGACGCGCGAGCTGCTGGCTGCGACGCAGTAGTACCTACAAGAGCTACGCCCGGCGCTGTAGTTGCTCCCGGTCCCGGTCCCGCCGCGCTCGCGGCTTTATTGATACTGCTGACTGCCGACGACCTCGATGGCAGGACGCTGCTCAACTTGGCCTTGATGTCCGCGTATCGGGCTGCAGCGCTCGTAGCCGTCGTCGTGGACGCCGCCGGCTTCTTTGTACTAGCTACTCCACCTACCGCAGATATGGTACTGGAAGCGGCAGTCGGTGCGGTGGCTCGTGGCAATGGAGTAAGCGTTGTACTGATAGCTGCCCTCGTGGCCGGGGCCGCGGCAGCTACTTTCGACACCGCCGTCGTCGTTTTCTTAACCGCAGGAAGAACCCTGTACTTGTCCGGGAGCTGAATGAGAAACTGCACTAGAAAAATGTTCACGGCGTACTCAACTTCATCATCTTCGAACAGTTCGTCGTCCGATTTGGAGCCCCGACGATTCGTCTGCTTGCTCCCCTTCCCCTTATTGGCACGATTCTTGTCTACTTTATTTTTCCCACCTTTGCTCGTCTTGCTCTTTTTCGCGCTACTGCTGTTGGTGTTCTTACCACAACCGCCAAACGCGCTGCTCAGCACGTTGTTCAAATAGAAGATTTTCAAATCTTCAACACTGCTCTCCGGGACATGCAGCGTAGCAGCAAGCAAAGACCTGCAGGTCACGAAATCCTCCCGGAAAAACTTCTCCTGCAAATCCATGCCGCTTCTGTCGAGAAAAAACCGGTAGCTGAGCACCAAGTGCGTCAGCGGTTTTTCCCGGACTCTCGTACCCAGGAAAATTCTGTCCGCCAGACTGCCGCTCGGGTTTTGCGAGGCCGCGAGCTTCCACCCATCGAGGTAGTTCAGAAACCTGGGCGGGACGGGCAGGGGCTTATGCGACTTCAGTTCCGCAACGAGGTAGCGGAACGCTACGGTCTGCCGCTCGAGCAGGGCTCGGTCCCGGAGCACGTTTTTCATTTCCGCGAACTTGCCGGGGAACAACTTCTGAAACTCGAAACCTTCACACCCAGGCCTGGTCCGAGAGCACTGGGCTTGCGGAACAGCGGCAAGTGCCGGCGCTGCAGCTATTATTGACCTGCTTCTTGCCCCCGCATTTGCCTCTGGCGGTGCCGTTCGTTGCAGCGGCTCCAAAACAGCTGCTGCAGCTGCGCTGATAGTTCGTCGTGGCGGTCCACTATCTGAAGCTCGGTTTACGCCTTCTGTCGCTGTCGTCAGTGGGACGAGTGTTGTGATTTTGTCGTCTATCTTGATTTGCTCAACCCCCGAAAATCCAACCGTTTTTCCTGCCTTCGCCTTCTCAGAGGCCACCACCTTGTTGGAAGAGTAAAGCGTCGAGGTTGCCGTCTTTGTGAACGGCGGAGGTGCCGGCATGCGAATCGCGGGCAGAGTGGGGTACTTTCCTGAGATCTCGCACCGTAAAGGGTCGAACAGCGGAAGGAGGAGAAGAAAGGCATTCTGTTTCTTGTTTGTATCAGCACCAGAAGGTTGAGCTGCTGCGCCGGCGCTCGTAGTACCGCTAGCTGTCACGATAGCGCTCGACTGGTCAGGGAGATGCTCACCGGTATTAGGTCGTGCAGCCATCACACTAGCGTCCTCGTTGATAGCAAAGAGGTCAGCCAGAGGGCAGGCTTTCTTAGCATCATGTACGCAGCTAGTACTACCCTCTATTACTTTATCATCCACAGCCTCTGCCGCGCTCGTACCATCATGATCTCGAAGCACACCCCCAGCGTCCTCCTGCTCCTCGCAACTTTCCAAATCCAGCAGACGAGATTTCACTAGCAGACTTTCTTCCCGCCGCTTTTCCTTCTTCCTTTCCTCCTCCCTCTCCTTTCGGCTTGGGCTCGGCGCAAAGCCAAATAGAGAAGCGAGCGGATCATCAGGAAGATCCTGCTCAATCCGCTTTCTCCCCTTCGCCACCGGCGTGGGGGTGTGCTTTTCGTCGGCGAGTTTGTCCAGGACTGCCAGGAAGGGATCATCGAACTTAGTAGTTCTTGCACCACGAGGACCGCCAATGCAGTTTTTGGGTGTAGAAAAGCTGCCGTAATTCTCGACGTAAGAACCGTACACTCGTTCCCGCTCGTAGTCTTCCGCAGTCCTGATGATCGTTTCCACCAAAGGGCCACCTCCACAGGGCTCTGTGTCCTTCCATCTCACTCTCTTGAAAGAAACGTCCAAACCAAGAAGGTCCTCATGTTCATCGGGTCGTATAGTGGTTTTCGTGTTATTTTTCGCACAACCCAGCATCTTCATCTCCTTTTTCCCCCTAGTACTAGAAGAACCATGCAAACTGAGCAATTCTTTTCGCTTGATTTTGAAGCTGAGCGCGAGTTTTCTCCCCGTGTGCAGATATTCGCTGTTGCTCCCTTTCCGATTCTCCAAGGTGTTCAGCAAACAGTGAACTTCACTGGCATCATCGGGCCCTGGTGGTCCTACTTGTGCTATTGTTTGCAACCGTTTGAAGATGTCAGCACGACTAGTACCCTCTCCACCCGCGCCGCCGTCACAACAAGGGTCGTGGCTATTTTCATCCCCGAAAAGAACGTTTGCCACCGGCTCCGCCCCGTGCAGGTGTATCAGCTCGCTGTATTGCTCCAGGTATTTCCCGGCGATGATCCGGGAATACCGGTTGCACAAAAAAGGGGTGAGGAGGTGGAAAACGAACGCAGCGAAACAAGGTGGTGTAGCTTGTGACGTGCTGGACGAAGTAGAATTGCTGGCTTTTACAGTAGCTGAGGAGAGGATTTCTAGTTGTGCAGTTTGTGTAGTTTCACGTGGCCCGCCTTCATTTTCACCATCGGTGCCATTTTGCTGTCCGACTTCCTGTTGCACAGCCAAGCTTTGCAATGCTTCCAAGGCGATCGGGAAACCAATCTCGTAGAGCAAGTCGAAGTAATCGGCGTGGCACACATCCTTCATGCGCAGCAGAAAGTCCACCAGCTGCTTGGATTCCAGCTTTGGTGGAGCAAGCATTTCTGGATCATGTTCAGCACCAGATCTACTTGCACCAGGATGATGAACTAGGGTAGTAGAAGCTCCTACAACTACCTGCTTCACAGAGGCACTCACTGCCAACATTCTAGTCCGGTCTTCCGCCTGTAGTTCCTGCTCTTGGAGCTGTTTCCGCCACGGAGAAACCGCCTTGTTGGTACGTCCTCTTGGTCCTCGGAGAAGCATGATCCTCCGGCATTTTTCCACGAGAATCTCTTCACCGCTTGAAGGAGCTCTGACCGCCCCGTAGATGTTGACAAGTAGCTTCTCCGTATGCCAGAGGACTATCTCCTTCCTCGCCTGCAGCACGGGGGAAACGTTCTTGCAAGTAACCTTTTCCAACGTGTGCTCTTCCAACAGCTCCAGGAGAGACAAAACATCGTCGCATGTCTCAGATGAAGTTGATGACGATCTAGCGCAGGACAAATTTATTTTCATGTTGGCGGTAGAAGCGATAGCAGTTTTAGAAGTACTTCTGTTCTCAACCACGACGTCCAGCGTCGTCTTATTGTCCGGAACGGCGGGGAGGTGATGTTCAGAGTGAGCTGCAGGAAGCCCGAACAAGGAATCCAGGCCCGAGAAATCGACTCCGGTAGTTGGCTTTTGATTCAGATCGTTTGTCCTCGCGCCCCCCGTTGCAATTACCTGCTGTTGTGTTGTTCCTGACAGGAGCCGCAGCTCTGGAGTTGGAACCTCATCGAATAGACCCAGATCGAGAAGAGGAGCAACGGACGAGGGCTCTTCTTTTTGTTCAACGAGTACAGCAGCGCAAGCCGTTACTTGCTCTCCACAAGAGCTGCTTTTCGTTTTTTCCTCATGGTCAAGAATCTTCTCGTCAAATTGGTTGATCATGCGCCGAGTTCTTTCCCCGTCGACGTCAAGGCCATCGTCCCCATGATCCTGTCGTTTCGGGGTCAGCACTTGGTGGTGCTGGTGGTCCACTTCTACATCTTTATGTTTCGCAAACAAATCATGATCGCATGAAGCTCTATCGTTCTTCTCGTCGCTGGTTCTTCCGGGTGACGGTACTGTAATTTGATGCTCGGGGGTCACAAATAAACCCTCCTCGTCGCCCAACACTGCTGGTGTTCCCGTGGCTTCCGTAACCGTCACCGACGGTCTTTTGGCCGCGATGTTGAGATGGAGTGGATCATGCTCAACATGGGGGCTAGCTTCATCCCTGGCGGGGGTCGGTGTCACATTTTTCTCAAAACGTGATGTTCCTGCCACAATTACCGTGGAAAAATCGGGAGTCGTGATGCGGCGCATGACAGTCTTTCTCTTTTCTTTCTCGTTGTCAAGATCGTCCTGCGTTTGAAGAACTGCTTCAGCTTCATCCGCGCCGGCAGCAGGCAGCTCATTTTCGCCATGTCCACCTCCCGCGGCCATCGCGGTCACGCTGGTCGATGGATTCTGTTTCGCACACAAGTTTATTACAAGTAGAAGACTTGTTTGTTCGTCTTTATCTTCTGAGCAAGAAAATCACATACTGCACACCCCACAAACTGAAACTTCGATAGACTTGCGAGCAATCCGTGCTGCAGCTACGCAACATCAATTTGAACGCACTGATGATTTTTCCACTTACCGCGCACGCGATCTGCTCGTCGACACGCCTGGGATCATCCGAGATCCTTTCTGACACCTAAAGAGACAAAAATCGAAAACATTTCTTCACTTCAGGGTATTTTTGCATGTGAAATGAGTTGTAGTTCGAATTTGAAATTATTAACGCATTATGCTCCTTCGACTTATTTTATTCATAGCACAGCAACTGATCTTTCATCAGTCTCAGTAGCGCTGCAGCACTTAAGTATACGTACCTCCTGCGGCCCCTCTTGGTCGTGGCCAGCAAGCTGGCATTTCATCTCTGGCTTGACGGGCAGCGCAGTGCTGGTCTGCTCCATTGATCCGCGGTAAAGGAAGCGGACGCCGCCTGCTTGGTGTGTGCGTTTTCACTCAACGGTCTTCAACACGACCAGCAACCGAAATTTGCATCTTGTGAGGCAGAGACTCCTGCAATCACTACTTTATTTAATCAGAAACAGAATTGGTGAAGACGTGGAGAAAAAAAATACAGGTTTTTTGCGTCTTGTACTGAAGAGCTACTTACTAGCTCCAGATCGATTGATGAAAAAACACGCCAATTGTGCCGCCGGATTCTAATTGTTCTTGTTTGTTAGATGAGTCAGAATTAGTTGTGAAAGCGCATTACAATTGACGTAAGGAGAGTTAAACCATGATGCGCGCGTGCACACCAACACAAATAAACGCAGTCCATGATTTCTTTTCCATATCTAATATGCCATCAAGCAGCAGTAAAACTACCACGGGCACTCATTAGGTCTGAAACTTTTCGATGAATAAATCCATTCTACCCCAGAAAGTTCCAAATTCTTGAAAATACGCGCGCGATGTGAGTCTTCCTCTGCCCGACAGGACATCATTGAAGCCGTTCCTTTCTGCAGAAGCAGATCGATGAATCAAATGAAAACTATCTTCAGACTGACCAACGCTGCTCTTCTAGCAGATCTTCCTTGACCTTCACCTTCCGCCATAGAACTTCGGCTCTTTCTCCGACGACCGTGGTCATCATCACATCATTTGGCCAAAGCGAAGCACTTTGCAAGTACAGCGCCACGAGGACTGCAATGCCTTCTTTGTGAGAGGTAGTAAACTGAATGCGCAAACAACATCATCATCATCATGATGTTCTCACCATGTGCCATCTCTTTCTTGGAAACGCGAAAATGTTCTTCGTTCACAAATGTCTTTCCTAGCGAGGGTCGTGCACGTGGCACGCGCCGCCGCGACAGGAAGATGCTTTTTCTTGTGCAAAATCGAAACAAATTCTACTTGAAACGGAAACAACAAAACATATCGTGAAAAATGTAGATCAACATACCAAAGACAAAGCCTAGTACAATCCGAAATGCGTTCAAGTATGACCACCATGAGGATCCATCTGGATCATGCGGTATTAAGCGATGAAAGTGAAAGCCGACTGCATCACCATCGCGGCCCTGCTCACTGCGTCGGACACTGTGCAACTGGTGAAGAAGAAGGAGCATAGGACCTTTTCTTCTTGTTTTTCAGACCACTATTGCTACCGTCACCATTCTTGTTTTTCTTTTTCTTCTTCGACGAAGCATTTTCTTCTCTCGTGCCTCCTTGAGTTCTTCTCGCGATGGCGCCATCTTCCCCACTAAGGTCGTCGTCGTAAACGTAGTACCCACCTCGTCGCCCCTGCTGTGCCACGCTTAGAAAGTCTTCGTGTGGATTTACTTTATTGTGTTTTATTTCATCCTCCTCGGTCGAATAAACTGGGCACAGTTTCTTCTTCTGCGCAGTTGTTCTTATCTCGTCGGCCGGGGGAGTTTTAATCCGCTGCTCCCCTCCTCGTCCTCGCAAAGAATTGACGTTCTTGCTCGTCTTATTTGAGGCCAGCATAATCTTCGCAGCGCCATCCGATTTCGTTTTCGAAAACGGACTGAAAGCCAGTGCAGATGAACCGTTTTGAATCTTCCGATCTACTTCCCGATTCGAAGTCGCACCGCTGAAATTCATCTTGTCGTAGCGCGTCCTCGTAGAAGTTGGGCGTCGCTGAGCAGGGGAAAACACAACTGGGACGACCGTGGACGTTGGGGGTAAAGGTAAAGCAGCATTCTGCGCCAAGAACATATCTCCTTGTTCGTTGTGTGCGAGACGCTGCTCTTGATCGTCTCCATCTTCCGCTACATTGTAAAAGAACAAATTGCCGCCTGTCGTGTTACTTCCACTTCTTCTCTTCTTCTGCTGCTGGAGCACCTTTTGCCGCACACTCTGGTCCGCTTTAGTACTGTCGTTGACGATGGATGTTCTCGTCGTGGTTGATGTTGTCCTCGCGGAGCTATGCACGTGAAGTTGCAGAATTCCAGCGCCATTTACAGTTTCTTCCAAACGACCAGAAGTCCTCGCTGCCGGCGCCCCCGAAGAATCTCCGGAAGTTCTTGTCCTCGTCGCTGCGCTGCTGCTGTTGCTGTACAGGCCCATGTTTTTCTCGTAAAACCGGACTTTTCGCTCCAGCCGCCGGATCTCCCCTTCGCAGTCTGCTTTCTGCGTCTCCAACGTTTGAATTTCCGCAATCAGTTGCTGGAACATGGCTGCCGTCTCCGTCAGAGGTTTCCTTGAAGATTTTGTGGTACAAGACCTAGTCGTGTTTGTTGTACCAGTACCGGTCGTCTTCGCGGTGGTTGAGGAGGAGCTGCTTGCTGCGCTGTTGGCGTTCTTGTTCTTCTGCTCATCTTTCATCCCATGGTTCTCGTCCAGTGTAAGCACTTGTGCGTCATTGTGTCCAAGCAACATGCCTTTCGTTTTTTTAGACGGTGAGGGTGAAGACAGCTCTGCGAGAGATTCTGTTGAAGGAACGGTCTGCTTTTTTTCTCGTCCACCTCCGGGGAGATGATCGTGCAGTCTATTTTCGGCGGTAAATGAACCAAAACCATCATGATCATCACCGTCATGCTCCAACTCCAAAACGTGTCTTTCCATCGCCAGAGCCTGCTTTTTGAAAAATTGCACCTGTCGCTTTAGTGCCCGGGTCCTTGGAGATTTTTCTTCTTCATCGTCGTCGGACACGGCGACGGCGACGGGTCCTTGTTCCGCCCGATGATAGTGGTCATGTTGATCGCCATGATTTGTGCGCTTTACATTCCTCGTAGTAGAGGTACTTCTACTCCCACCCCGGGTCGTGAACAACGCCTGCTGATAATTTTTATACTCGACCGCGTTCTCTAACAGTTCCGAGCGGACATTTCGCAGACCCTGGATCAGCCGGTCTTTTTGCTTCAACTGTTTTCGAAGCAGGGCGAGATCTTCATCTTGCTCTTGATCGATGTAGCTTTCTTGCTTGTTCTCAGTAGCTTTTGCCTCGACGGCGGCCAAAGTCCTCCTGTTTCCTTCTGTACGACTGTTCCCGAATTTTTCATGCTGGTCCTTCAGGCCTTCCAGTTCGGTGTTTGCGGTGTGTAGCTCCTCGGACTTTTGGATCAACAAATTCTCCACACGGGTAAGCTGGTTTGCGGCTTCCTGTAAAATTGAAAGGAGATTTCAAGATTTTCAATTTCAACGAAGAAGTGTTGCTGTTGTAACATCACGTTCATAATCATGTGGGCACCACTGCCGCAGTGCAAGTGCAAAGAAAGTCTGTATTGGTGCTGTTTCACAGAAGACAAGAAGAAACCCTAAACTTTCACCTGCCTATCCCGCTCGGCAACAGCCACTTGCTCGCGGAGCTCGATAATCTCCAGAAACGGTTCCTCCTGATCTCCGCTTCCGGCACGGTGTCGATTAAGACTTCCGATGCGCGGAGGCGGACTCGAAACATCTTCATTCTTTGCCGGCGCTTTATGTTTATTACTCTTCTTGTTGTCCGTCCCCAATGATGAAGCACGACCCACAGCTTCGGCAATATGGTCAGGAATCATTCCGAGCTGCCGAGTTTGTCCTCTATTTGCGAAGGAAAACAGGCTCGTACTATCGTCGACTTCGCTGGAGGAGCTAGAGGAAGACAGCTTCGCGTGCGGAACCAGCAGGTTGCAACTTACGCCGACTGAGGTAGTTGTACCGCTTCTAGCAGGGGCGCAGCTGTTAGCAGCAGAACTACTTGAGCTGCCACTTGTTTCTCTAATATTCTTGCCTGATGCGTAGTTTGTCCTATTTTCCTCCTCCTCCTCCAGTTTCGAAAACCTCCGCTCCAGCTCGGTGTTTGCTTGTTCCAACCGCACTTTTTCCCGCTGCAATTCCGAAGTTCTTTTTTCCGCCCTCCCGACATTTTCTTGCAGTTTCCGGTTTTCCTGTTCTAGTTCCTCGAATTCCGCGAAAGAAAGGTCGATCTGCTTCTTCAACTGGGTCGCTTTCTGCTCCGACTGCTGGTGTCTCCGCTCGAAGTTTCGGGCTTGCTGCTCCCACAGCTGCAGGAGCTGCTCGAATTGGGAGGCCAGATGGTGCAGAAGATTCGTGGGCGGGTAGTTTGATGAGCGCGGAGAAGGTGGCCGTGGCTCTCTGGTAGTTGGAAAATGAATTCTCGAGGCAGCAGAAGCATTGCTAAAAATCGATCCTACTTCTACAACTGCGTCGGTTGTTCTTTTGTAGTCCTCCCCGAGAACTACTCCGTTCCTTCTGCTTATCTTACCGAGGTGCGCGAGATCGGGCAGCCACGACTCCATCACCGTCTGAATCTGTTCGGACAAATAAGGGGGGGCCTGGTTGACAGTGCCAGTGGTCAAGGTACTATCGTCATACGCAAACGCTCCTGACCCTCCAGGAAGAACGGCACGTCGCGTTCGCCGGACGACAGCATCTGGCAAAGCAAAAAGGTGTGAAAAATCCTCCTCCTCCCCTGCGGCCCGGAGTTCGTCCCCTCTGGTACTTGTATTCTTTAAACTGCTTGAAATTGAAGACTTTGAGAGATGAAGAGGATCTCGATGCTGGAAGTTCTTAGTATAGTCGCCTTCCTGCGTGCTGCTGCGCTTGCTGTTGTTCCTCGCGTTCTTTTTTTCGTTGTGCCGGGACGTCGTTGTTCTTGCAAGAATGGTTGGGCCGCGCGGTGAAGCCTTCTGTGCCTTATACTGCTCCACCTGCAGCACGTCCACGCTTTGGTCTTGCGACACGGTCACCGATCCAGTCATTACGGAGTGAATTTCATCAGCGTCGTCGTTTACTCGATCATCAGCTTGCTTGTCCCGTTCGTTGTTATGTTCTCCTGCAATGTCATAATCCTGCAACAGCCAGAGGTGCAAGGCGTCAGAAAAGTCGCGCAAGGGTAGGAACTCCGTTTCCGGGATGGCTTCCGAAACACCCTGCCAAAACCCGGTATCCACACCGGGAGTATGGCTAATACCGGTGATGATCTGTTTTTCAGTCGTATCGTTTTAGAGCACAAAAGTCGTTAATACAAGTACTAGTGAGAAACAGCTGCGTCAAAAGTTCGCCCAAGCTCCATCTCAGTGTCAGTCGTAGTTTCCCAACACAGATCATGGTACAACACGAATCTATCTATACTCTAGGTCTAGTAAGTACCGCTCTCAACTCCGCAGTGGGCAAGTGGGTGCCGTCAACGCATTTGCGAAGCGCCTCGTCCCGAAAGCGCCGCATTCCCTCGACGATTTGCCGTGTGGGCTCTTGTTCCTCGTCAGCATAATCATTTCTGATGCTTTCCCGTACTACCGACGAAACCTCTTCCGCCGAGGAAGGTGGGGAGCCGCGTGCGCCACCAGTGCGCCGGGTAGCCGTGGATGTTGATGTACCACCGAGGGCGTGCTCCACGATGGGCCACACATGACAGAACAAGATTTCCGCCTGGTTGAGCCGAGCGAGGAGCGCGTCTTGAAGATCGTCAATATGCTGATTTTTGAAGACGATCTTCCGTGGTCCAAGGGAAATTTTTTTGACTCTCGCTGTAGAAGATGATGCGGAGGAAGTGCCACGACTGCTGCTGCTGCTCGTTTGTTCCTGGTGGTACTTCTCGATTTCGGCTGTGGTAGCGTCTCCACAAGAACCCTTGATGTCCACGTAAAGATTCTGATTTTCAAAGAACCACTCGCGGACTTTGCTCCCGTCTGCGACATGTGGCTTGTGGGGAAGCTCCCAGGTGTGGAAAAGCTCCAGGCAGGTGCGGACACGGTCCACGGACATCAGCTCAAATGATTGTACTTCTGTCTATGGGAAGAAAGTAGGCAATATTTCAAACGCTGTCGTCATCATCAGGCCACCTAACTTGCAGTGAGAAAGTCTCTTACAGGTCGTTCTTGATCTTGATCTTGTTCCTGATAGATACAAAGATGATCACGCCACTGTTGCCACATATAAGGTCGTCAAACAGAAAGGCCCCAACTTTATCGAACGCAGGGGAGTTGTCCTAGCGCTGGAACACGATGATCTTTGAAAAGACTTCTCAGGCAGCGCAAGTTTTCGCACCCAGAACTACGCGGAAACCACGGCAAGCAACCATCCTGCATTTCACCAAATAAATCGATATATGAAGCTTCTGCAGAGCAAGATGAACGTCGCACTTTGCACAAGCAAATGCTGATTCCGATAGTAAGTACTTGACCAGTGTCTTTTCTTTTAACTAGCATATAACTCTACTGGAACTGCGTAGCGGCCTTGCCCCGCACGCGCTTTCTTCTTGCTTCTGTCTTCGACGCTGTGGTCCGCTCCAGTAGAAGAAGTAGAGTAAGCACCCACGACGGATGTGCAGCTTTTGTCCGCTTCTACTCGGCTCACTTCACACTACGCTTGGTGCGCCACTCTTTTGCGCTGTAGATCGTACATCATCAAGCGCTGCGATATCACCAACTGTCCTTCCAATCGGTCGCGGGTTGCAGGGTCGCCACCTAGTACTTGTTCCTGAAGATGAGACGCTATTTTGCCGCTTCGTGTGTCGAAATAGAAGAGGCACTTCGCTACTTTCGTTTTTCCAGGTATTACCCAACGAGCCTTCACTATCAACATTGTCAACCCTTTCCCTTTGTTCGCCCAGCTGACGACTTTCTTCGTTCCCTTCCTCCCCGCCGGAAGTAGGCGGGCAAAAGCTGTACCTCTTTCCCTTCAGCAGCGTCAGCTCATCAATCTCACCCGGGTCGCGCGGGTTGTCCCCCACCCCCAAAGCCAGGGAGTCTTGCAGCTCCGCCGGCCACCGCCAGAACTCCGGCCAACGGAGGTCTGCTGGAACCGCGGACAGGCTGAAACGGTTTTCAAAGGGAGGAAAAGTGAAATGAGGGTTACCATCGTGAGAAGCTCCGAGCGACACATTCCTAATTTCGAGGGGGCTTTGATTTTCTTCGACACTTTTAAACATCTCCGGTTGTCCCCCGCGCTCTTCTTTCGTCAATCCTGAGGGGGCTGCACCCGAAACATTTGTTTCTTTCAATCGATGCACGTGCCACGAGTACAGCCCTTTCTGCGTGGTCGGCGCCCATTCCTTGGCAACGGTGGCCAAGTCCGTGAGTCGGTAGGGGTTCAGCGCGCCAGTGCCTGCCTTCTCAAACACGATTTGCGAATCGATAAAAAATACCGCGTGGACCAGAACGGGTCGCTTAAACCCCTTGTCCGCGTTGTAGATGAACAGCAGGTCTCCGAACCGGGGCCGGTAGGCTTCATCGGCGTTTTTGGCACCGCTGGTGTTCATCACGTCGCGGATCTTCTTCTTGCTGCCGCTTCCGTCAGTGCTTGTACTACTTCCAGTACTCCTAGCACCGTCCTGGCCAAGAAAGCGAAAGCGATAATTGCTGTTCTTCGAGCTGCTCTCCTTTCCGTCTTGAAGATTTTGTGGCGTTCTTTCGTAGAACAAGTCCTCTTCACGCAAAGCACGTGCCACCAGATGAGACGAGTCCTGATTCTGCAGTTCTTGTATCTGCTCCGAAAGAATCGCTTTCTCGATTACGATTTCCGGAACGCGGAAAGTTGCTTCCTCGATCCATTTCTGTGCGGTCAAATCGTCGGTAGAGTAGACGTCGTGAAAGAGAGAAAACCCTTGTCTGTTGAATATATGCCGATCATGTTGTACCTCTGGAAGATCATCCGCCTTCCGTTTTTCGTCTGTTCTGTGTGGTAGTTTCCGATCGTTTCTGTCATCCCTAGTTCCAGCACCTCCTTCTACCGAGGACGCATACCTCCTCCAAGCTCCTCTCCCTTTTCCAGCACAGGAGCTCTGCCTGCTCCGCATGTTGCGCAACACCTCATAAACGGTCGTCCAGCAATTGGGCACCAGAATGGAATTTTTGTACACAGGAACCTCCGTAGGCCGTGGCAGGTCCAGGGGGAGAGCTTCCTCCTCCTGCGCGAAATTATAGTCGACGAGGGCACGCATGCTCACGGGAAGAAAATCCAACAGATTGTAATCGGTCTTTTTCTCGTCGAATTCAGTATCCATCGTCGGGTCGTCAGGGAAACACGATGCAGCTCTTGTTGGCGCGTAGTTTTCAATCTCAACATCGCGCTTCCTCGAAGATGTCTCCATCTCAGTGTTATCCTTATCTTCATCGAAATCTTTGAGGACTTCATGCTCTCGAACCCACGGCGCTGCGTACTGTTTCCTCAGTGCGTCAAAATCGCTTTCGGAAAGCTTTCCAAATTCGAAGTCCAATCCATGCCCCCACAGAGCGGGAACCACCGCTCGCTTGTATTGCTTCACACGACACGTGTAGGGAACCGCTGTGGTCAGATAGGTCGAGCGCGCGTCGCAGGGTAGCGTCTCCGGAAGGATTTCTTCTTGCTGGAACTCCGCGGCCGCTCCAGGAAGGAAAATTGCGTTTGGTGTAGTTCCACGACCTGGTTGCGGCACTAGAAGTGACTGAGAAAGGAGAAAAAAAAACACCAGCGCCGGAGTGGAACAAGCAGAAGTACTAGTACTAGAGAGAAGGCGGTTCAAAATTTTATTTGGCAGTGTTAGCAATATTCTTGTTGATGAAACGTCTCGGCTTTTCCGCCTCTCGTCCCTCTTGTACATTTCTACAGCTGCATCCGGCAAGCAATGGTCATTCGCATGATCATCATCATGCTCGCTTCGTCGCCTCGACCGTGCAAAAAAGTTCGCAGACGCTGCGGCAGAGAAGGGACACTTAGACTTACTTCTACTCCCTCTATTAACAGGTGTCGCTGCAGCAACTACCCTTGTTGCCGCAAGCAGGCCGACGCGCGAACCGTTGATTTTCGACGAATGCGAAGACAGGCTCTTCGCAGCTACCCGGTCGTGGTGGTCTGTCAGCGGGGCAGTTGTTCCCCTTCCCGCAGCGACCACAGCGGCCCTCATCTGTGGCCATGCTGTCAGGAAGATGGCGAGACAGCAGAGCCCGAAGCTCGTCGTTGGCCGCAGGGCGCGTTGATAAAAAACCATTGCCCTTCTTGTCGTCTTTGTAAGGAAGCAACTGTAAGTGGAAACGGATTTTTGCCTAGCACAATGTTTCTTCGGCTCATGTGAGCTACTAATTCACGACCACGTAGCAACCAGTAGGAATAGCGAGCCGCCTCCACACTTCAACTACATCGCTGTGCTAAGATGTTGAACAGTGCCGCCAGAGCCAGAGCCAGTGCCTTGCCTTCACAAAAATGAAAATCTGCAGAAGAACACTTGAAAAAATACTCACCATGCATGAAGAGTATGCTCTTCCCATGCATGCCCTTTCGCTACTTCTTGGCGTCTTCGTGTAACTATCAAATTGTTCGGATGAATGGATGCAGCTTTGTCTTTTTGCAACCCCGGTAGCATTGTCACGTCAGGATCACGACCTCTATCAAGAGGGATGTTCATGTTTTTTCTTGTCGCAGCGGCTCACTGCGCGATCAGAACATTAACACATGTAAAATATTAGAAAACGAACAAACACATAGCCTTCACTCTGCAAACAAAAAAATGCGTAATTACTCCATATCTCCAAAGAGAAAAAAAATGCTCCAGTTGTACCACTAGGCTTTCTGAAAAAGGCGGAAGAAGGGCAAGCACTTGTTACTCCTCTTAAAAGTGAATCTAAGTACAGAATTCATCGTAAATATCACCGTGTCACTCTTGTTGCATAAAGCTGATTTTTGCCACCAATTTTATCCATGTGCTGGTAGAACTCTAATTTTGCTCAGAACGAAAAAAGCGCAAAAATTTTGTTTACAACAACAAAGGCTACAACGCCAAGCTTCGCTTAAGCTAAGGAGATGCGTTGCAGGCTGCTGTTTAGAGAAAAAACACCTCCACATATTTCCCCATCACGACCTTGTTCTTTCTCTACTACACCTTGAATAAAGCAGCCCGAGGCCCTGTTTCTAGCGTAAGATTTTGTTTCCACTTCAAAAACTTCAAAAATCATGTCTACTAGTTGTAGCAAAAGTGCTTAGTGGAACACAGAATGCAAGTTTCTCGTGAAGATGATTTCACAGAGAACAAGAGTTCACAATTGTAATTTTACTTTCAAGTTTTGTCACAGATGTTGAACTTCAAGATTTACAGGCGTGCTCAATGCAGTTTGCGGCACGTCGTAGTCTCAAACTTCCTAACTGTTTTTGGGTTCAAAATGGTTTTTGGAAGCAGCACAAATTCATCATCACTGTTTTGCCTCGCCAATTTCGCGTGCTATGAAGTCCGGATTACAATTTCTAGTGTTGGAAAATTGTTGCTACATTTTTTCGCACACAAGAAGAATTTCGAGATCTACTTCATTTTTATTGTTGAATGGAATTTGTTGTTGCGGAGAAAAGATCTTTTCATGTTGTCCTCGCAAATCTGTAATGCTATTTTGCGCTTCGAACACGGTGAGAATGGTGTACAGACGGTTTCTATGGACACCCGTCGCTACATCCATCCCCCCGTTTGAAGAAAAAATTTTCTACTACTTGAAAAGACGAAAAAAAATTTTTTTAAAACTAAATGTTGTAATCAAAGTACTCATACCAGATTTGGCTGTATAAGCAGTCGAGGAGCAAGGGATTTGCTTTACAATCATCTTTAGTAATCTTATCGCCATAGAACAGTTGCAGCATTTCTTGCTGAAGCATCTTCCCGTGCGTTTGCATTCGAATTTGCTGGCTTGCCATCGAATGCAGCGCCTGGGTCAATTTCTGCGACGTCTGCTTGTGCAGCTCGACCTGCTCTTGCAATTTCGCGATCTGCTCCTGCTTGTCGTCCAACTCTTTTTCAATCTTGCCAGCCGTTTCGGGATACCACATTTTCATGTACTCCACGTCGACCGGATTTCCTGGTATTTTTCCGCCTTGGTGCACAGGCACCGCTCCGGGTTGTCCCTGCTGACTTGCTGACCCAGCTGGCAGCAGCGGTTGCGGCATTCGCCGCTGCATAGTCGAATGCGGCCCGGGGCTTGGTGCGGTTTGTTGTGCGCCAGGGGTGTGCGCGTGACCCGCGAATTCCGGATCGATCTTGAAGATTTCGGCGTCGCTTGACATCGGCGTTGAAGAAGAGGGGGAGTTTGCAGTAGTGGCGGAAGAAGATCGGGTATTTCTGCAGCCAGGTCTCGAGCGGAGGCTGTTTGTGTTCTGGGTGCAGGATCGCGTCGCTTACTTGTTGTTCGACCTCGCGGAGGAAGAAGACTTCTTTCACCGCCTGCGCTTCGGCCGCGCGTACCGCCACGTATAGGCTTGCGACTATTTGCAGGGCTGCTTTCGTCGTGATCGTTTCGATTTCGAATGCGAAGTAGACTTGCTTCAGTGGTGCTGGGCTTGGTCCCGCACGTGCTATTTGCAGTAGGACCGGCTCACGAGAAAATTTCAAGATAATTTTCAAATCCGTCGCTGACTGTAACAACTGCCACTCGGTAGTTTTTGGTTTTTGCCATGCACCACGGATCGGATTTGAAAATTGCCGAAGCGACGTTGAAATTTCCGTGTCCGGGCCCCTGCGTGTCGCTCGGAAAATCGTTGATGCACCCCGTTTCTCGCGGAGCGCGATTTCCTCGAGCGCGTAGTACAATTCGTCACTTGAAGTCCAATCGGTTCCGACACCGGGGATTTCGATCAGGTTATCCAGCACCCAGCACGTGTCGGAGTACTGCACTTTGCGGCTCGCGAGGTTGCAGCGGTTCCTAGTCTTCTGCTCTGCGAGTCGCGGTTTAGTTGTGGGAGTGTAAGTTCGCATTTGTCGGCCCGTCGCTGTTGCGGTTCGCTGCGGCGGGACCGGAATGTTGTTTTGAAAAAGAAAAAGAAAATTACGTAGTATTAGTATTTTGTATATTTCATGTTGTAACAAAGTCACTTGTCTCTCTAAGAGGAAACTTAACATCGCACTTGAAACCTAGTGGGGTTAACCGAAGGTGTTGAAAGTGGTTTGCAAGGGCGGCGTGCCGAAGTGGCTTCGGTACGTGAATTTCTCGTCTACAAATTTCTCCACCTTGTACACAAGGTCTTCGTGCTCGTTGAAGTAGCGAGCGCGGCCTAACTTTGTGAGCAGCTGTTTTGCATAGTGCAGCTCGCGTTCTAAGTTACCTATCACCGCCGTTGGCGGTAGCATACCAGAACTAAAACTAGGAGGGTCGAGCAGCTTGCCGAGTTCCTCGTTCGCTGCGCACACCTCGCCGATCTGCTTTTTCAGATAGTCCTTTTCGAGGCGCAGTTTGGAGATCTACTCGCTCTGATCTACTATTTGCTTACGATAACTTGCGCGCTCCTCTAGCGAGTAAGGTAAGAGAGTTTGAGCAGTGCTTTCACGGTAGTAGTCAAAATTTTTGATATCGTACTTGTCGCTATACAAATCCACATATTTCGTGATAGTGTCGGACATTTTGTGACTCGCCTACTGTACAACAGATAAAGCAAAAAATGTTTGTGCACGGAGTCGTCGCTGTTCAAAAAAAATTTGGTGGAGCACGAGGATTTTACGAAACACAACAAAGACGCAATGATACAAGTTTTGTTTCTGCCGCTAATTTTTGTTGTCTTCTAGCTTGTGTTCTCTCTCTCTACTGACACACTTCGTACTTCGGTTTGGCTATTGCACTGCCGAAGGCTGGCTGCAGGTGTGCTTTGCCTGCCGCCGAACGCCAGCTATGCGATTTTCTGCCTGTATGATTCCACGGCGCACGCGGTTTTGCGACAGCACCGCTTTCAAATACAGGGGTAATTTGTAGTTTTCACTTATGTTGGAAGACGCAGCGACGCTAAGATACTTACTTTTCTCTGTAGCACTACTGTGGGGAGGTTCAGTAGTTACGCTTCCACTTTTTCTGCCCCAATGACAACCACAAGCGGCGCATGATTTCATGCATAAGCACCGTGTGGCAACAAGAAGGGGCGACTATTGTTATTTGCTATTGTTTTCAGTAAAAAACGAAACACAAGCACGAACCGATTTGTAGTAACACCTGACTTCCGTAATCGAGAAGTAAAAGTTGCACTGCGGGTGCCTGTGTAGAAGCAGTATTTTTTTTTATGGGTTTTCTTACCTGTTTTTTACTTTTTTATGGTTTTATTTTTTATTTTTACATTAACGCTCTGCTTTTTACATATCACAAAGAGCGTATAGTGTATGAAGTTTCAAAAGCCTTACTTTTTCACTATCTAATCGCCTTGTGCAGATATGTGGCCGATTTAATGTTCTGGCAGAGGAACATGACAAACAGTTTGCTTACTCCTATTTTGGAATGGTGAAATTCCGCAATAGACTTCGACAAATAGATGTAGTTTCTACAGGTGCGATTTCGTGCCCAGGTGCTTCCCGAAGGAGCGGTTGAGCATTTACTTTCACATTTACAAAACAAAAAAAAACAGCCTTATTTTTCATTAATAGATTTGTCCTCATGGAGTTCCGATCAGATTTTTAATTTTTTCGAGACCCGTTAAAGTTTCGTTTTCTTCGGCCTGAGTCAACTGTTTTTCGGTTCTATAGAACTTTTTGAGAAAATAAATTCTCTTACTCCATAACGTTTTATGGTAGAACTCACGTTGCTCATGGCCGTCTGATCTCCACTGATCGTATTGCAGGCGCCATTCGCTTTCATCCCATTCTCCATTGGTGTTGTACGCTTCCGCCTGGGACGATTCCTGCTCCTCCATCAACCTGTCCTTCTCCTTATCAAACAGGCCCTTGTCCTTTTTGCTGGCCAACAAGGCCGTGCCCGCGTGGGCAGCTCCCGCCAGGTCCATGTCCGACGATTTCTCTTTCTCCGACTCGTTGGGGTTGTGCTTGGACGAGGCCGCGGCACCCTGGACATTGGTCATTTTCGTCTTCTTCTTGGACTTGTCCTGGTCCGCGGAGCCGCTCTTCCCCTTGTTCTTGTCCTTGATGGTCGGCTGCTGCTGCAAGTCACCCATTTTGCGGCTTTGGACGTGGAGGTGTGAAGGACGGTTTATTTATTAATAAACTTTAGCAGTGTTAATTTTATAATCCCTGTGTGGAAAATTTGCATAAGTGGCAGTTTGCATGGAGTTTTCTTGCAAGCTGTGTTGCGTTCGCCGCAGGCATTTTTGGCCTGGGCGGCGTCGCGACGGCGCTCTGTTGCAAGGACCCAGATTTATTTGTACATGAAAGAAGAGCTTCGCTTGAGAGCTACCTACTTGTTCGATTTTATTTTTTTACATAAATTGCTTGGTAGGACCCCATTTATATCGTGCTTGCAGCTGCATGGCATTTTTGCCGCAGCGGGATCGACGTGTAATTTACAATTTACGATCGCGTAGCATCTATTTATTCGCTTTTGCTGCGGGGCTCTACAATTTTTGGGTGCAATTTACGAACGCGTAGCATCTATGATAATCGCGTATTTGCGGGAGAGCTCTACACTTTGTGTGCAATTTACGAACGCGTAGCATCTTTCTCTTATTTGCTTTTATTTGTGTGAAAGAAAAGAGGCAGTTTGCGTGCTACTGGATCAGATTATGATTTTGTGTTCAACATCGCACAGGTGGACAAGGCTTTTCGCGCCACACTTTCTATTCGAGAATATTTTTTTTCCATTGACACAAACGATATTGCAGCTCGCTTCGCTTGCGGAGTTTTTGCTTCGGAAGAGAAGTTGGTTTTTATACACTGAGATCATGGCATAACCTTGCTCTATGTATTTACAACAAAATATGTAGAGAGAACAACGAAAAATTTGCGTTCATATCGGTATTTTCTGTACAGGATCGTATTATGTACCCGTAATTTACTATCGAAATACAAAACACAAAAGAAAAAGGAAAAAATTTTCGTCTTGCAGTTGCCAGAAGAAGAGGACCGCGCTAGTTTAGATGAAGTCCGCCTTCAGGGGCAAGTATTTCTCGAGGTACGTGTACTTCTTGACGATCTTGTGCCTGGTTTTACCGAGTTGCTCGATGTCCGTCTCCTCCCGAATGATAAATTTCCCGTTCAATACATTTACGCCGAAGACCTCTTGGTTGCCGACTTTTTTCGGATTGCTAAAAATTTTGATGTACTCGTCCAGCCATAGCTTGATAAATTGCCTTGCCGAGCATGTTGCCGTTTGCAGCCGCTCTTCCTCCGGTAGCTTGTCGTTGCTGCTGTTGATCACAACTTCCTCGCCGTCGATTACTACCGGGATTGAGGCCGCTGCCGTTAGCTTGAGTGTTGTTTCGCCGACAACTTCATCTACGATCCAGACCTTTGCCTTTTCGGGGTCTGGGCCATACTGCAGCGTCGGTTTGCTTGTCGCGTCACTCCTTTTTATTACCAAGTCTCCCGCGCAGATCTCCGCTATCGCTAGCGTGCCCCGGCGGTTTAGTGCTGAAAGCGCGCTGTCAATGCTGTGCTTCTCTGCATTTTCCACAATCCCATCTCGGAATTCTCGCAGCGACTCCATCACTTCGTCGCGGTTCGCGCGTCCTTGGTGGAGGGCGGAGAAGATCTGCGCGTTGGGAAGGCAGAGTTTCTGTCCGCAGGAGGCTTCTGCAGGGGAGCGCCCGTTCAGTTTGCGTCGGGGCGCGTTTCTGTCGATCAGCTGCAGCAGAGGAAGAATTCTCGGCCACGTCTTGGGGAAGCGCGAGCACACTTTGAACAGGCGGACTTTCTCCTCCTTATTCGGTCGCTCCGCCTGGTTCTGGTCGCGTGGCTCGTTTGCTCTACCGTGGTTGTGCAGTGTGCCCATGTCCGCAAAGGACGCGACAAGTGAATTGAACGCGTTGTCCGCGGCCGTGTCGTCCGGGCAGCCTACTTGCGCCCAGACGAACTTCCACATCTCATCCCAAGCTTCCTGTGGCTCCCTCGTTTTTGTTGGAATCAGCCAGCCAAGGTCGACTAGTTTTTCTCGGACGCGGAGGATGTTTTTGTACCCGTCTTCGCTTTCTGGTAAGTCCGTGATGTGGTCGAAGACAAAGCTTTGGAACAGCCTTTTTGGCTGGCGATTCGGCGTGTACGCAGCGATGGGCTCTTCTGCGGCATGTTTCAGTCGGCACTGCACGCAGGTTTTCACTACCAGTTCGACGGTTTCCTGCAGCCCCGGCCAGTTGAAGTACTCCTTTACCATTTGCTTGGTTCTTCTGATTTTACTGTGCAGCGCCCACCTCCTGTGGACGCGCACAACGACGTAGATTCTCATACACGTTTTGTTGTTGAAGAATTTACTGTCGATCTCGAGCTCTACTCGCGGAATATAGATTTTTCCCTTGTACAGCATGACACCCGCACAAATGGTGAAGTTCTTCAAGACCGCCGTTTGTCGCTTCTGCGCCGCCGTCAGCTCCTCTTCGTTTCCCGAAAGATACTGGCACATAAAGCCGAACTGCTTGCAGTTTTTCTGGTGCTGCACGACGCTGTTGCGGAAAAGCCCGCTTAGAAAGCACGACACCTCGATGCTTCGCGCCGTGGATGCGTTTGTTGGGTCTCCATCCTCGAGCTCCTTGGCGAGTACCAGAACTGCTTTGTGCGCGAAACGCGCCGGCACTGTGATGGCACTGTTGGTTTGCGGGAGGCTGAAGATGCTGGTGATTTTCGTGTGCGATTTGCTAACCACAAGGCAAATTCCCGTTTGCACGTACCCGACGACGGTGGGCTCGTTTCCCTGCGCAGCTGGCACAGAGAACAGCCGACCAGCATTTAACATCTCGGGCAGCGATCGTAGTATTCTTTCCTGCTCGGTGTCGACCGCTTCGTAGATGAGCGGTTCAAGTGTTCCTGTAGCGTATGGCCGCCCGCTTCTATTTCCTCGTCCTGCTGCAGGTTGCTTTCGACGGGGAAGAGACTGAGGTCGATTTCATCGCCAAAGTCGAGGTCAAAGTCCGGTAGCAGCGGTTTCTTTTTCTTTTTGCTTGCCGCACGGACCGCGCCTGCGCCAAGAGAACACACCGACTTGGCGTTCTTGCTGACGATGATCTCCCTGTTTTCACGATAGGCCTCGGAGAACGCATTTTCTGCGATGGCGAACTCGACGGTGAAGCGGTTTTTCTTTTCAATTTTGCTGTACTCTTCAAGGAACGTTTCCAGAATCGCATCTGCTATTTTCGCCGGGCTGGTTCGCGGTTTGCGGTAGAGCCCGCCCGACAAAAGTGGCATCCGTACTGTTTTGATCTTCCGCTGCGCGTAGTCGTTATAGTGGTGGATTACGTTCACAATCTGCTTTGTCGTAAGCCGTATTCCTGCCAAGAAGCTTTCTTTCGAGCAAATTTCTCCGCGTGGGCCAACGGCGTAGACCATGACGCGGAACCGGTCTGATTTTTCTGCAGACAGGAAGACTGTTGCTGTTCGCGATTTACCTCCTGTTGCAATCCCGACCGCAAACCGCTTGCTGAATTTTTCGAGGAATTCCTTGTCGTCGCAGGAGAACACTTCACCTGGTTGCGCGAGCAGCTTTTTCTCGAGCTCGATGTGGAATTTTTTCTGCGCAGCGACGTCCCAGAGGGTGCTGGTTTTCTTATCACCGAGGACCTCCTGGAAGCGTTTGTTCAAGCCTGCGCCGCCAAAGTGCAGGTCATCCGAGCCGGCGTTTATCCCTGCGACAAAGAAGGTGTTTTTCGTCTTCATCGGTGGGAACGGGTCGGAATATTTCTGCCCCTCGGTTGCTGTTTTGAAAACAAACTCGTCCGGGACACGGTGTCCGCGGTAATTGTACTTGTAAATTTTATCTGCCGGAGTATCGCTTTCTGCCTGCTCTTCCTGCGCAAGGTCCTCGACCTGTGCCACGGCGTCGGGTTGCCGTTTTTCCTGTGGCGCAGGTGCAGCGGGTTCTTCATGCGGCTTAGGCTGCGCAGGCTCGTTTGCGGCAGCCTGCTGTTGCACAGCAGCGGGACTGGCTTGTACTCCCTCCTCGCGCGGAATCAGATTTTCCTGTGGCAGCGGCGGCACGGCTTTCTCCCCGTCGGGCTTGGAGTCTCCGGAGGGAATGTCATCGCCGTCTGCGGCCTGTTTACCAAACCAGCGCTGCAGGAGCGGAAGAGCAACTTTTTCATGGAGCTCTTTATTTGCTGTTGTCCACTTCAACTCGCTTTCCACAGGGACGCCAACATCGTGCAGCGGCGTAAAGTCGTCGTTTTCTGAGGGCTTGTGCAGCACGACGTCGCCGTGACCCCTGCAGCGTGCGTAAGTGCAGTTGACTGCTTCGCGCAGAATCAGGTAGTTGTCGCAGTAGTTTTGGTCTTTGAACATCACATTGCGGCAGGTGAAGTCGTTTGCGAATTGCGGGACCGGGTTGTTCGTTTCGCTTGCAATCGGATCGAGGATAATGAAGTTATGGTTTACGTCCCCGTGGTATCCGTGCTCGAGCTGCTTCTGCTCCTCTGCCCACCGCAAGCCAACGGCTTTCCGCAAAAACGCAAGCGCCTCCTCGTAAGCCATTTTTGTAGCCTGCTCGTCGGATAGATTTTTGTCGAGCTTCTTGAACTTATTCCGGCCGAACCAGCGCGTGATCTTTTCTGTTTTTCCGCCCTGCGTGACTTCCACATCAAGCACATAGTTGAAGTACTCATGCCCCGACTTGACCTGCACGTCGCGCTTGGTGTAGAGGCGCTTTGGGCGAATCACCGCTGTCGGTTCATCGAAAATTTCTTCCCAGTCCACCCTGCCGCGTCCGCCGTAGGTGGGCTTGATTTTGCTTTCCTCCTCCTTCGGCTTCTGGGCGCCGGCGCTGCTAGAACTGCTACTGGTTTTTTGCTTCTTTTCGTTCTTCGCCGCCCGCACACAGGCGTGGGTGGTGTTTGCCCAACACAAGCTGCGGACCCTGCCGATTGTGGCGACATGTGCATCTGGTCCTTCGGGGTCCACACACAGGAGCGCGGTTTGCAGCCCTGCGTCTTCGCATTGCGGCGCGCCAAGTTTTCGCACCGCTGAAATTTTACCTTCCATCTCGGCTTCATCTTCGAAGGCTTGGTCGTCATCCACCATTTCTGCCAGCTCCTTACCCATTTGAATGAACTTCGCTTTCCATTCTGGATCTTCCCGTGCGGTTGGATTCAGAAGCCAAAACAACGCCACTTTCGCGATGTCGCACGCTTCTTTTGGGACGATTTTTTGCAGGTTGAAGTCTTCGAGGTCATAGAAGCGGCTTCTGCCATCCGGAAAGCGGAGAGCGGTTCCGCCCAGGTGGAGGAACCACGTCGTAGCGAGAAATGGCTTGAGGAAGTGGATGTCGCGTTTGACTACTTCATCGACGTTTACGCCGTCAAGGGAGGAGAGGAGCTGTTCTGGGCTGTTTGACAGGTGGTCGTGACAGTAGACGAGATTTACACCTTCCGTCAGCGGGTACAGGTACTTGAAGAAATTCTTCATGCAGCGGAGCTCTCTAGTTTTTGCTGGCCAGCTTAGCTCCGTGCGCCACATCTGATCCGCGTTGTCGTGCAGCCGCATTTTTGGTTCTTCTTCGTACGAGCCCCACAGGCTCACGCTCCACTTAATTTTCGACGCGTCGCCAAACCCGACGAAGTAGAGGATTGTTTGCCAGTCTATAGGATACTTTCGTAGCTTCGGGTCTGCCTTTTTTGCTACTTTGACTAGTGCATCATGTGCTGCGACGTCGGTTTTGAAGAGGGCGATGGGCTTGTGCTTGGGATTGTTTTTTGGGAGCAGATACGGGCGGAGCGGCAGCACCGCTTCGGCGTGGTTGTAGATGTAGTTTCTCACTCCCTCCCAGCTCGAGATGTGCACTACTGCCGTTACCGCGTCCTTCGAAGCCTCCTTTGCAAGTTCGCGAAGCTTCTCTATTTGCTCCGGGTTGATCCCGGTACCGCCGTCGGAATGCACAATTTCCCCTAGCCACTTGACAGTCAGAGACGCAGGCTGGAGTTTTGCAATGCTAAAAGCAAAACCGCAGAGTTTGGCCTGCGCGTTGATCCGGGCGTCCGCATCGACTACGTCGTTTTCGTACCACACTTTCCGGTGCAGGTGGAGGTACTTTTCGGCGGTTTTCGCGTCCGAAAAAATCCATGTGGTAATCGTGTCGCGCGGTCTGTTGTTTGCACCGCTAACAGGCGCGATCGCGGCTTCAAGCGTGATACCGGATTCGGTCTGGAGCGCTGCGTGCAACACATTTCCATCAAGATCAGTCGTGATAATCGCGATTATTTTTTTCCAGTCCTGCTCGAAGGCAGTTTGCCATGCAAGAGTAGCGAAAGCATCAATTGTGTGGGCTTCAATCTTTCCGCGATCGGTCTCTTGCATGCAAGCAGGGGTGGCGATTTTTTCACGCGGCAGCACAGTCGACTGGTCGTTGATATTTTCGAAGCCGGTGTTATACAACCGGCTGCGGTTGCAAGTGTTGCGCATAACCTCGCGGTCGAATTTCAGCTCCGCAGCGTTACGCGCCATCACCTCCTCCGGTTCCTGGCGGAATTTCGCGTGCATTTTCGGATCCAGCGGAAGCCCGGAGTCCACGGCTTCTTCTTCCGACTCGGCGTCCGGTTCCGAATCAATTTCCCAGTCTTCTCTGTCGCACAGCAGCACCGGGTAGTGGTCATTTTCTTTTGATGCAAAGACTGCTCCCGCGACTTCGGTTTGAATATCGTCGCCGCTGTTTTTCACATCGTCCATGAACACGTGGGTGCTATATTCTCCTTTCGCGTTTTGCTGCCACCCGAACGCTGTCTCGCTTCGCATTGAGAAGTTGTTTGGGTTCTGCTTCGGCCCTAGCCCACACCGTTTTGGTCGCATGACAGGACGTCTTCGTAATCCTGTTGACCACGCAGCGAGCGCCGACGTTTTGTAGCTGATTCGCAGCGTGCTGAACCCGAAGAACGCGTCGCGCACGAATTTAAACTTCCGGCTTTTGTAGAAGAGGTTTCTATTTTGCACTGGGACCCACGCACACCCCCTGGCTTTTACGTTGTGCAGCTGGTAGTTGATCGCAATGCGCTTGCGGCGGACTGGCTTCATTTTTCCTGTGGTCTAGTCTTTCTTCACGTGTTTCACCAGAAACCCAGGAGAGATGATGCGCGGCGGCCCCGCAGGACCATTGATTTGCTGCCAGCCGTAAGGTTCGTCCTTGTCGGATCGAATTGCTTCCTCCACGTGATAATCCATGGCGATTTCGTTGTAGCGGTTGAGCTCAATCGGACGGGCAGCTGCAGCTTCCTCGTTCGGGCCCATAGTCCACTTTGCGATGCAGCCCTTCAAGACTGGCTGTGGTTCGCCGGGTTGGTGCGTCGCGAGGATGTGTGATGCTGAAACGGCAAGACGATGAGTTGTTTCTTTGGAGAGTTCCTCGCTGCAAGTTCGGATGTAGTGGTCGTGGGTGACTTTCGCGAGCGGTTCACCTGATTCCTCCTCCTCCCGCGCTTTGCGGATTTCCTCTTGCAGGGCTACAATAGCATCCTCATCCCGGGTCTCGAGCGAGGCCTGCTTCGCGTGGAATTTCGAAGTGCGAATGTGCTTGAGGTCTTCCTCTAGCTCCGTGCTCGACAGCTTTCGCATCCACTTATCACAGACTTCTTCGTCGAGAAGCACCGGCATGTCCTCTGCCAGATGTTTTTTCACGAGCTCGCGGCTCACCACTGCTTGCCGCGCCGGGCCCGTCGCGATTGTTACCTTCACCTCCCCTTCGTCAAGCATTGCTGCACGGACGTCGAGGCTTTCGATCTGCAAATTCAACACCACTCTCCGCTGCTGTTTTGTGCCTGCGTTGCCTGGGATGATTTGAGGCGCCACCACCGGTGTGAACCAAACTTGCCGTTTCTCGAGCTGTTTTGTCGGTGCAACAGCAAAATAGCCGTAACCCACCGCTTTTTCTCTTGGGACTTCCAATTCGATGTCCATGACTTCGATTGGTTCGAGGTACGGTTTCGGCGCGTAGGTCAGCACTGTTTCCGGATCGACCTGCTCGTAGGACTGTTGGCACGGTTTTTTCAACTTCCGGATGTTTGAAAGGTGAAGCGAGGACGCGGCTTTTCCCTGTTGCGGTGTGATCAACAGCTTGTTACCGGTGCCGTCATCGACGGGGATTTGAATTTCCTTCGGGACCAGATTCATGGCTTGCGCGGTTTGCAAAGAAAGCGCGAAAGGTTGTCCTATTGGAATTTCAGAAACCAAGTACAGCGCTTTGTGCATCATAAACAATTCGGGATTATTTTTGTCGCGGATTGTCATTGTTACATGCACTGACTTCGAGAACCGGAGGCGTTGGGCAGACGGGGCGAATTGCCCCGCAGCGAGGCTGCAGTCTTTACCCAACTCAACAAATCCCTCTTCGATTTCCGCTTCATGGTTCTTCAACAAATCTTCGTACTGTTCCGGGTCGATGATGTTGCCGAAGTCGTCACCGGTATCTATTTGGCACCAGTACTTGCGGCCGCTATTGCCAATCTCGAATTGGACGAAGTGCCCTTCTGGCGTCGTATCGCTGGTCATTTTCTTCACCCGCTTCGCTGGGAAGACGCCGTCATCCGACACAGTGCAGCTTCGCAGCGCCGCAGCGCGCCTCGGTGCCGGCATCATCTTCGGAACGCCGATGATAGTTTCTCCTTGGGCCGGCGCAGCAGCTTTTTTCGCGGTCGCTTTTGCAGCTTGCGCAGCCCCGCCTGCCGCCGCAGCAGCAGCAGCAGCAGCAGCAGCAGCACCCGCAGGGGGCGGTCTTCGTCCTCCGTCTGCTTTGCCGTCGTCCGTCTGCTTACTGTTGCTTCGCCAGTTCTTATCGCTGCTGGAACCGCCCTTTCCTTTTCCTTTTGGATTGTACTTGACAAGTTCTCCAGCATCGTTTTTACAAAGCTGTATGCTCATTCCGCAAACGGTATTATCATCGACTTTACCTTCTTTTTTAAGTTTGTTGTAATGCGAATCTGGGAGCGCAGCGAGGTCTTTTGGGCACGTCATTGCGATTAGCGGTGCGTTTGGGTTTCCAACCAGCCTCTTGAACAGCGCGTGCTTCCCGTTGCAGGTTTTGCAAAGCTCGGTGGTGTTGAGGATGATTGTGTATTTGCTGCCCTCTTTCTGGATCTCCAGATTTTTCTTGCACTCCTGTGCAACGTGACCTACTCCCTTGCACTTGATCGTCCACACGGGCACCTCTGCGTTCTGTTGTCTTGCGGCTGCCGCAGCGGCGTTTGCTGCATCGAGATGTTGCTGCTCCTGGAGTTTCCGAGCAGCCTCCTCTTTTTCTCGTAGCGCGGCCGCCCTTCGCTCTGCAGCTGCAGCTTTCTTCACAGTAGCATCGGGGTTGCTTGTGTTTCCTGCACCACCTCGGCCGCCGTTTGCTGCACCTCCACCTGGCGGAGAAGTTTTTTCACCAGGAGAGAGAACTGCTGTTTGGCGGGCAAGCTGGACTTTATAGATTACGATTTCCTTGTAGGCGGTTAGCACGATGCGCGGCGTGTGCTTGTTTGGTGGGAGCGGCGTTGGCTTGTGCGACATCATGCTGTTGTCGAACTCGGTGCGGAATTGTTGCAACACTTCGTGGTACAGGTTGTTCAATTCCTGCGCGGTGGAGTCTCGGTCTGGCGTAGCGTCGAGGTTTGGGACCTGCTGCTTCGAACCGATGCAATATTCGATCATCCGCGTCAGCCTGTGCTCATGCTGTTCTATCCACGACTGGATGTCGATCACGGCCGCATTTGCCGGTGGCTTGTGCTCGAAGACGACCTGTTTGCGGAGTTTCGCGACAGCAGTTCCATCCAGCGGGACTTCGAATCTCTCTTGCCACTTTTGACCGATGTATTCGAAGGCCTTTTTATAATCCAGCTCGATTTCCCCCGTAGCCTGGGCGTGCACGACGTTGATCAGCGACAGCATGCTTTCTAGTCCCTGCGCCTTCCATTTTGCAAGAGAAAAATTGCCGCCGTGACTCTTGTTTCTGGAGCGGGCGTCCTTCAATTTCTCGTCTACCTGCTGGAGCATCTCCACGAAATCCGGCGACAGGTCCTCTTGGTTGGGTTTTCGTTTCAGCACCATGTGCGCGAGTTTGTAGTCATGCTCGGCATCGCTTTTCAGCGCGTCTAATTCCTGCCCATCGTCAAGCGCCTGCAGCTGGCTCTGCGAGGATTTGATATCACTAAGCTTCGCGACGATCTTGCAATTCCGCATTTGGTTGAGCCGCTTGATCCACTCGTTCATGTTTGTGCCTTTTCCTCCGTCTTTTTTCGCTTGCGGTTTTATTTTGAAGCAGAGGTTGAGGCTGCCCGCGAACATAATCAGGCGGACGTCGACTGGTTTTACCTCGAAGTGGTCAGAGATAGCTTTGCGCGAATCGTCGTAGTTGAGCTTCCACACCGTCAGTTTTTCGTGCTCCTGCAGTCTCGCGAATGCCTGTGCGTCGTCGTTATTCGCGATGTACGCGTGGACCAGGAGTGATGTTTCGTTGTTCTCGTCCTCGGACAGCAACAATTGCTGGATTTCTGCGTCCTCGGGCACGCCTTCTGCGTCTTTGATACGAAGTGGAAGTTTTGCTCGCTGCAGGAGATGCGCGATCGGATAGATTCCGCTCGCCGCGTCGTCCTTATCCTGTTCTGTTGCGAGGATTTTTGCAGTGCCTCCGAAGCGCGAGCGCCACGCGCGCTCATTTCGTGGTACGAGCTCGGCTGCGAAATATTCCGTTTGTCCTACACCGTCGCCAACTGCTGATACGAGCTTGCTGCTTGCGCTTGCGGAGGAGGCGGTTGCGGAAACCCCGGCGATTGACGCCACTACACTGGCGCTGTCTCCAACGTCCGATTCCGCGCTTCCCCGCCGCGACAGCGTTTTTTCAAAGAACGCACCGCTTTGCTGTTGTCGGAGGGACGGGAGGTTGGCTCCTGCAAAGTCATGCGACGCCCAGCTTCCCGTGGGCAAGTTCGCGATTTGGTACTGTTGCTGCTCGTTTTGCTGCGGGTACGCATATGCGCCTTGCTGTTGGTTTTGCTGGGCAAAGAACGAGAATGCTGCCTCTCTATTTTGCGCCGTTTCCGTGTACGGGTTGCTTTCACGCGGGGCAGGCATTGCTCTTGCCGGCGGCGAATTTCCGAAGTTAAAATTTTGCTCGGAGTAGTAGTGCATCTCGCTGCTTGCGGCACTGGAGCTGGAGAATCGCGGCGCATAATGTGCACCCTGCGGAGGAGCGGCAGCACCGAACCCTGCTGCGAATGCGCCTCTTTGCGAATTCACGGATGCGGGAGTCTTCTTCTGCGACATAATTGCATCACAGATGTTCGCGGCCTGTAGAGTCGAGCTTTGCACGGGCGGATGATATGATGTTCTGATTGCTGGAGGGTCACGGTCTGCTTCCGCGCTGCAGCGCGGCTGCGCGGCCGAGAGGTTTCTCGCGTATTCTTTCTGCTCCGGCGACATCAGTGCTTGCTGCTGCGACAGCGGATCTTGACCTCGGATTTCCCCGGCTTTGGCTGGCGTGGAGATGTCAAAAACCTGCGCGGCTGCGGCTTGTCCTGGGTTGTTCTGGATTGTCGTGCTAATTCTCTCGCTTTGCGTCCCTACAGTTGCTGGAGCTGCTTGCGGGCATGTGAGGTATTCGGCCTCGTCGAAGAAGCTGTGCCGCTCTGCGGCTTCATTCCACTCTTGCACCGCATCCTCGAGCTCGACTAACCGGTCGCTTACCGTCCTATTATCGTTTTCTCTCCTGTTGGGCGCTTTGGTTTGCAGAAGGTCCGTAAGGATTTGCAGCTGGCTGTTGTGCAGGTTTATGTTGAGTTTGGCGTCCCGCAAGTCGTCCTGGTGCTGCTCCTTAGTTTCGTTTAGCTGCTCCAGCTTGGTTTGCAGCGAGACCTGGCTTTCGTGGAGCTTATGGTCGAGCTGTTTCCACTTCTCCTCCAGCAGAAGCTGCCGGCTCACGACATCTTCGCCTCCGAGCTTGTCGAGTTTTTCCTGCAGCGACGCGCGCAATTCGGCAAGATTGTCACGCGCGTCGTCGACCTCCTTCTTTTTTCCTGCAAAGAAACTTTCAATTTCGGCTTTGGATTTTTGCATTTCGTCAACGAAAATTTTCTTTTTGTCCACGAAGAAATCATTTATCTCATGTTGCTTCTGCTCGAAGACGCCATCAAGCTTACTGGTCGTTTCTGCATCCGTACTTGCCAACGGTTCGACTTGCAGACTCGCTTGCTGCTGCGGCGGTTGCAGTTGCAGTTTTTCCAGAGATTCCTGCAAGGGCTTGATAGCTGATGAGATTTCGAGCTTGCAAAGGCGTTGAGCGAACTCATCGTCCGTTTGTAGCCGACGCTCCAACTTTTCCATGCGCGTTGCCAGCGTCATATCTGGGAACAGAGCCGAGATTTCGGAGTTGGCTGATTGCGTGTTATGCGCAGCAGGCGGATTTTCAGCGTTTATTGTCGCAGCGTGCTGGAGCAAGACTATCGCTTCTTCGGTTTTCTCCACGCGGCCTGCTAGATTCTGCCTATCTTCTGCGAGGGAGCGGATTTGCTGATCGATGAGGATTTGGTCTTGTTGAGTCTGCTCTTGCTTTGTCGCCTGGCCATCGACCTGAAATTCGATTTGCTGTTTGTACATGATGAGGTTGTCGCTGGCTGCGTCTGCCACGTCTTGCGCAACCGCTTGTGCTGTGGCTTGAATGGCCTTCTGGTTTGCTTCGTTTTTCAAGACAAGCTCGCAGACCGACGACACCAGATCCCGGACTTGTGGGACCTGTTGCAATGCCACCAGCACCTGGATGTTTACCCTATCTTCTAGCTTTCCAAACAGCTCTGCTAGCTTGTACGAACGGCTAATTGCTTCCTGCACCATTTCCATTGCCTGGGGCTTATTGACCATGATGTGTAGCGCGTGGAACTGCGGGTCGTTTGCGAGGACTGCGAGCAGCTGCTGTTTGAGATGCTGGCCGATAATTGCTCCGAAGTTTTGCTCGAGGGCGGAGAAGTCCGCTTGGATTTTCTCCACCGCGGTAATCTGCGTAACATGGTTCTGCAATAATTCCCCTTTGAAATCTTGGATTTTGTTGTCCAGCATCGAGTCGCGATTTTGCAGTGTCGCGATTTCTCCGCGAGTGCCGCTGTGCTGCAGCTCCAGTCGACGATGTAGCCCGGCAATCCCGTTTTCGCAGTTTGCCGCAACGCTGCCGATTTTCGTCGTCATTTCGTCCCTGTTCTTCTCGCACAAGGCCAGCAATTCTGCAAGAAATGACTCGTTTGTTATCGAGCTGAGGCTGAAGTTTATTTCTGTATTCGCTCCCCGCGGCGGCTGCAAGCGGTTTCCGCTTTCTGCATCTGGCATTGAGACATTTGAAGACAGAGAAGTGAACAGCACCGGGGTTTGCGGTTCGCCGCCCGCGGACACTGTTATTTCTCCTTCTGTTGCCCTGACAACCAGCCCGATTTCTTGTTGCTGCTGCTCTCCCGCGGCGGCTGTTTTTTGCTCCGCTTCCTGGAGGTCGTCAAGTGCTTCTTCCATGCTCGACATGGCTGGCGACGCTGGCGTCCCCGTGGTGTCGTTCATAGAATTGTTTAGCACTCCAGCTCGTCTGCGCTAATGCGGTTTAGGTCGCAGTCAAGGAATTGGAAGGCGGGATAGTCGAATTGCGCGAAAGCGTTCACCACGTCCCAGGGCGTGATTTCGGAGGGGTTCACGTAGACGAACCGAGTGTCGTGATCCGGTCCCAAATTGTTTTTCTTGAACCAGCTGAACGTCGCTTGCACCCACTCCGTGTTGTTTCCCGCCAAGGTCTTCAGCTCGTAATCGAGGACACGCTTGGCGTCGCAGTAGTGGCTCGCGCTCGGAGTGTTGTTTATGTCGCAGAGAATCGCGTCTAACTGTTTTTTCGCGTTGTCCTTCAACCTCGGCGCAAGGCGGCCTGCTTCGAAGTACCGCCTTGTGTCGTCGTCCAACTGAACCCTGACACCAGGGGCGTGCTTTATTTGCGCGCCACCCCGGTACGATTGCAATCTCGTGCTTGTTCCCGACTTTTTTCTCGCAGCCTCCCACGCGTACGCTGTAGTTTCGTCCTCGGTTTGATACAGCGGAGAGGCGGGGTCTGCGGACGTACCGCAAGTTTTGCATCGATACCCTTTTGGGAGGTCTTGTTCGTGCGGGAAGAAGCGGTGGAGAGTGTCGTAAATTTCGTGGTAGTCGTGCCCGGTTTTTGGTGAGTTGTACTCTTCGACTGTCGCCGGTGTGCGAAGCAATTTTTGTCCTACCTCGGCCTTTTCAGCGTTAATGTTCACGCCGCCGACGAAAGCGTTTTCCTTCGGGGGGAAGAGCCGGATTTCTCCGTCCGCCTCTTGCTCCCGCAACTTCACCAAGAGCGTTTCCGAGCACTTATTGACCTCGTCCGTGTCCAGCAGCAAGACTTTTTCAAGTCCGCGCGGGGAGAGGATTACTTCTGTTCGGTGTATTTCCGGTGATCCGCCGTCGTTGTACGTTTGCACCGGCAGATTTGTTACCGCGAATACCGTATTGCTTTCTGGGTAGGCGGCTGCGATTGCTACTGCCGCCTGCCAATTACATACAGTTGCTTCCCTCCAATCCTTGTTTTTATCTATCACCGAGCAGTCTGCTCCACAGTCGATTGCGCCCCAGGCCGCGTCGGCGACCGGCTTATTTGCCTTGACCGACGAGCTGCTGCTGGTGGATTTGGATGAAGAAGAAGTCACTTTGCGTTGCCATCGACGTTTTGAGATTTAAATAAAGCATTTTGTTTAATATTGCCGGTTTTTAAATGCAAAAAAACTGGCTCCGGATTATTTATCCGGTTTGTTCTCTTTGACCCGGTGTCTTTTCGAGCCGGCTGATGTACCACTGTAGCAAAAGTGCTTAGTGGAACACAGAATGCAAGTTTCTCGTGAAGATGATTTCACAGAGAACAAGAATTCACAATTGTAATTTTACTTTCAAGTTTTGTCACAGATGTTGAACTTCAAGATTTACAGGCGTGCTCAATGCAGTTTGCGGCACGTCGTAGTCTCAAACTTCCTAACTGTTTTTGGGTTCAAAATGGTTTTTGGAAGCAGCGCAAATTCATCATCACTGTTTTGCCTCGCCAATTTCGCGTGCTATGAAGTCCGGATTACAATTTCTAGTGTTGGAAAATTGTTGCTACGTTTTTTCGTACACAAGAAGAATTTCGTGATCTACTTCATTTTTATTGTTGAATGGAATTTGTTGTTGCGGAGAAAAGATCTTTTCATGTTGTCCTCGCAAATCTGTAATGCTATTTTGCGCTTCGAACACGGTGAGAATGGTGTACAGACGGTTTCTATGGACACCCGTCGCTACACTAGTGCTGCTGAGAGTTCGAAAAATTAGAAGGGCGTAGCTAGTGTTCCGTCTTTCATGATCGATGAAAAGCAGAGCCTGTTTGTTGTAGACCAATGCTATCAATAAAAAAGTTCAAAATGCCACGAGTTCAACATGTTTGATTGGCCGATGAAGTCTTATCCTGTCTCCGCTTCGGAAATATTTTTTTTTATTTTTTTTGGTTTTTATTGTTGTCATACAAAAAAAGCTGTTGGCACGTCCTCTGGTCGTGTTTCGTCTTGTAGTATCGGGAGACAATGTAGGATTTTTTGCTTTTTTTTAATGAACAAAATCAAATTACGAATCGCGTATCTTTGTGAATACTGGAAATTATGTACCAAAACTTTTACTGTTGCCGTGGGAGTGAAATCATTCAACATCTTCGCGATCATCCAAAATTTAGTTCTACGTCGTACCATCTCAAGATGAAGCTGCCTGTGCTAGTACTTACTTCGCCACGATATGAGTACTATTTCTGATCTCCAGTGCCGGTACGGCGTCCTGTTCGTCAAGACCTTCTAGCTTACCTCTTTTTACTACCGTTTATAGTACGAAAAAAAGTTCCACAAATGTTCATCTGTCCAGTTCTCTAGTACTTTCTTGATTATTGTTCACGGTTTTTTTTTCAAACATGAAAACGCAAGTTAAAACAACAAAACAAACGCTAGGGGAGTAAAAAAATACAAACGGAGTATGCCCGAAACAGAAACAGGCCTCATTGTTCACCTTCAGAGGGAGCTCGAACCCCGCCCCCTAGACCGGCTTGTACCCCGGCCATACGTTCTACTGTGGACTTGGGTCCGCAAATAATACCCAGAATGACGTATAGTATTCCGAAGCACTATTTCAGCAGAGCTATGTTCACGACCATACAAATTCAGATGACCCACCGGGGTATCAAAAGTCTGAACCTTTTTCAAAAGCTAGTAGTATTACCGTTACAATCTTTTTATCTGTACGAAAGTTTCGTTTGCAGAAATGAAGCCTACATAAAAAATTCGTTCCTTTAATCTGATGAGAGAATTTCAATTTGTTCCTGCTCTCTCAACATCAAATTCCCGCGGGGATACTGGTCGCCCCCAGACCCCCTCCCCCCGCGCCACTTAATCGGCTATGCGGGCGACTCGTGTTACCCGACACGGAGGAGTCTTGCCGTGGTTTTCCCTTCTTCACGATCTGTTGGACGACGATCCCGACAAACTCTTCGTAGTTGATGTTTCCGTTCCCGTCCAAGTCTGCGAGTTCCAGCATACCATCTGCTTCTTCCAGCGACAGTTTGTCGCCGAACACGTTCATGATTTGCCTGACCTCGTTGCTTGTGATAAACCCGCTGTTGTCTAGATCCAAAATCCGGAAGGCATTCAACAGCTCGTCTTGCCCGAGGTACTTGTGGCCGTTTTCGTCCCACTTCCGCATCAACTTCAGAAAGAACTGAAAATCGTACATGTTCGTGCCCTCTTCGTCGATCCCATTCACGCAATGCTCCAACCGCTTAAACACCCAGGGACTGTGATTTGGAGGATAAGGATTGATTTACTTACTTATTTTCATTGTGCCGGGATCGTATACGCAGCGCAAAACCATTGCATGCAGGTCTTCATGATACACGACGAGCACGACCACGACATGACGAGAAAAACCATTGAATTATTTCAAAAGTGGTCTGTAGGTCTGATCTGATCATCATCATCATCATCATCTTTGTGTTTGTCCGTGACATTGTAAATTGTCTTTTCTCATCCTTCTTTGAGTGGACGTACACTCGAACACAGATTTGTGACGGCCGGCGTCACTCCGCAACCCACAGGCCTTCCTGGTTGCGGTAGAAGGCTTGGCCCGCAACGTCTTTGATTTCTCGCCCCGTGTTTTCGCAGAAATCTTCTCCCGTCACCGTAAAGCGAATTTCTTGGTCGCTTTCTAGTTGCCAGTGTTCTCCCCCGTTGGCGCTCGGCACTCTGCCCCAGCGCCTGCCGCTGATCTTTTGAATGAAGGCCGCCTTGTCTCTGATCTGATCAAGAACATAAAAAAAATCACAATATTACGTCGAGGCGGTGCCGCGGTCGATTTCGCCCAGCTCCGGAAGGCTGTATCGCGGAAACGCACCCACCCGGATCATGATGACCGGTAGGTCCTTGTAATTCACAAACCCGTCCCCAAATTCGTCGGACAGCCGAAAGGCGTCGCAGTACTCGTCTATCACAATTTGATCGAATCCGCAGGCATCTTCCGCGAAGTAGACCGACCCGTCGCCAAACCCGTGAATCTGTTGAAAGGGGTCGTACGTGCTGTGCAGCGTGCGAAAGGGCTTCACCAGGTCCTTCTTAATCTCGTTGATATCCTCAATGGTCTGCTTCTTCTTCGCTTTGGGCTTGGGCTGCGAAGGTCCCTGAGGCTGACCCGCGTTGCCGCGCGACTGCATCGCTCCTATATCTTCGGTGTGGCTGCGGTTTTACCTCTTGCTGTGACGGTGGCAACAGCTCTGATGGTTAGGTTTGTAGTTACAGCGGCTTCGCGACGATCACGACGATGAGGAAGTGCCGCTGGTGTTGAAAATTCCTGTGCTACTTTTATTTCGGAAAGCTGCGAGAACTTTTTCCGCTGCGAGGTGGCGCATCCACCGAACCCGTGAAACTCTTTGTGAATACCAATACACGACGTATTTTTACCGAAAATGGAATAGTCAAAGCGAAACTTCTAGAGCTCAAACTGTATCACCAAAATAAAGCAGCGCGACAAGAGAATAGCGAATTGTATCGCTTTTCCGTACAAAATTGAGGTGTAGTCATATTGTGCCGAATGACATGGGATTAATTTCTAATCGGATTCGAATATTGTGTCAAATTTAGATCATTAGCGAGAAAAAAGAAGTTGCGCCTCTAGTTCGAATTCGGCATAAGAATAATTGAAATTGATCTAGAAATTCGTCACATCATCCTCCAAAAAGAAATCGCAAACGGCAGCAAATATGAAGTTCATGTGCTTGTTTCTGAGGACGAATCAAATGTGTATCTTGCAAGGGGTTTTGCTGGAAATGGGCCTGTTTATTTGCGTGGTGACAACGTTGTAGAAACTATCACGACGTTCTTGGTTGGCCTTCATCTTGGCGCTACTTTACAGTTACCGTGTATGCTGTCAAAGGTTTCATCAGCATAAAACCGACAGAAACAAATCTTCCGGTACGATGATCATCTGAGCAAGGACGAGCTGTATCTTTCATGCACGTGGACGTGGACCTGGACGAGATGGGTAATTACAATTCATCACCGAGTCGTTCTTGTGTCGGTGTCCTTGTACGATAGTGTTGCACGAGAGTAGGTACCACAGCACTTTTACCGAGAATGTGATTATCTTCCAGGTGCTGGACTGGTGGACGCGGTGCTAGTACTATACAACGCCTGGCGCAACATACAGCAGGAACATATTTATTGCTACACAAGTAGGCGCCAGCACATAAGCTTCACGACCGAGGCTTCGCTTTCCATATCTGCAGCACAGAAGAACCGAATGCGAATACTAAGGTCGTTCTGGAATTTCCATTTGTGTAGAATTGGAAAAAGAAGTCTAGCTGCAGAAAAGACACCATGAAATTCTGCATACTTCGCTCAGGCTCAGGTTGTAGAACAGTGCCGCGGTATGATTGCGTTCAGAGGGCTCCAGCCTCCGTCCGGGAAGTCATAGTCAGGTATTTATTATATTACGTCAAGGATCATGTCAAGAGTCAGCCCGTGCAAAACGCGCCACAATCAATGACAAGAGGAACGTCAACAGCAGAAAGCCAATGAACAAGCGGCTCGTCCTGTAAGTACACATCAGTAGAGCTTCATGGAAAAAATTGTTCACAATTCCAGAAATTCTCGAACCGACCCGTCGGGTACTTTGAAGCTCGTGCTGGTACTCTCCGTCACTAGCGGTTCCACAATCGTGTTCATTTTGTTCGGCACACTGGGGTCCCACTTCTCCAGCGGAATGCACCGGATTTGCAGGCCTTTCTTCTCTAAGTCCTCGAGAGAGAAGTCGCTCTTTTGCAGCAACTTTTTCACGTTGAAATCCGGTAGTTGGATGGGCGGCCAGCCCCTATGTTGCTGTGCAAAAGTATCTTACTCGTATAAATGCAGGTCTTGCATTACAATTTTCTTTGTCAAGGCAAATCAGTATCAGCATTACAAATTTTATTTCTCATGCTGAGAAAATTTGTAGTGCATTCATGTTGCGAGTACGATACTTTTGCAGTTCATAGCCCCGGCCGTCAATCGACCTGATAGCCGTGCCGGAAGAAGAGGACGCTAGCGGCTTTTCCACCTGACCCCCGCCGGCGTCGTGGATCTTCGCCATGCTCTTCCGGAATTCTTCCTTCTTCGCCTCCTTTTCCGCCACAGCTGCCGGCGACGCGTCGGCGCTCGCCAATTCCGGATTCCGGAAAACGTCCTCCGGTGCCGGCTCCTCGGCCTGCAACTCCGCCTGCCGCTCCTTGTGGTAGGCGTTGCAGGTGCGTTCCAAGTTCACGAGCCAGGATTTGTCGCCGCCGCCCGGCATACACAACTTGTGGAATTGGTTCGGGCCCTGGAGAACCGGGTAGTAAAAAGGTCCTCGTCCTGCTTGTTCTACTTCTGATGTTCTTGCCCCCTCATCTTCAGAGGGATCGATCGAGAAACTCACCGGTGGTTCGTCTTCTGCTCCCCCGCCTCCAGGGGTGTTGAACTCCTCCACTGGGTCACCGGGCACCGCAAAGTAGTCCTGTTTTCCAACCACTAAATCCTTCGCTTTCCCGATCCTGTTCTTCAAGCTCTGGTAAATGACTTCGCACCCCTCGGCCATCTGCATCTTCTTTTCCTCGATGCGCGGCGCCCACCCGAGGGGGGTGTTATTTTTGCCCTTCTTGTCCAGCTTTCCGGCTTGACACGCCGCCTTGAAATCGTTCCACACATTCGAGAGCACCAGCTGGTTGAACTTCTTCCAGAAATTCTTCGGCCACCCAGATGTGTTTTCGTTTGTCGTCGCTTCCTCTGCGGAAGTGATCGCCTTGTTTCCGAGAACGTTAAAGACTTGCTTTATCCGGACGTTGTCCAACGGGGAGATCACAGAGGGGATTTTGTCCGGAAACTGCTTCAATTCCATCGACGTACGCTTCCCGTCGACGGGGTCGATGAAGAAAGGAGCGGGGGTAGGCGAAGCCGCATCTCCTGTAGTTCCATCCCCTGCCTGGGCACCCACTGTGCTGCTTTCGCCTGCGGCAACGTTGTTGTCTACAGCATCACCAGCGGCACCGTCCTGGTCCGCAAAAGAGCTGGCTGCTCTTGAAAAAAATCGAGCCGGTTTATGTAGAAGAGGCTTCGTTGTGGTCAACAGCTCTTGTTGAATTCGGATTCCAAATGAGAAATTTTCGACCGCGTCGTGATTGGTCATCAAATTATGGTGAGCCAAAACTGGCATTTTCAGGATCGGTGTCAAGTCGTGCACAACTCCGGAGGTGACGACCGGTACCAACCAGCTTGTCCTTGTTCTACTACGCTCTTCCGGGTTGCAAAAAAAACGCAGATTTGTTCTTGAATTGGTACAGCTAACAAGTTCATCAAGCGTGCCTTTAGAGGTTACAAAAAACTGTGCCCAGCGACATCCGCCGCCACGGTGCCCAGCGCCGATAGGTCGTCCTTCAACTGGGCCTCAACGAACGTCGGGACTTCCAGGTCGCTATGAAATGCAAATGTGTCTGGGTCTGAAACTTCTGATGCTGGTTGGCGAATCAAGAGAACGCCAGGAATGCCGGCTCAGCATGACAGGTTTTTGAGTCGCTTGGTGTTGCCTATTCTGCATGAGAAGCTGGTGCTGGGTTTTTGCATGACACAAAAGTGGCGCTTGTGGGTACCTTGCATGACAGACTTGACGTTGACAGTCATGCTAGCAGAGCATGACAAACCTGGCATTTTTCCAGACCCAGACATATTTGCAATGCATAGTCGCCCTTCTTGGGATCTAGTCGCTTCAGTGCCTGCTCGTAATCCTGGTCTTTGAGGATGATGTCGTTTTTCAACCGTTTCCACCGGGTGCGGTTGGTACTCATGGAATACTCCTCGATGTGCGCCTGCAGTTGGTCCAAGAGACCGCGGATGAGGGGCAAAGACGTGTTGTTGGCTGCAATCGACGTGGAGGTTGTGGAGGCCATAGCTATTCCTATCCCTAGTAGTTCATTTAGAATCTGCTAGATGAAAATCCAAGTTGGACTTCTTCATCGCATCTCTACTTTCTTACTCTAAAAGGCGAGATGAACCGTATGCATTCCGCAGTCGAGACTTTTTACGTTTCTGGGCGATGCATATCTTGACACTGCTCGAAGGAAACACGAAATTTTCAGAGCGAGAGTGCCTCAATTGTTCCATGCTGTCCCTGTTTTAGAAAAAAGCGATATGCTCTTCAACGAATCAGCCCTGTCCAGTCGGTTTTCCACCATCCGCTCAAGACGATGAAAACGAAAACGATAACGATGCAACGAATCCATAATACAACTGTCCACTTCACGACAGTCGATCAATAGAAAACAAAGGTAGGCCAGCCTTAGAATAGGGCCTCGCAAGTGAAATAAAACAGGCGCTCCGGTGGTTCTTTTTTTTTATACTCTAGCAGGACCAGCTGCAGCTGCTCGTCGTGCAGCAAACAATTTATTTCACAACGACACTCATACGACATGCTATGTTACCTGAGTTCTACTTCACTTTTTGATCTCGACTTGCTTCCCCTGGTTCGTTCAGAAACCAACAAGCGTCAACATCCTACTATCACCTCTTCCTCCTCCCTACACCCTTCTTGTCCTTTTCCGCGGTGGCGTCCGCCAGCAATGCAGCGCGGCCCAGCTGAAACGACAGTCGAGACTCCGCTTCCGCAAGCGCGCGGGCTTTTAATTCCGCTTCCGACAGCTCGTCCGCGTTCTTGTCGGCCGAGTTATAAATCCTCGGATCCTGCTTCGGTCCGTACTTCCCTCGAACTTTCCTTTCCTGTCCCGTGCCGCCGATAATCCGCACGGCAATGTTTTTCATACCGTAGCGTGCGTTCGGAGCTTCCTCGTACCAGATCAGGTCGTTTTTCTTGACTTTCCGATCGACACACTCGGAAAGATTGAAATACAGATTGTCACTGTCATTTTGGCGAACAAAATGTCGGGACAGGACTCCTCCGTTGCTAGTGGTAGTTTTTCCTGTGGCAGCTGCTAGGGCTGTTGCTGAATCTGGCACGTCCTCCCACTGAGTCTGCGTGAGTGCCTTCGCCTTCGGTGTTGTATTCTCGAAAAATTCTACAGGCTGCACGAACCCAAATCCTTTCTCCTCAAACACACGAAACACTTTCCCACGCTTCGCGTAAGGACTGGGGGGAGTCAATGCGCGGCTACCGTCGGAGAGTTCATCGCGTTGATCGGGGGTTCGGGTTCCATTTTTTTGTTCGGCGTGCGATTTGGATTTGTTAATGGACGACCTGGATGTTGATGGAGTATTCGAATGTGTGGATGGTGATGAAGGGTTTGAACTTGCACTTCCACTTCCCCCGCCGACAACAGAGGAGTTGCATTCTCGCGTTTCCGGATTTGTTCTTGTTGATGAATGGGGTCGCTCTGCGCCTTGAAATTCATGTTCGAAATTCATGATCCTTTCGACGCTCTCCGCTGGTGCTGTCGCCCTTTGTTCCTCATCCGCGGGTTTACTATTTCTTCGTTCTGCTCTTACAGGTGTTATAGAAAAGTGTCTACATTTTGTTGTCGTCCGGCAGGTTCCACCTGACCGCGTGCGAGCCAACGGGAAGAAGATTTGAGACAGGCAACGCACGAGCGCAGTGGGTCGTGGTCGCGCGGCAACGCTATGCGAGCACACTGCACCTGGCGTACAAGGACCATTGCCAACAAGCGAAACTAATGTACGTTGCTGCCCCAACATGTGTCGCTTGTGAGTTGTTCTGCACTTCTCACTTCTACCTTGCCTGCTATTGTTTCATTTTTTTTCTTATGTCTTTTATTCACGACCGACACATAGAGAAACATTCAAGTAGTTGCAGAGACACCGACGACGTGATGTTGAAACCGAAAAGTTGCTCTGGGCATTCGTCGGCATACTTGTACATGATGCCTTCACAACATGTTTGACTTCTACTCTGCCCACATATGCAAACGACTGAATTTGGATGCTCTAACATCGAACGCGACAAAGGGCGAGAACAACCACTAAGTAACTTCTTCGATGGGAACTACATAGAAAAAACAATCAGGCACTTGTTCTTGGTTTTCGAAGTTGGTGTATGGGTTCATGGAAAAATTATTTCATCTTGTGGGGTTGGGAGTGAATCCTACTGGCAGGGGGGAGTTATCTTTTCAGGGGATCCATAAATCTTTCTTCGCAGAATCAAATCGGGCCGCGTCTTCACTTCGGGTAGAAGCTTCTTGTTCTTTCCATGCGCTGTGAAAAGGTGCAGAGCTTTGTCGTGTAGTTCCAGCATCGGGGAGCATGTTACTTGGCGGGTGTTTCACACTACGCCACCGTGGATACCAGGGACATGCTTATGAAAGTGGGTTTACCTTCCTATAGTTTTCGGGGGTGAAATCATAAAACGGGGACGCGAATAATAAATACGAATAAAATGATGCAAGCACAGGAAGATAGTATAGTTGGTGAAATCAAACAACATTTACGAATACGTATACGATAGTGAATTCAAACAAAAAAATGGAAAAGCAAGAATTTGAGTTGTGTTGTGATGATGTTGGCAGTGTGCCCTTTAGCGGACTGCTGCGTGCTACTCCCTCCCCCAGCCCGAGAGCAGCTGAACGCCGATCCTCTATGGCGAACAGTTGATCTATACCATAAGGGCGCGGCTGTTATGAGGCTAGGTTTTTTCGGACTTGGGTTGTGTTGTGTTGTGTGTGTGTATAAAGGACTAAATTGAAAATTTTGAAGTCGAATGCTCGCTCGCTTTGGCGCATGATGTGAATGAATGTTTGTGTAAAATGTGTGTGAAAACAAAATTTGACAAAAGACGCACGTGGCGTAGATGAAAAAGTAAAAGCAAAATGCAAAAAAAAAATCATAAGAGGACACAAAAGACAATTTTCTCGAAAAACACAAAAGGATGACAGAGATCCGCCTCAAGATGAATGCCCTGCATTCAAAATCAGTCCCTCGCAGGAGCAGTCTTAGAAGTGCCATCAACTCCAGTATTTTTACTTACTTGCCCCCCTGGCGTTGTTGTTCTGCCCGGTGTTCTGTCCGTTGCCGGTGAACTGCTCTCTCCTGTTCTTCCCCGGGCCCCGCAGCCTCTTCCGCACGTCCCGGGCTTCTTGGCGGCGGTTCTTTTCCCCGCCCAAATCGAAGTGGATCGGCCCGATCGGCGGGCCCCGGTAGCCGGGGGGCGCGTCTTTGCTGTCGATGGCCGCGAAGGTGTCCAGCCCGCGCATCTGCCGGTAGTTTTGGATCGCGTGGGTGACCGCGTGGAACACGTTGTCGTGGAAGAGCCCCAGCTCCTTCTCCGTGAGCAGCCCCGAGGTCGCGGACAGCTCCAGCTGTTTGTACAGGTCCTGCGTGAGCGCTTCGGTGACGATGGCGTGCAGCCAGACCCGGCCGACGCGCGGGTACTTCTCAAACACCGCCTTGATGAGTAACACCCGCGTCGTATCAAGTGTAAAAATGTCTGGGTCTGGAAGAATGCGCGATTTGTCATGCAGATTTTCCATAACCCATGAGGTCTGGAATGCAGGACCTAGCATGACAGATTCTGCGCGATCTCTCTCATGCCGATCCTGCATGAGAAACTTCCTTCCGACTTGGTCAAAACTGGACGACTTTTGGTAATCATGCAATACAGATTTTTGCATGCTTCAGATTTCGCATGACAAGTTGCATTCTTCCAGACCCAGACATTTTTACATTTGATACGTCGCGTACAGAATCCGCCGCAAACTCACGTCCAACTGCGCCAACGCCGCCTGCGGGACGGCCTGCTGGCTCGCCCGCCCACTCGTGTTGCCCGACCGCTGGTCGTTCTGGGTCGACGGCATCTCGTGCGCGCCGTCGAAAAAGAGCCCACGACGCGCTTTCTCGACGTCCTGCTGGAGGAACTCCTCGAGGTCGCCGTCCGAAGCGGTGGAGGGACGAGAGTAAGTAGAATTGTGGACGAGGTTCTTTTGCAGCCGGGTTCTTGTTTCAACAACATCCGTGGTTGTACTAGCACCCTCTGCAGCTGCACCCTGTTTGAACAAATGGAATGGCGCGCTCTTCCTCACGTGATTTTGGTTTCTCGAAGATGCTAGTTGTGCTTGTGCAGGGGAAGATCTACTTCGTTGCGTATTGGTATTTAAATCTTCACTGCGCTCGTTCTCCGACCCCGAAGAGGACTGAGATGACGAGGAGAAGATGGAGAAGAAGGCGGGAATAGTCTCCCGATAATTTCTGCTGCGGCTTTTGAAATTATTGGTTCTGGACGCATTCTTCGCTGTAGCTGTTCCAAGGTTCTCTTCTTCCAAGCTGCTCGAAGATGATCGCGCGGTAGAATTGTTGCTACTCGCCGACGACGTTGAGCTTGTGCCGCTACTTCTGCTTGTTCCGCTATCGTCGAGCAGTGCCGGATCAGCATGCTGGTGAAGAGCTTCGTCCTCGTAGAAATTGTCATAACTATCTGCCGCGCTCTCCTCAACATCCTCCTCATCCTCTTGCATCGCTGCGTGATACTCAGCAATCAAATCCTCCCGCGTCTGGCCAGTCCGAAAAGCTCGGTTTTGAAGATGTTCTTGTGTAGTACTTTCGTCACCCGAGCTGCTGCTGGTTCCAGCTTCGATGCTCCCAGATGCACCAGATCCGCCGCGCCCTTCGCCCTCTCCCATGGGACCTTTGTTTGCCGGCCCTTTCTGATCCGACGGCCGGTTGCTCGCCCTCTGCGCGGAGTTGCGGCTGTTTTCCCGCGCACGCCCGCTGCTGCGTTGCGCCGAAGCGAACTTGCTCGAGCTTGAGGACGAGTTTTCCCCAATCCCGACCGCGACGATAGGTTGCAAGGAGGCCCTTGTATTTTCCATATGACAGTGCACAACTCCCGCTCCCCCTCATTTGTATAGCATAAACGGCAATACAAGCATCAGCAAGAATGCCGGTTTTGCATGACAAACTTACACTAGATTGTAGTGCTATTTGGGCTACCAGAACTTGTCATGCAAACAGTGCCAAGAGGCAAAGGGTAGATTGGGTATTTTGCATGACAAATGAGGGAGAGGGGGAGTTGTGCACTGTCATATTCCATCAGCAGACACCAGAACAGGAGGGTTCGCCCCTTGTGCTATCAAATGTAAAAATGTCTGGGTCTGGAAGGATGCAACTTGTCATGCTAAATCTGAAGCATGCAAATCTTGTCATGCAAATCTGATGCACCGCGTTTTGCAAATCTGTGTTGCATGATTGCCAAAAGTCGCCCAGTTTTGTCCAAGTTGGGAGGAAGTTTCTCATGCAGGATAGGCATGAGAGAGATCGCGCAGAGTCTGTCATGCTAGGTGCTGCATTCCAGACCTCATGGGTCATGGAAAAGCTGCATGACAAATCGCGCATTCTTCCAGACCCAGACACTTTTGCATTTGATATGTGCTCGAACTGCGCAAAGTCGCCGCCCTCGACGGACCCCGTGTTGGCGTCCATCGGAACCTCGGTGCCGAACAGCCGGTGGAAGAGCTTGCAAAACCCCACTTCCAACGCCCACTTCTCCTGGATCTCCGGCGACTCGGTCCAGATCTGCATGGGCATCTCCTTGAAAAACATCTTCATGACGGGCGAAACCGTGCCGTCCAGACTGTTGTCCGACCGCAGCACGCCCTGCATGGCTTCGTGCGTAAATTCCAAAGCCTCGCTGATCTCGTCCGCGGGCCACACCGCCATGCTGCACCGCTCCCGCTTCAACCGTTGCAGCGAGCCCGTGACCGCGCCGAAAAAGATGTCGATGATGATCGAGTAGTCCTGGCCGAACCCCGCCTGCAGCCAGGCGGCGCCGTCCTCACTCCGCTGCGCGAAGGACTCGGAGGCCGAGGGAATGATGAACGAGGTGAGGCCGTAGCACTGTTCCCACCGGAAGTCTTCCGCCTTCCACCCCTTCGACAGTTGCACAAACTGTTTCTCGTAGTACGCGCTGCCGTGGAACTCGTGGTGCAGGTGGTGCATAGCCTCCATCATCGTGTGGCTGTACTGCTTCTGCGCCGGGCGCCCCCCCTGCACCGCGTTCAGGAGGTCGTCCTGCAACTCGTGGTTCCTCGTAGATGGATTATTGCCGCCGTGTCCTCCTCCGTACTCCTGGCCCGCCGCGTCTGCCAGCATGTCCGAGATCCGGTGCATATCCTGTGCAAAAGTATCGCACTCGTTGTATTGCAATCATGCATTACAAGTCTTGTTCTTAAGCTAAATCCGCATTACAAATTTTTTTTCTCATGCTGAGGAAATTTGTGATGCATTTACACGAGTACGATACTTTTGCAATGCGTAGGGCACCAGCCCGAGGATCGCCTCCGCGGAGATGTTGCAGAAGAGCCAGTGGGACTTCATTTCCTGCAGCCGCTCGAAGATGATCCCCTCCGCCAGCGTCGCGCACTTCAGCATTTTCGTTTGACTCGGCTGGATGGCCGGCGGGTACAGCTTCAACGCATTGTAGACCTTCCCGAACACCACGCCGTTGATCGACAGGGTGAGCAACGCGATGCCCGACACGTGGAACCCGATGCGGAGTCGGAACCCCAGGTCCAACGGGCTGTTCCCGTGGTCCATGGCCACCTGCAGCGCCATCGCGAGCCCGACCGCCCCGCGCAGGCCCCCGAACACCCCGATGATGCCCTCCTTCCAGGAAACGCCAAACCCGAAGAAGTTCATCACCGGCATCAGCGAGAACATCGCGATGCCCCGGGCGAGGTGGCAGTAGAGGTAGCAAATGCCCAGGAACATCCAGTCGGAGCTGAGCATGGAGGAAAAGAACAAGTATCTCGCCATCACCACGCCCGCGACGTAGAAAATGGTGTCGTTGCACACCCCCGCGATGAAGCCGATCACCTCGTGGTGCGCGTGGGACAAGTGCTCCCCCCCGTTCAACAAGATCATGTTCTGCCCGATGGCCGCCACGTAGAACGAGAAAACCACCACGGCCAGCACCGCGGACACGGGTAAGAGCGGGACCCCGATGATCGTTTGCTCGGAGAAGAAGAACAGGAAAAACACCACAAACACGGTCATGAAGAGGAAGTTTTTCACCTCGATGTGGTTGGTGACCTTCAACACACCGTGCATCACGCCCATCCCGAGGCACGCGACCACCGGACCGAGGCACGCGAGCCGGAAGAACACCCAGAGTGCGTACGCCGGGTCGAAGTCCGCCTCGGTGGAGGCGAGTTCCCAGAACAGGTTGAAGAACACAACCCCGGTCGCGTCGTTCAGCAACGCCTCCCCCGCGACGAGCAAACTCAGCCTGGCCGGCGCGCCGAGCTGCTTCAGCGCGGCAATCACGGCCACGGGGTCGGTCGCGGACAGGATGGCACCGAGTAGAAAGGAGATCATCCAGGGCCAGGCCCCGTCCACCCGACTGGTGGGGTCGGGGATCACCACGGCGCCGCCGTTCGGGTTCGGCGGCACCTGACAGGGCCTGTTCACGTACAGGGTCTGCCACTCCTGCGGACTCCGCCGCACCATCTGCATCTGCGTGCTCCCGTTCGGTTGGATCACCGGCCGCAGCGCGAACCGCCGCGGGTCTTCGGGGCTGAAGCTCCGCTCCTGCGTCGTCATTTGCCCGGTGGCTTGGTTCCAGAAGCAGATCCACACGTTATCAAATGCAAACGTGTCTGGGTCTGGAAGATTCTGAGACTTGCCATGCACGTTTTTCATGGGCCACCACGATGTCTGTAATGCATGCCGTAGCATCACAGACTTTTTGAGGGCTTCATGATGCCTATTCCGCATGACAAATGCCCTCTGCGCGTAGCCAAAAGTGCACTCCCTTTGCTGGTCATGCAATACAGATCTTTTTGGAATCCAAATGCAGCATCACAAGTTCGGACTCTTCCAGACCCAGACATTTTTACATTTGATACACGTGCTCCGGGTGCAGTTCCTCGATCGGGGGCAGGGGAAAGGTCGTCCGAATCAAGCAGCCCATGATCAGGAAGGAGATCGCCACGCCCGGAACGGCGAGAATCACTGCGTTGACGAAGATCGGCCGGAGGACGCGCCAATCGGAGCCGCTTCCGTCCTCGTACAGCAGCATGGGCAACAACAGCCAAAAGATCACGTGCGGGTCGCAGTGACTGGCCTGCTCGACCAGGTAACCAATCTCGGACTCGGGGCCAGAGAGGTAGCCCAGGAAGTTGGTCGCAAAGCCGAAAAGCACCAGGAGAAGCGAGGGCGGCAAAAACCCGTTGATCAGCTTCCCCGTGTAGGACACACAAACCGACACGACCAGGGCCACGAGCAGAAACATAAGCGGGTAGAAAATCGGCGGGTGGTGCAGCGGCGCGTGGAAAACTTTGCACACCTGGAAGGGTAGTTTTTAGTTCATCTTACAGATCCAGACGTAGGTACTAGTAGAGCGGGTTGGATATCAAAAGAGAGCAGGACGAAAGTGGAAATTCTTTATTTTCGGGGAGAAGTACAACTAGCATTATTGATGATAGCGCTACCTGTTTTCAAAGAACTTACTTAAGTAACGCGTCCGCAGTTTCTGTTCAAATCAAAATTTTCAAATCAGCATCTACTTCATGCTTAATACCCTCAAATAAGGTCCGTGGTTGTGTCTCAAGTCCCGGGGGTCGCCCACGGTTTTCCAGAACAGCTGTTTTCCCGCGTCCGGGCCCTGCTGGTACCAACACCCGCGCAGGTTCGGGCCCTGGTGGATCATGAAGTTGTTCGCGACAATGTTGTTGGCGACCGCTTCCCCGAAGAGATGCTCCCCAGCCTGGCGGCAACACGCCTGACTCCGAATTTCCTCGCCGTGGCCGCAGTGCCCCGCTTGAGCGAAAAACGTCACGTGGAAAGCGTGGTGCAGCTGCTCCTGCTGGCTCAGGCGCGTGTCGACCCAGGGAACCTCGTCCATGCAGGCGTTCACCCGCCCCTCGGGCGGAGTCAACCGGACGCCCGACTGCGGTGGTTGCAACGCGGGGGCGCTGAACGGGTTTGCGTTTGCGTTTGCGTTCGTCGTTTGCGTTTGCAGCCTAGCATTCGCGTTTGCGTTCGTCGAAGAGGCCTGCAGTAGTTGCTGCTGTTGTTGTCCAAATTGGTTGATGTTTTGCGACTGCTGCGCAGCTCCAGCGCCAAACTGGTTTACGCCTTGCTGAGCAGCTTGCCCCTGTGGGAACTGCGGTTGTACCTGTTTCTGCTCGGTTTTCTCCTTTCGAGACTCTTCTTTCCGTTCCTCTTGCTGTTCAGCCAGAGCATGTTTCGTCTTCCTACTTTTCGTCGCGCTGTGCTCGAAAAACGATGCTCCTGCGAGAACATCGTCACTCGTCCCATTTTCCCACGCATTCCCCACTGCAATGTCCTGCTCGGCTTCACTCCGCTCCATCTGCACAAAGGCCGAGTGGTGGAAAAACAAACTGGGAATCGAGCTCTCGTACGGTTTCTTCATGCCGGCAGGAATGTGCGTCACCCGGACTGACCGAATCGTCTCGCCCGTGCGCTCCTGTTTATTTGGTTCTACTTGCTGAAGATCTTCTTCGTCTGCAGATGTTTCCAGAGTTGTCGTTCTTTCGTCCATAGATGCAGAAGATGATTGCCCGGCGGTTCGGCTTTTTTTATCCTGTTTCAACATCCTGTCAGCATCTTTCATCTGCAGAAACTTTTCCCCCGCCTCATCCTGCAAGTCCAAAGTGACAACGTTCCTTGTGGTTGTTCCGGAAGCAGAAGAGAATGAACTCCTAGCCCCGTCACAATCTTCTGAAGAGGCGGGTTTTCTTCCAGTTTCATCTTCTTGCGCCAGCGCCTTAATATCCTCAGTGGTCAAGGACGACAGAGAAGTCGCGCTTTGCAAATGGTGAATCTCGTCACCAACGATTGTCGCTTTTTCGACTTCCAGTACGGCAACATCTTCCGCGCCCGCAGTTTCGGCTCCGTTCCGCCCTCTCTGCAGCAGGTTCGTGCCCCTTCTCGGCTTCTTCTGCAGAAGACCACTGGGAGAAGTGCTGCGAGTGCGTCCAGCAGAAAGGGCGTGAGCAACGACAACCAGAGGGATTATGCTTGTCGTTCCTACTTGCAGTGCAAGTAGGGAAGTTGTAGCACTCCTAACGACCACCATTTTTTAAACGAAGATGCTGTTCAGGTAGTTCGACGGAACCGTTGGGCTTCGGTCTTGCGCAAGTTTTTTCGAAGACAACAGCCGCGGTGAACAATTCCGTTGCGTACTATATGCTTCTCCAGTCGTTCGCAAATTGAAAAAGGCAAAACAAACGGCGATCTTTCTACTTACTTAAGTAACTTCGCGGTCTGGTTCGCACGCCCGGGTAAAAACTACTGAATAAATTATGAGTGGCTAATACACTAGCAGCAAATACCACTGTGTAGCTTGTTCATGAGCCTTTGCGATAGTGCACAACTTGTCGATTACGCTTCAATTGAAAACTCAAATTTTCAGCGTCTGTCAGTCCTGTCATTTTTTTGCGTATGAGAATTTTTGAGGACTAGCGGCAGGGCACGAAAGCGAAGTACCCGTCTACCGTTATAATTTCCGTTTGGATTTGTTAGGTGCATTTGCTTCCACAGGAAGGACGGGACAACTTGCAGAACGAAGTTTGCAGAACGATTTCGTGGACGACAAAGAGTTTGAGACCGCTTTTCAAGCGTGGCACGATAATGAAAACACAATAGGACGACTCCTGCACGATTCAGATTCAGTGTTGAATGAAAAGCAAAAAGACGATCTTCGTAGTTTTGTTGGGATCATTCATCCGCACAGCACACGCAAGGTTTAGGCGTTTACTTTTTGAACGAAACGAATATTTGAATTTCCACGCCAGCTTTCTCGGTTTTCGAGTACGAACACCATGAAATGATTAGGACGGGAGCCACACTTCCAGAGAACACCCCTGCTTCGTAGTGCGGCTGAAAGCTGCGCGGGAGCGGCTCGTGCGAAACATAAGATCTCTTCGGCGAAAACTAAAATGGATGCATGTTTAATTTGATGTCTGAGCCCATACAATTGCGGGAAGGTAGTACTTACTAGTTACTGCTACTGTTACTTTCTATGGGTAGTACAACGTATGTGATGCAAGTATGAACAAAATTTCTAATCCTAATGCGGATAATCTAGTAATTCTTTTTTCCTCTTATGTCTGTCTCCACCGGCTTTATTTGCCCGCTTCCCGGCGGCGCGGGTTTGTTGCTTTCGCGTCATTTCCTTATTCAGATTTGCTAAAACCACCGGGCCAATCGGCAGCGCCATATCGTCGACTGTTAACACTTTGCCCCTGCTGATTATCTTCGACTGTCTGACATTTACGTCCAGATCGGGAAAGTTTTCCGAAATGTGCCCAAAGTTCGTGTACTTCGCGAGCTTGTGAAGCACGGCGTGGAAAACGTTGTGGTTTAGCAACTCTAATTCGTTTGGTAACAGCAACCCGTTCTTCTCTGATAACTCCAACTGCTTGTACAAGTCCTGCGTTAACGCCTGGCAGACAAACGCGTGGAGCCAGATGTTGGACTGGGAGGGAAATTTCTCAAACACGCACTTGATCAAGGTCGTCCTCGCAGCAGTCAGCACGGCGCTCAGACTGCGGTCCAGCATGTTGAGAGCTTCGCCGACGGGCAGGGCTTTTTTCTTTTTCTTCTTCGCACCAGCTGTGTCCTCCTTCTCATCTTCTGACCTCACCGGCATGTTGTGTCGGCCCTCGAAGGTTGCTGGTGAAGTTGCGCTTCTGCTGTCGCGAAGACTTCTTTCATGTTCTATCTGATGTTGAGGCTCTTCTATCGCAAGCAGGTCCGCACTACTAGTACTTTCGCTTACCGCCGCGACGTCGCCTTCGCGGTCTTCTTCTTCTACTACAGGTCGCGAGAGTAGCCTCTCTGCAGCTCCGTCCTGTGCTACTGGTACTGATGGTGCTGGCACCATATTACTATAATCTTCTTCTGCTTCTCCCGTAGTGACCGTAATGCCTAAGTCTGTAAGAACTCGCGCAACGGCCTGAACTTGCCTCTCCATGTCGGAAAAATCTCCTTCTTCTAGATCTTCTTGGTCTACCTCGGAAGTGACGGGAGACCCAGAATCATCTCCGGAGAAGACCTGGATTGCTTCCACAGCAGGGTTATGCACTGCAAAGATGTCGTGTGCTGGGTCTGGAACGATGCAAACGAACCTGTGCTGACGGTGCGCATTTCTTGACGCGGTCGCGCAAAGCTTGCTCGTGCATCAACAGCAAAAGTTGCCGACTTCTTGTCACCAACCGAGGGCACTTTTTCTCATGCGGCGTAGGCATTTAGACACCTTCTCAAAATCTGTACAATAGTAGAGCTTGTACGCGACACCTTCTGAGTCAGTAACACTACGACAAACCAGCATGACCAACATTTCTGCACTCTTTCAGACCCAGCCATCATCAACCTTCTACTTGCATTCGATAAAAGTAATCGCTAGTGTCTTTACTATCCCCTTCGGCCTTCTTCTTTTTTTTCTTCTTCCCCAGCGACAGGGACAGCCCGCTGGCCGGCCCGGAATTCCTGCTGGACCGGAGGCCGCTCTTCCGCACGCTGGCCTGGCGGCTGGCCCGACCGCCTCCTGCGACGGATTTCCTTTTCTTGCCTTTCACCGGAATACCCACATCGTCGCTCCCCGCAGAGTTCATCATGCTCTGACGGATGGCTTCCAGCGCCACGGACTTGCGCATCAGGTATGCATTGCAAACACGTGGTCGGACGACGTTTATCTGGAAGATGATTTTTGCCACAGTTCGTATAAATCTTTTTAGCGGTCGCTTATGGGGCGACGACAAAACATTATCATGCCTAGCGGTCGCTCGTGGTCAGTATATTCTTCCATTCATCTTCATCACATGATATCTTTTTACAAATTCAAATTCTAGCATGACAACTTTCCAGACTATCCGAAGCCGTCGCTTTGCAATTATGGATACACCGCCGCCCCCACCGACGGACTGTCGGATGCCCTTGTCCATCAAGGCACCGGCCTCCTCTTCCCCACCCGCCAAGATTGGCTGCAGACTCGCCCGCGTGTTTTCCAGCAGGAGACAGTACAACAGCAACGTCTTCGAGGCCGACTCCACGTCGGTCGATTTGGTCCCCATCGTGCGACAGCACCTGGTTTGCAGGGCCCAGGGCAGGTCGGAATCGCGGCCAAACAACCGGGACAGCAGCTTGCAGAATCCCACCTCCAGCGCGAACAGCTGCTGCGTGTCCTGGTCCTCGGTCCAGATGTCCACGGGCATTTTCGGGAAGAATTTTTTGATCATCAGGTTCTCGGACTTGTTCAGTGACTTGTCCGCGCGTAACACCCCTTGCATCGCTTCGTGCGTAAACTCCAGCGCCTCCCCGATCTCGGCCGCCGGCCAGATGGCCATGCTGCCCCGCTCGAGCTTCGCGCGCTCCAGCGCGCTCATCATGGCGTAGTAGAAAATGTGGATCACCATCTCGTAGTCCTTTCCGAACCCCCCGTGCAGCCAGGCGGCCGCGTCCTCGTTCCGCTGCGAGAAAGACTCCGACGCACTCGGGAGGATAAAATTGGCCAGGCCCGTTTTCTTTTCCCACTGGAAATTGAGCTCTTTCCGCTCCGCCACGTGGCGAAACGTCTTGAAATAGTACCCGTCCCCGTGGTACTCGTGGTGCAGGTGCTTCAGCCTTGCCTCGACCCCCTGGTGGCCGTCCCCATGACCAGTCTCCTTCTCGCTGTCACTGTCCTTGCCCCTCTTCTTTTTAACCGTGTTCTTCATCGCATTCCGGTCCGCGATCTTTTCGTCCTCCTCCGCCAGCATGTCCGCGATTCGCGGGACCAACGCCAGCAAATGCTCGGGGTTCAAGTTCGAAAACAGCCAGTGGCCCTTCATCTCCGCGAGCCGCTCGAACAAAATCCCCTCGGCTAAGGTTGCGCACTTCAGCATTTTCGTTTGACTGGGCTGAATCCCGGCGGGGTAGATGTCCAGGAAATTATAAATGTAGGGAAACGCCACGCCGTTGATACACAGGGTTAACAACGCCACCCCGCTCGTGTGGAACCCGATCCGGAGCCGGAACCCCAAGTCCAGCGGCGTCTCCGAATGGTCGAAAGCGACGAGCAATGCCATCGCCAAGCCCACCGCCCCGCGAAGCCCGCCGATCACGCCGATGAGACCCTCCTTCCAGTTCATGCCAAACCCGAACAAGCTGAGGAGCGGCATCAGGGAGAAGATTGCGGACCCGCGGGCGACGTGACAATACGCGTAGAGGGTGAGGTATGGAAGTGTCAGAATCGAAATTGGCACAGTCGAAAAATTTGTGATGCGATAATCGATGGATGTCAGTTGGAGCCTCAGTCTCGAAGTGGCGCATGACAAATTTCGGGAGCGCCCAAATCTAGCCTGTCATGCTGTTTGGGCAAAGATGACTGCTCCTGTCATGCTACTCCGGCAGCACATTGTATACCCCTAAACAGGCGCACAATCGGTCTTATTTGCCTGCTCCCCAGTGCAGGCCTTCAGTGCCCTACATTTTATGCGTCACAAATTTTTCGACTTTGTCAATTTCGATCCTGACACATCCATATGAGGAGCATGATCCAGTCGTTTCCCGTCATCAGGCTGTAGAACAAGTAGCGGCACATCACCACCCCGGCGAGGTAGAACAGCACGTCGTTCGCCACGCCGGCGACGAAGGACACCACTTCGTGGTGCGCGTGGGCTAAGTGGCTTCCCCCGTTCAGCAGGATCATGTTTTGCCCGAACGCGGACACGTAGAACGCGAAGATCACGACCGCTAAGACACCCGACCAGGGCATGAAGGGTTTCGGCAGCCAGGTTTGTTCCGCGACGAGAAACAGGCCGAAAACGCAGAAGAAAGTCAAAAACAAAAAGTTTTTCGACGACATGTGGTGCGTGTACTTCAACCCGAGATGCATGACCAGCATCCCGATGCCCGCAAACAGCGTCCCCCCGCCGGCGAGGCGCACGAAGTCCACCACGGTGTCGGAAAAACTGAAGTCCGACGCGTCGTCGCGGGCTAAATCCCAAAAGACGTTGAAGAAAACCACGCCCGTCGCGTCGTTCAGCAACGCCTCGCCCGCGACGAGTAGGGTCAACCGCGCGGGCGCACCGAGCGCCTTCAAGGCCGCAATCACCGCCACCGGGTCCGTCGCGGACAGAATCGCCCCGAGGAGGAACGCGTGGAACCACGGCCAGCTGTGTTCCTGAAACACGGCCGGGTCGACGATCACCTCCGCAGGAGCTCCGTCCCGGTCCAGACACTGGATCGTTTCCGGCACGCCGTCCGGAGTAGTGCGGTGGTGCACGAACCCGGTGCCGTCCTGCGCGGCGGACTCGTCGGTGCAAAACAAAATGTGCTGGATGTGGAATTCGGCTAACCCCGGTAACCTCAAGGTCGACCGGATCAGAATGCCCATCAACGAGAACGAGATCATGACCCCCGGAATCGCCAGCAGAATGGCATTGATGAACAGCGGGCGCAACACCCGCCAGTCCGCGCTGGACCCGTCTTCGTACAACAGCGGTGGGAGCAGGACCCAAAAGATTAAGTGCGGGTCCGCGTGGTCCACGTCCTCGATCAGCCGGCCCAAATAGCTGTCGTGGCCCGCGAGATGTGCTAGCGTGTTGGTCAAGAACCCCATCGCGACCAGGAGTAAGGACCCGGGGAGGATGTCGCGGAGGAGTGGACTCAAGTAGGACACGCCAATAGAGACGACGAACGCGCCCATGAGGAACAGCAAAGGGTACCGGATCGGGACGATGTGTTCGTCCCCGTGGTGTACCTTGCAGACGAAGAGAAACACGCCCGTGTTACTTCGATCGTCCCGGGAATCGCCGGACGTTTTCCAGATCAGCCGTTTCGTGCCCGTCGCCTGTCTTTCGTAGTAGCACCCCTCGCGATCCGGCCCGACGGACGTGCCGGTGGAGTTCGCCGACGCGCCCGACTGAATGGCGATGTTTCCCGTCTGCATGTCGCCAATGCCGAACAAATACTCCCCGGCCGCCTTGCAGTCGTGCGTGTTCGTGATCTCCTCGTCCTGGGTATCAAAAGCAAAAATCCCCCCTCCCCATATCGAAAAGGTATGTTTCCAAAAATTTGCGTTGCTGATTTGGGGTCGCAAATCACATTTGTATATGCAAGAAGACAAGGGCAGAAGCTTCCGCCCCACTATGGAAGCGATTTGTCATGCTCTTGGGCCTAAAGGGGAGCTGCTTGCCATGCTGAACAACTAGACGCATACGCCCCTACCTAGCCTGGGGATCTGACCGTAATGCTTTCCTGCAATACAAACCTGATTTGTGTACTCAAATCCAGCATCAGAAATTTCGTTTTGATGTGGGGAGGGGGGATTTTTCCTTTTGATACTGCGTGCACTCCTTGTAGGTGGCGAAATACGCAACATGGTGGCTATCGTGGTCGTCCTCTTCGCCATGTTGCGCATCACCGTCTGCGTGCTCCTCTCCATGTCCTTGTGTGCCGTCGGCGCCATCGGCTCCGTGGGCGCCCGCATCGGTAGGATTTGAGGACAACATGATCATGCTGTTCATCATTGGAGGTGGTGCTTGCAGAATATCATGCGTGATCTCTGCCATCTCAAAAGGCTTCGGCACGGCACTTGCCTCCGCAGACGGTGCTTTTTGATCCTGTAGTTCTTCGTGCTGAGGCTGACCAAGGCTTTCTTGTTCATTCCCACTTGTCTGAATTATACTCGTCGTGCTGGCCGCCGTCCAAGTTGCAGGAGCTTGATGTTCTTCCTCTGAAGTAGACGCGGCCGGCTGTGTAGTCGGGGCATTGAAGACGATGGTGCGCGGTTTCTTGTCGTCTCCTTTTGATATAATTCTTGTAGCAGCTGCTTTATTTTTTCCCGTAGAAGTAGTAGCCATCTTGTCCTCCTGTTGGAGCTGCAAAGCTTGCTTTTTCTGTTCTTCTCTCCGCAGGTCAATCAGGGACTGAAATCTTTCTGCGGAAACGTATTTAACCTCGTCGTAAAACAGGCTGGGCATAGAGGAGCCTTTTTTCAATTTCGTTTTCTCCGAACGAATCCGGACCATGCGCTCGTCCGGGTCTTTTTTGCGTGTCAGAAACGTTCTACTCGCGGAATCTATCTTTTCGGAGATTTTCTCGAAGAAGGATACCGCGGCTCCTGCTGACCCGGTTAATGTTGGGGGGGTTCCTGCGGCTGCTCCACCTGCCATAGAAGTTTCAACATCATTGAAGGCAGAAGCTGTTTCTTTTGACGAAGTAGAAGAAGACTTGGAAGTTGTACTACTGCTCCTTCTTCCAGGATGATCTACGTCGCTAGACGGAGAAGTACTGTCGCCCTCTCCTGTGTTGAAGAGTTCGTTTGTCTCTTCACCATCTGCATCGACGTCGTGTTCTTCTGTTGATAGTATTCTTCGAGCAGGAGGACGAGGACCTGCTACACGTCTACTACTTCTACTACCTGTTAGGGATATTTTTCTACCTGCTTCATCACGTGCCTTGTCCCCTCTGCTTTTTGTGCTCCGCGAGGAGGACGCGGTCCTACGCTTCGATAAAATCTGTAACAATTGTTCCTTCTGCTTGCTACTTCTCGCTTTATCATCGCCGCCTAAGGCGGGATCAAGAGCTACGGATGATGAATCATCGAACGCTACAGGCTCTGTTCTTTCAGTACTTCTTCTAGAGGAACTTGTCGTCTGGTCGTCGAGTGCTGACTGTTGAGTATGCACCTCCACCTCTTCTGCGTCAGATCTTCGCTCTTCGGCTCCTTCGGTAACGAGGTTAGTAGCGATTATTCTCCTCTTCTTTCTCCTGATTTCCTTTGATGTGGTTGTCGTTCTTCTCGACCTGGAAGCGGTGGAGATGGTGTAGCCACGGACGCCGCCGACACCTTCCGGAGGTACTAACAGGCTGTCAAACAGTAGTACTCCTGCCCCTGCGATGAGACCACGTATCTTATTCGTATTCCACTTGCTGCAGGACGACAACCTATTACGACTTCCTATAAGCCATGGCGCCTTGTTTCTCGCCGGTGGGGGTGGCGCATGTTGGCCTCTATTTCTTGTTCTGAATTTTCCACCGGCCATTGCGGTTTCGACCGCAACATGTAGTGGCCTCGGCTTTTCTTCGCCGTAGTTGTTCCTGAAAACCATTCGCATCCTTTCCTGCGTCGACGCTCGTGACGCTCTGGATCTTGATCAAGCGGCTTTGCTTCAGAAACTACGCAGGCTCCTTCTTGCTTTCAAAGAAACTTGGTGCAGCAAGAGGAGCGCCGTCCTCACGACCCACCGTGATGACCTTTTGGTCGGGCTCGAGGACTTGGGGTATGTTGCTAGGTATATGTTGTGGTTCTGTGTACGACCTCGAACATCAACAGAAAACTATCGTAAAGTTAAACCGCTCGAGCTCATGTTAGGGTCAGAGGATCATGGTCATGGAGTGGCTTTTTGACTAGGGCGGCGTGCCAGTAAAAACGTTATGCAGCAGGGGGGAATTCGTTTTTCTTTTCTCGTTGGGATGAACAATAAAAGGGAAACGATGCACAGGTCGTAGTTGTAGATAATTTTTGGGGAAATGAACCTAGGTGGGGAAATTTCTAGCTGTCAGATCATTGTAACACGACTTGCACTTGAGAACAAACCACGATGTGCCCAGCGACGAACAAAAACTCTTTATGCAAACGCAAACTCGTATGTGAGAGGAAGATAATGACGACGACCGTGACGCAATCGCAATCTGTTTCATTCTCAAAGCACGAAAGGACGAAGACGATGTGAACAACATCACTTACGCATGATATTTTTGTGTGGTGAACGGCAATACACCTGTACGAAACCGAAAACAATTGAAAACCGAAAGTATCGAGCAACGATGAAAGTCGGTCACCCTAATAACTACGCACGGATGAGCTGCAGGCCGAATATGCAGGACCGACGAGGCGGACGAAAAAAGTTCAACTTTGTCACTGACTCATGGTGGTGTTCAAGTCGACTGCACGAAAAATAAGATGATTTCATTCATCTGGATCTGACGCCGTGCAATTGAACACCGCATTAAGATCGCGTGAGGTGCTTGAACCGCGATCCCCAATACGCAACAAGCTGAACTAACAGAGAGCGTAAATCATGGTAGTACCAAGTAGAAAATGCGAAGACAGAAATTGTTTATACTCAGCGACTCCGGGGAGACTCGCTTTCTTAGGTATGATTTTGTTTTCTTGCTTGTTTTTAATTTATGCTATATGGAAAACCGTTCTCAAACTCTTGAATATTGTTATTGTTTCAAACATCGGGTATGGAAAAATTAGGAAACTTCTCTTGCTAGTAGTCTGCGCTGAGCATTTCTTGTTTCCTTCTTTTCCTATCGACGCCCGCTCTCTGGGCCCGCTTCCCCACGTCGCGGGTTTGCTTTTTCCGGGCGATTTCGCGATTTAGGTTGGCGAGCACCACGGGGCCTATGGGAAGCTGTAGATCGTCTACGGATAAAACTCTATTTCTACTTATCAACAGCGACTGTCTCGCCGTCATATCTAGATCGGGGAAGTTTTTGGTTATGGTCGCGTACCTACTATACTTTGCGAGCTTGTGCAGAACCGCATGGAAAACGTTGTGGTTCAACAGCTCTAATTCGTTTGGTAACAACAACCCGTTCTTCTCCGATAGTTCCAACTGTCTGTATAAATCCTGCGTCAAACCCTGGCACACAAACGCGTGGAGCCAGATGTTGGACTGCGAGGGAAACTTCTCAAACACGCATTTGATCAACGTGGTCCGTGCGGCCGTCAGCACGGCGCTCAGACTGCGGTCCAGCATGTTGAGAGCTTCGCCCAAGGGGAGAGGCTTCTTTTTCTTCCTGCCCCCTTCGTATTCGTCTGGATCCCCTCCTCCGCGATCGGGCATGTGGTGGCGGCCCTCGATATTCATTCTACGGGTAGAAGACGAAGAGAATTTTGAAGCTTCCTCCGACGTTGATGACCTTTCTGAAGTAGAAGGTCGCGCAGCTGCTATTTTTACATCGAGCGAATGGTCCTCGTGGTCCGACGTAGTAGATGCTGCTGCTGGCGCTCTTTGACGTAGTGCTCGTACTTCTTTCCGATGGTCGTGTCGTCCATCGCCATCCTCATCGTCCTCATGTCTCTGTGGTGCCACTATATGATCTCTTCTACTACTACCTGTATTAAGAACAGAAGTCCTCATCTGTGGCATGATCTCGACGGAACTGGAACTGGATACGCCCATGCTTAGCCTACGGTCCACCTCTACAACGTCCAAACCTGATTCTGTCTGCACAATCCCGAAGTCCGCTCTTATGCGGCTCACCGGGGGCGGCCGTGGTGGTGCAATTTTTCCCGAACTGTTGTTCCTAATACCGTGTGTAGTTGATGTTGGCGTTCTAGCAACCCGCCTTGAAGTAGAATTGGAATTCATTTCGACACCACGTTCCGGCCCCGATGAGTCTTCTTCTGTCGTTGCCCCGAGCAGTATCGGAATGGATTCCTCCACCAGTAGACCATCATGTGACAAGTTTTCTTCTAGATCTCGTTCTCGTAAATCGTCTGAATTCCTAGCCTCTCCTTCGCCGGCGTGGGGGTACGCATTCTTGGCATGACTACTATGTTGGTTTTTATGCGCCAAGTGTGCAAATTTGTCCTTCGCCCTCTTCACCATATCGTCTTCGCCTCGCCCAAGCATCATGGCTGCAATGGTCTGCTTCTCTAGTGACTGCTTGTTCTCCTGTTCTCCCTCAAATCCCCGCCGCGAAGATTTGTCTCTCTTCTTCTTCTATGAAATGCAAAAACGTTTGGGTCTGGAAGATTCTGAGCCTTGTCATGCACGTTTTGCACCTTGAAATCCCCTGTCATGCACGTTTTGCATGGGCCATGATGTCTGTAATGCATGCCGTAGCATCACAGACTTTTCGAGGGCTTCGCGATGCCTATTCCGCATGACAAATGCCCTCTCCGCGTAGCCAAAACTGCATTCCCTTTGCACCTGCTGGTCATGCAATACAGATTTTTTTGGAATCCAAATGCAGCATCACAAATTCGGACTCTTCCAGACCCAGACATTTTTGCATTTGATACCTTCTTCCGACTGCTGTCCATGCTTGCCGTGCTGTCCAGGCCGTCACTTTGCGCCCGCTTGACGCCCCGCGCCGAGGGCCCGCCGGCCACGGATTTCCGCCCGCCCCCGCCTCCGGCGCGCTTTGACTTTCTGGTGTCGTGGTCCGGCTCCAGAGAAGCCGCACTCATGCTCGCGCGGATGGCCTCCAACGCGACCGACTTTCGTCCAAGAGCAGCTCCGCCGATGCTGACCCTGGCCGCCCCGCCGCCCGCGGCCTCGTCTTCGTCCCCCCCGGCTAGGATGGGCTGGAGACTCGCCCGCGTGTTTTCCAGCAGCAGGCAGTACAGCAGCAAAGTTTTCGACGCGGACTCCACATCCGTCGACAGGTTCCCGACGGTCCGACAGCACTCCGTGCGCACCACCCAGGGCAGGTCGATGTCGCGGCCGAACAAGCGGGCCAGGAGCTTGCAGAACCCCACCTCCAAGGCGAACAGTTGCTGCGTGTCCTGGTCCTCCGTCCAGATTTCGTCCGGCATTTTCGGGAAGAACTTCTTGATCATCAAGTTGTCCGCCTTGGTCAGACACTTGTCTGCCCGTAAAACCCCCTGCATGGCCTCGTGCGTGAACTCCAGCGCCTCGCCGATCTCCGCCGCGGGCCAGATGGCCATGTCCTGTCGCTCCATCTTGCACCGCTCCAGCGCGCTCATCATGGCGTAGTAGTAGATGTGGATCACCATCTCGAAGTCCTTCCCGAAGCCCCCGTGCAGCCAGGCGGCCGCGTCCTCGTTCCGTTGCGAGAAGGACTCGGAGGCCGCCGGGATGAGAAAGTTGGTCAGCCCCTTCTTCGTTTCCCAGGTGAACTTCGCCTCGTGCCGGTCCGCGACCTGCCGAAACGTCTTGAAGTAATACGCGTCCCCGTGGTACTCGTGATGTAAATGGTGTAACCGGTCCGCGACCGTTTTGTTGCCGTGGGAGGCGTGGTTGTCCCCCTTGCTGTCTTTGTGCTGGCCATGATGATGATGATGACCTTTATCGTGGTTATGACCTCCGGCGGCGTGCTTTTCCTCCTCCTCCGCGAGCATGTCCGCAATTCTGGGGACTAGAGCGAGAATGTGTTCCGCGTTCAAGTTGCAGAACAGCCAGTGATTTCGCATCTCCGCCAGCCGCTCGTACAGAATGCCCTCCGCCAGCGTCGCGCACTTCAGCATCTTCGTCTGCGAGGCCTGGATGGTCGGCGGGTAGATGTTCAGCGCGTTGTAAACGTAGGGAAAAATCACCCCGTTGATCGCCAACGTCAAAGCCGCGATCCCGCTCGCGTGGAACCCGATGCGCAACCGGAACCCGAGATCGAGCGGCGGGTCGCTCGCATCGGACACGATCAGCAACGCCATCGCCAACCCGACCGCACCGCGCAAGCCGCCCAGCACGCCGATGATGCCTTCCTTCCAGTTCATGCCGAAGCCGAACATGTTCAGCAAAGGGATCAGGGAGAAGATCGCCGTCCCCCTGGCTATGTGGCAGTACGCGTAGAGCACGAACAGGAAGCCAAAGTCGGCGCCCCCCATCCCCGAGTAGAACAGAAAACGCCCGATCACCATCCCAGCCAGGAAAAAGATGATGTCGTTCGCGAGCCCGGCGACGAAGCTGACCACCTCGTGGTGCGCGTGGGCCAGGTGGGCGCCGCCGTTCAGTAAAATCATCTTCTCGCCGACCGCGCACACGTAAAACGCGAAAACCACAACCGCGATCACGCCGGACCATGGGTGAACCGGTCTGAACCACTCCTGTTCCGCAACGAGGAATAATCCAAAGACGCACGCGAAGGTGAGAAAGAGGAAATTCTTGGAGCTCATGTGGTGCGTGAACTTGAGCGCGCCATGCATCAATCCCGCCCCCACAAAAGCCCACACAAAGCCGCCGCCGGCGAGCCGAAAGAAGGAGGCGATCGCGCCTAGAAAGGAAAATTCCGCATTGTCCTTGGCGTTGGCCCAGAAGACCGAGAAAAAGACCACGCCCGTCGCGTCGTTCAGCAGCGCCTCCCCCGCGATCAACAAGGTCAGCCGCGCGGGCGCACCGAGCGCCTTCAGGGCCGCAATCACCGCCACCGGGTCCGTCGCGGACAGAATCGCGCCCAGCAACATCGAGGTCGACCACGGCCAGGACCCCTCCAACCCGAACACTTCCGGCTTCGCGATCCACTTGCTCGGCCCGCCAGACCGGTCCACGCAGTCGATCAGGCCCTTCGTGCCGTCCTCCGTGGTGTAGGCGTAGGAGAACGCAGCCTCGGGGGTGAGCTCCCCCCTGTTGTCGCCCTCCGTGTACTCGCAGGCCGAAGATGCGGAGCACGTGCACTGTACGATGTGCTGTTGATGTAAATCCGATAAGCTCGGCATCCGGAGCGTGTAGCGGATGAGGACGCCCATCAGGGAAAACGAGATGATGACGCCCGGCACGGCGAGAATCAACGCGTTCACCACCAGCGGCCGCAGCACCCGCCAGTCCGCGCCGGACCCGTCCTCGTACAGCAGCGGGGGGAGCAGGACCCAAAAGATGATGTGCGGGTCCACGTGCTGGATGTCGTCCGCAATGCGGCCGAAGTACGACTTAGACCCGCACTGGGACGCGATCAGGTCGGTCAAAATCCCGAACAGCACCAGCCAGAGCGACATCGGGAAGAAATCGTGGGTGGCCCTGCCGATGTAGGACACCAGGACGGACACGAACAGGGTCAGCATCACGAAGATCATGGGGTAGCGGAGCTGCACGATGTGCGAGTCCGGGAAATCCGGCGGCGGGTGGTACACCTTGCAGACGAACAGAAACGTCCCCGTGTTGCTGCGCTTGTCCTTGGTGTCGCCCCCCGTTTTCCAGATCAACCGCTTCGTCCCCGACTGCTGTCGCTCGTAGTAGCAGCCCGGCCGGTTGGGGCCCACCTGGATGCCGTCCACCTGGATCGCGATGTTGCCCTGCTCCATTTTGTTCGCAGGTATGCCGAACAGGAACTCCCCCGCCTCACTGCACTCCTCCCCCGTATCCAGCTCCTCGTCGATGGTGCAATCCTTGTGGGTGGCGAGGTAGTTCACGGCGTGTGCGTGTTCGTCGCCGTGCTCGTCGCTTTCGCCGTGTTCGTCGTCTGCCGGGCTCGAGGAGGAGGACATCAGCAGTCGGTGGCCCACTGGCGCAGCCACGTCCGCGCTGGGGTACCGGGAGTCGGATATTTTCGTCTCCACGGTTTTGTTGGAGAGTTCAACCACTTCTACACTCTCCAGTTCCTTCACAATACTGGCGTCGCTCCGGCTATCTTGTAGTTCCTCTTCGGCGGAAGTCGATGTTGGAAGAGATCCTGATGTACTACTAGTATCACCTTGTTCTGTAGTAGTTGCAGCAGCTGGTCGTGTAGTCGGCTCTTGTTGTATTTGTATTTCCTTCTCCGCCTGCTCTGCAGGGTCTTCATCTGCTCGCATCGACGTTGCTGCATTTACTATTTTTCCCGTCTTCTTTGCCCTCCTCTTTGCTTCCAACCTCTCTCGATTCGCCTTCTGCATTCTGAGCAAGGAGCGAAATTTTCCGTGCTCGATAAATTTGGTTTCGTCGTGAAAGATACTGGGAATCACGGTTCTTCGCAACGTGGACCGCTCCGACAGGATTCGCACCGAACGCTCGTCCGGGTCCCGTTTCCTCGTCATTTTGGTGGCGAATGACGAGGCAGTATCACTGATATTCTCCAGGAAGGAGGAAAGAACTGTTGGGAAGTAAGCGGCGAGAAAGGACGAATTTGCATTCTGATTCTCCTCCTCGTCGTCGTCGACCGCCATAATGTCAGGCTCCGACTCCAGTTGTTCGCTTTGGTCTACAACTTCACTTGGAGTTGCTGTCACGTTCGCCGGACCTGCTACAAGAGGCTCACCGTAACGGAGATGAAACAACATCTCTGAGAAGTAGGTGCCAGCAGCGGCTGTAGTGTTCTTTTGTTCGCCGCCGAACGAGGACTCTAGCTGGTTGTCCTTGTCCTTGTCCTCTACTTGTTGTTCTGTTGGTTCTTGCAGCACAGAAACGCGGTCGTGGTCAACGTGATCGTTGTATTTAGGAACCTCCAGGTCGTTACTCCCAGCACTCCCACTGCCGCCGATGTCCTCTTGGTCGCGCTTGGTCCTCGCAGAGGTGGTTGTACTACTACTGCTTCTTTCATCATCAGAAGATGTTGTAGTAGGCCTACTACCAGCCGTCGTGCTATCAGCTTCCTCTCCAAGCACAACTCCATGTTGTAGTAGTTCTCGTCCAGAAGTGGACCACCGTCGTAGTACTACAGTACTACTTTTACTACCTCGCCCTCTCGCGTGCGTGCCGGCCAGGCCACTTTGACGGACCTCTTGTCTTCTACTCTTCTTTCGTATAGACGAGGTGGAGATGGTCTCTAAAAACTTCTGCTTGTTGGACAACGAGGTGGAGGAACCACTGCTGATGGAGGTCGTGGGGCTTATTCTAGTTGTACCTCTTGTTTGCTGTTGTAACGCGACTGTTCTACCACCGCCGTCATAGTTGTTTTCGGTGTGGTCTAGACCACGGCGCTCCTGCTGTTGCATGGTACTGCTTGGCCGGCGATGAAGATCTTCTGTAGTTGTACTATCTGTTCGTACTGCGACGTCGGGGGTCCTTGTCGCAGGACGAGAGGTGACAGCAGGGTTCGACGTTACCTTCTCCTTCGCTTCTGCCACTGCTTCTACATCTCCTCTCTTCTCGTGTCGTCCTGCAATTATAGCATTGCCCTGCTCCGCTTGATGCAGTTCTTCGCCGCCGGAGCTTGTCGAACCAAGCTCGCTGCTGGAACTAGGCGGACGAGCATTCGGCTGAAATAAATTTCCTTTCGAACCTGCTTCTGGCGTTGCAAGAAGTACTGGAACGTCATTTTCATCAGCAGGTCGCCCCTCTACAACTTCGGCGCTTTCTTCCTCAGAGCTACGGTTTATTCGCGCACTAGTCGGGGTAGAAGTACTACCAGATGATGCCGACGTCCTAGTCCTTGTCCTTTCTAGTCTGTCTCTGTCCTGCTTCGATTTTCTTCTTGTGGACAAGCGCGCGTTCTTCGAGCCTACAGTGTAGCTGCGAACGAGGCCGACAAACGGAAATAATGATCGAAGGTCCTCGTTACCTTGATCTTGCGCAATTCGTTGCACGACCACCGCGGCGACCGCGAGCGCGGCTCGAGGCCGCATCCGCATTTTTCTCGGTCTCGGATCAAAATAAACCCGCGACATGATAAGTGCGAGTCTTTTGATGTTCTCCGATTATTGGCGATGCTTGTTCACGTCGTTGGGCTTGAAACTGAGGTTCTTGAAGAAAAGCTCCCGCTGGGTAGGCTGGGAGCTTCATTTTCATTGTCGTGGAATGTGGTCTTCGCAATTGTCGAAATGTTGTTGACGCATTCGTTTCGAAGTGGCGCCATGCTGTTGTTTATTTTTGATTTCGGGGTTATGATATATCTGGGGGGGGTGTTGAATATGGGGCTAGTAATTTTTCGAAGCTTCGGATGAAAACGAGAAGTTCTTCGGGGTAAAGACTTATCGTGTGTGATTTCTTTTCGGGGAAATTGCTAATTTTCGTAGGCGTTCCCTTTCAATTTTCTTTTTCACACCCATACGTGACCGACTGTAAACTACTTACTTCAACTATACGCGATGACTTCTCCTGATTCTTGCGCAACCTGAACCTTCTACAACAGCAGCGGCTGACGTTCCTGCTCACGCAGTAACGTAGCACGGTTGAGGCTGACAAGTAGATGGAAATAGAATCACGCGTAGCAGGAGTAGAAGTTCATCTCATGGTAAGTGGGGAAGTGTTCGACTAGCATTTCATATGGGGCTTAAGTTCATCCAAAACGGTTGATCGGGGAGTGCAATTCATAATTTCTCAGGGGGGGATTTAGGCATAACACCTGAGCAGAAAGGCAAGGAAAAAGAAACAGTGTTGACTTCAATTTATGTGCCGGCTAACACGAAGGTCTTGCGAAAAACGAGAAGAGCGAACGGTTGCAAAGCAGGAAATTCACCACGTTGGTCTATTTGCACGAAAACGAGGTACCGAGCGAAGGAGGTACCGAGCGAACGCAGAGACGGACGGAGAGCAGAAATGGACTTGTATTGGACGAACGGAACCGAACGGAAGATCAAGAGAGAAACCGAGTGGGACATACGTAAACGATAGCTAAATGATGAACGAGATAAACGAGTCGCAAGCGTGCACGTGATAGATGAAATACAGTTCAAAGTAGCTGGACACGGAAAACACACACGACCCGAAAAATGGTCTAAATTATCGCTGCCTTTTTCAACGAACTGCAGTCGCGTTGTATGTTTCACTATAATGATGAAAACGTTTAAATTTAAATTTTCGGATTGAGTCGCTATGCCTGGTTGTCGTCGTGTGGAAGTCATGTCACGGTCTCGTGGTCACTTCGTCACTTATCGGGCGCTAAAATACTAAGGAGTGCGACGTAGTCTATCCTCTAAGTGGAGTTTTTCAACATTTTCTCCAAGGCCGGCAGTAGCAGATTCTCCTGGTGCCAACTATTCAACAGCGCAATGGCCGCGTGGTGCGACATCAAGGGCATGCGAAGGTTCTTCACGGTCTTCACTATCCTACCACTTCTGCTGGAAGTTGTACTTGCAGGATCCTGTTCGTGGTCTTCTGACTCATGTAAAACAACTTCCGTGTCGAAATAAACACTTCCAGCTCCTGGAGCAGAAGTCACAGCAAACGTTGGAAATGTCACCTCCCTTTGTATCGTCTGCAAGACGATCACGACCTTGTCGACGGAAGCGAATACCGCGGAAGTAGCGGGATCATCCACTTCAGAAGATGCCGCTCTTGCTTTTCCGCCTCCACCTCCTCCTGCTAATAAGACCGAAGGGTCCAGCGTCAATATCTCCGAAGATACTTGGTTGTGTTCACCATCGTGTGTAGTTTCCTCTCGGGTGGTGAGTTTGCTAGACGTTACGCTGGTTTTGTGCTGGTCTCCCAGTTGTAGTTGCAGCACCAGAGTAGTTTTCATCATGTAATTCGCGGAGGAATTCTTGGAGCCTGCGCTGCTTTTATCGCCTATTACTTTCCTCTCATCTCGCCCCTTGCTTGCCCTCTCCAGAAACTCTTTCTCCTCCACCACTTCGACTATTTCGTCATCCACCTCCAGTTCGATTGCTTTGTTTTCCCACTTGCCCCGCATCGCAATCCAGTTGTTCTCGAACGGGGCTGCGAAGCGCGTCCGCAAACTCTGCAGGGCCTCCCCTCGACTCCGGAAAAAGGCGTACAGCATCAGGAACAAATTCCCCTCCGTGGGGGCCGCGCGGTGCTGCCGGTTCATGTTGGTCACGATTTTCGGGTAGATGGCGAGGAGGTGCCGTGATGACGTGTTGTTGACCGCTTTGTAGTTATTTCCCGCCTGTTCTTCACTAGTAGTTGCAACTCGATTTCTCGAGAACTGTTCCGGCAGCAGAAACGAGACCGCGTTTGCCTTTTCATTCATCCCGTGGGAGCGCCACAGGTGCGAGACACATATGGCGTTCTCAAATGTTACATTCTCAACTGTTACACGAATTTGTAATGCAAGAAGGGCAATAGTGAAAGGAGGAGAGGAAGATTGCGCCTTTTGCATTACAGATTTGGGAAGGATTATAGTGCTATTTAGCCCTCCGCAGATTTGTCATGCGGAGCAGCTTGATCGTGAGGATGATAGTGGTGCTTTTGCATGACAAATCCATGTAACAGTTGAGAATGTAACAGTTGAGAACGCCATAACACAAGCGCGGTGGATGTAATACACCGCGTCCTCTTGCGTCTTCAGGTCCATCCAACCTAGAACAAAGGAGAGGGAAGGAGGAGCACTGGTGCCCGACGACGAGTCATCAACATCTTCTGGTGTGCCACTTTGCTGCTTCGCTCCTTTGCCTTTACGACCGTGTAGTTGGCGAGACGGTTTTTTACCAGTACCGTCTTTATTGCCCCTACTGGCAACAAATGATGAGGTTGCTCCACCTCCTGCGTTGTAGCCCAACAAAAGCTGGTCCCAGGTGGAGGTCGTGGAGGCAGAGGAGCTCTTACTACTCGAGCGTACACCAGCACTCCCTCCACTTACAAGTTGTAGTCCCGCTGTGCTGCTGTTCCACACGTGCATATTGCGAATGCCGTTCGCCAGCTTTCCGTAGGCATTGTAAGCGAGGAGAATGTCGACGATTTTGGACGTGAATTCCGCCTGGGTGCCTAGCCGCGCGATCACCCAGGGAATCTTGTGCTCCTGCAGCACAGCCTTGCACTCTTTTTTCTCGCTACTCGTGATGTCCCGCACGGCGCCCAGGAAAACCAGGCAGTGGTCGAAATTTCGGATAGCTGAGGAATTGTTCACGGACGAGGGAGAAGATTTGAACTTCCTTGCCTTATCCTTCCCCTTTGATCCGTGTGTGTCCTCGTTCTTGTACACGCGCGTTTGTTGTTCTTCCACCTGCTGTAGCGCACGGAGAACCAGATTTTCGTCCGCCAGGGCCATGGTCGAAAGCGACGGAAGGTTACAACTATTCTCGTCGAGAAAAAGGGAACAGAAGCTACTGGTACTCGAGGTTGCTCTACTGCTCGCGGAGGTGGTGGAATCAATCAAGTTTCTCAACGCAGTGGTTAAGCCCGCGTTAGTAGTTGAGGATGGCGGCGAAGGAGTAGTTTGCTTTGCACCATCTTCACTGCTTTTCTTGTTTCGCGTCGAATTGGAAAAATTCGTAGTTTGCGCACCAACAACTCGTCCTACCTTCGCTAAATACTCGATCAACTTTTTCTCGCAGGGTATCGGCACGCTCCTGACCAGATCTTTCGGTTGAAACGTCAAAAAGCTTCCGTCCTCGAAGACGAAAACAATGTCCGCGACGTTCAGATTCGGCACGCCGTAGCTCAGATACGCTGCGGAGGTCGCGATGCGGGCCAGTGCGTCTCGTCGTCCCACGTGCGGAGCAGCCGCCCGCCACTCCCACCCCTCGCCCGGGGCGGGAAGGATGAGCGAGAGCTTCATGAACTTCGGTCTCTTCTTCGTCATGTAGCTGGTAACCTCATGAACTTCGGTGTCTTCTTCGACACGACGACCGGCGTGGAGGTCCTTCTGCTTTTTATTGTCGGCTGCTACAACCATGCTAGCGTACGACACAGGCGCTTTCGAAGATGATGATGAGCCCTTGTTGCCTTTCGCTTTATTCCCCGGATTCACTTTTCCAATCTGTTCCTCCTCTGACTGAAACACCGCAAAGAACTCACGGTGCTTTTGCAGGCGCTCTTCCAACGCGTAATTGGAGTTTCGCTGCGAGGAAGTTGAAGACTGTGGCTGGTTGCTTTTCCTGCCACCAGACCCTTGTTTTCCACCTACTGCATTTTTCCCCGTCGAGGTGGAAAGCGAACCGAATTGGCTGGCGCTGTTCTCGTCCAAAGTCGTGCTCAACACTCGCTGGCCTCCCGCCACGATCGCTCCGCCGAGCCTCCGCCGAAGGTCGGCTTCTTTCGCCGATATCGGAGTAGTTCTAGTGCCCGCGGAGGAGCTCCTGCCAGGAAGAGGTTGATAATGCTCAACCGAGCGTAGTACTTCGGGGGCCGGCGCTCGACCACCTTCAAGTAGGCCGAAATTCGTTTGCACAAACTTCTCCAAAAGTTTCAAATGCTGTGCCAACGAGTCAAACAACCGCGCTAGGTCGTCTTTTGTCGTAAAGAACTCAGTTTTACTGTTGCTGCCGGTCGCCAAGTTCTCGATTTCGTCTTCCAAGGGTTTCAGCGCGTAAATATTGACTAAATTTGTGATGTCAGCTGCTTTTTCCCTCAATTCAGTCACCTCTTCCTTCAACACCGCCGCCTGCACGAAGTCCTCCGAATTCACAGCGGATTGCAGCTGCTTCTTTCTATCCTGTAACTCCTGTTCTGGAATGGAGGCGAGGGCGGGAAGTGTTTGGAAAACAAGACGGAAGCAAGTTTCGATTTCTTCGGGCGAGTTGTGCGCGTTCTCGTCGTGCCAGCTGGAAGAAATGTTGGCACTGCTTTGTGCGACTTCTGTGCCATCGCTGTAGCTGGCTGAAGAAAATGCGGCGTAGGAAAAATTCTTTCCAGACTGTCTTCCCTTGTTGGTCTCAGTATGTCTCACATTGTCGGCAGAGACATTTTCCTGGTTTGCCTTTGATGACGCCTCTCCTTTATAAGTCGCATGCGCACGACCCTGCATTCGATGACCAGCAGCTCCTGCATCGTAATTGAAGCTTTGCGTCGGGTCCACAAACGTGCTCTTGCTGTGAGAGTGAGCGTCATAGTCTTGATGCTTGTTGAATCCACTGTAAAATTTCGCAGCGTGCTGGCCCTTGCCCTTCCGTGATGTCCCCTGCTCTGTGCTGTACTGATGCCCGGCTGTATCTTGTTCGTAATCGTCGTGCCACCACTCGTTCATCTTACCACTTCCGTTTTTGTATTTGCCGTGCTGTTTTTGGCCCTGGCTCTGCTCCCATCCAGATGTAGTGTGGTACTTGCTCATCGAACCGCTACCTCCACCTTTGTTCTTCGCGCCCGCTCCGCCGTGACTACTTTTGGACAAGAATTTTCCCTCTTTTCCGTTCCAGTTCGCTTTTGATTGTTCCTTTGGACCAGGACGCCCCGTCCACGAATTTTTCCCCCCGACATCTTCCTGAGCAGTGGTCGCGTCGCCGTGCGACGTCGCGCCGTTCTTCTGGTTTTTCCCGGTGCCCCTACTTTTGCTGGTATTTCCCTGCCTGTAGTTCATCTTTCCGTTATTTTTGTCCTTGCCGCGTCCCAAAAACAGCGCCCTTTCTTCTCGCAGCAAGCCGAGCCACTGTGTGATTTCCCTCGAGAGGTCGGCATTCAGAAGAACCTTCTTCTGCAACAGAAACTGCTCTCTTCTTGTGCTATCAAGATGCACTACATCTGGCGTAGTCGTCGTTTTTGTGATAGTGGCATCACGACTCTCAGCAGGGGCACTGGCGTTACTATTTCCCCTCGCTGCTTTCGTCCGGCATGCCTCCACCACCAAGACAGTTACCTGCGTCGCCAAGGCAAACACTGCATGAAGATTCTGACCCCACTTTCTCCCGGCTTTTCGCCGCAGAACACGAAAAATTTGGTACAGTGCGACATCGTAGATGGATTTTGGAGTGGACGTGGAGGGCCGGTCTTCACCAGAAGGCGCTGCGAGAAGACCGGATGGCGCGAGGACAGGAGCAGTCGGCTTCGCGTCAATCACTTCAGATACAATTTGTGCTGCCCTCGTCTCAACGACGCTACTCGGCGGTATCAGGAACTCCAATGTGGTTGGAAGTACAACTACATCTTCACCGTCTTCCTGTAGACTCGTAATTGTACTTCCTGCTCCGCAGTCCTTGATCTGCTGAAACAGCACTTGCAACAGATCCGAGACCTCTTGCCTTTCTTCCTGTTTCCGCTTCTCCCCGCGCTCTTTCCTACTTAGATTGTTGCTTACGATCGGATTCCCATCAGCATCGAACAGTGGCTTTTTCTTTTTCTTCTTTCGCCGGCGTTTATTTTTCAATGCAGCAGGATCCTCCTCGATAATTGGTGTTCCGACTGCGATTTTTCCGGTGTGAGAAGTTGTACTACCGCCTGGTGCAGCTGCGTCACCAACATGATCTCGTGCACCTCTCGTCCCAGCACGACCACCCTGCTGTTCCTCTGTCTTCAATCTACTTTTCTGCTCCGCTATTTGCTTCCTCCTAGCCGCCAGAAGCGCGGCGCGCCGTTTTATTCTGCGGCGCCGCTCCAGGCTGCTCCTGCTGTCAGAGGAGGAGGAACTGCTGCTGCTATCACTCCCAGAGGAAGACGAACTCGAACCGGAGGAAGAGCTACTACTTCCGCTGCTGGAGGAGCTAGAGCTACTGCTGCCACTAGAAGAGGACGATGACGAACTTGATCCAGAAGAGGAGGAGGAGGAACCGCTTGAGGAACTCGAAGAACTACTGCTGCTGCGCTTTCTCCTAGTCGCCACTGCTTTGGCCTTCCCCTTGGCAGCTTTCACAACTGCAACTTTTGTAGCTGAAGTTTTAGCCGCTGCGTCAACTTCTATTTTTGCGGTTGGTTCCTGTCTCTTTGTCTTTGCTGTTACAAGAGGTCCACCTTCTTGCTGCTTGTCTTGCTGCGTTCTCTTGCTGCCCTCGCCATTTACTACTTCCAGCCCAGCAGCTGGTGGAAAGGTTGCCGATGGCGAGGATCCTGACTTCTTTTCGCCTTCGCCCGGCGCTACGAGGACGTTGTCATCTGTAGTAAGCTGATTAATATCATCGTCGCCCGCACGATGTTGTTCGCCAGTCTTCTGAGAAGTAGAAGCCGCTTGAACATGCTCATCCTTACTTGTTTTCTCTTTCTTTTTCGCCACCACGTGCGATAAATACCGTGGCTGCAGCCGTTCGGCGAAGAAAAGCATCTTACAGATCGTATCAATTGCAAAAATGTCTGGGTCTGGAAAAGTTCATGTTTGTCATGCTTGTCTGGCATGACTCTTAAATCTGTCATGCACGTCACTCAAGAGCTCCATTTTTCTGTGATGCAGAAACGCAGTTTGTCATGCAGAATCAATAGGCAACACCTAGAAGCTCAGAAACTTGTCATGCTGAGCCAGCATTTGTGGCCTCATCATGAGACGCCATCCAGCATCACAAGTTTCCAGACCCAGACATTTTTGCATTTGATAGATCGCGCGCACTTGCTTATCAAACAAACTCGTCTTCTTTCTTGTTCCCTGCTGCTCGTGGAGGCTCTCCCCGTTTTCTTCACCAGCTTCATCCAAGCCGTCCTTCCCTTTATTCATCATCGTCCCATGTCTTCTCGTCCTGTTGTTTCGGTGGTTATTGTTGTGCTTGTTGTGGTGATGATGATCTAGGAGCTTTACAAGGTGCCTCCTCTTGCGATGCAACAGATGCGCCGCGGACGAGGTAGTCGATGTGCTGGTGGGCTGCTGGGCGTGGTGATCTGGATCTCCTTCCACGCGAGTGCGACGAGGAGGAGGACCCGTAATCATACTAGCGGATGCATACTGCACCTCGTTTCCATCTACGTTGTTCGAAACCACGACAGCGTCTGGATCATCAGCGTCTGGATCAACTTCAACTCCTTCCACTACTCTTACCTCTTGTGCAGAAGGGATGTTTTCCCCACTTCTGCCGGCTGGTGGTGCACGACTGTCGTGAAAGATCAGAAACGCCACGATCTTTCGAAGCAACACTTCCGAAACGACAAAATCAACTTTCTCCTCGATCTCCAATAGCGTGCGGTACTGCAGCGGGATCTTCCGCCCCCGCAACTGCTGCTTTCTCATCCACAGCAGCCGCTGCTTCAGGCGCCAGTAAATCAGCTGCTGGAGCAGTTCGATTTCGTCTGCAACTGGGATTTGAAAATTGAAATTTTTTGCACGAAGATGCTGGTGGCGTGTACCTACAGCTTCTGCCCGATCTTCATGCTGCGCATTTATTATTTCATTCCGATCGCTCTCCTTCTTCTTGCGGGGCTGTTCATCATCTTTGACAGCTTCTTCTATTTTGCCGGCGCCAGCTTTGCATTTCTCGTCGTCGTCTCTGTCCGCAGATGGATGACTGTCATCCTCTTGCGGCGCTTTTTGCGGCTTATTGTCCACCGCACCAGGAGAGGACACAGCATCATTATTGACGTCCTCTACTTCTTCCGCGTGGCCTCGCTTGCCAGGACGAAACTCGAAAGACTCTGTGCTTTCGTTTGCTGGAACAAAGCGCACAACATCGGTTGTTTCGCTCGAGTTGTGGTGGTCGTGGTCACCAGGTCTACTGCTAGTAGTCGGTGGTGCAGGTGGTCCACCAGCGCGGGGCTGGGCCAAGGATTCGTGTTCTTCTTCTACCGCGTCGTCTGCAGGCTTCGTCTGCTCGCGGCTGTTAGAAATCTTCGCACTGGACGTTGATGATGTGTTTTCCACAATTAGAAAATCCTCCATTGTCTTCAATTCAATATGAATATCCTACATTTGGACCACGCGCGTGCTGATCGATTCCTATAATTATATGGGAGTAAGTGTAAGTAGTTTCTTCTTTTGTGACCGCTAAACACGAGAGGCATAAAATTGTGGCTGCAAGAGCAAAACTGCCACGCATAATCACTAAAACTCTGCAAAAACGAAACTGTATAAAACTTCTACAAATCTCCAAAAATGCGGAGATGCCGGAAGTAGAAAAAAGGAACTCATCAACATGGACAGGCACACAAAAACATCAACAGCTGAAGTTTCAGATCATAATGGACCCTCGTCGGTGAGCCGCAGCCGCGTGTTCGAAGATTTTCACTTCCATCCAAGGACACTAGTACGTACCTCCAAGGCAAAAATAAAAAGCATGTGGAAAAGAATCTTCCTTGAGATCTTGATCTGAAAAAAAGTGTTGATCGCATTTTTCGCAATGCTTGATCATCACCTTCAGCGCATCAATTGCTTTCGGGGTCGATCCAGTACAACAACTTCAGAACTATTGTACGTGCGGCAAGAAAGAACAAACACAAAAGAACAAACACAAAAGAAGCGTCTTGGTTGTTCTTTTTCCTCTTTTCTCACGGGCCTGCTCACACACTTAGCGCTGAGGAAACTGACTAAAACTAACTTTGGCGTGAGGCTGCGCTTTTTGCTCTGTGGGCTGTCTAACTACTTCTTGCTCTTTTGGCTCTACGAAACTAACTTCTCTACGGGCACCTCTACGCTGCTACTTTAAAACCCTACTTGCGGCTCTGCGATAAAACTTTAACTAAAACTAAACTAGTCGCAGTGCATGTGCACATGATGTTCTGTTCATAAGAACTTAAACTAAACTAAACTAAACTAAACTAAACTAGTACACACCAGAACTTAAACTAGTCGCAGTGCACATGATGTTCTGTTCATGGATGCTGCCATCGTGGCGAGAATCGCAGCTCTTCATCTCTAAGTGTAGTTACTTTCATTGTCAAGGTATGACTCTAATTCGCTTTTGATTTTTCGCTCTCGCAAATTGCAACTTCACAAAATGACACAGCAACCTCCACCAGAGGGCGGTGGCGGTCGCGTCGGACTTGCGGCCCCCCCGCCCCCTCCTGCCACGACGGCGGCGTTCATAGGTTGTTGCACTATGGCCGCACCAGGACCTCCCCCGCCAACCTGGACCGGCTGGAACAGCTGCACGTTCTTCATCATGCTCGGCCCCACCTGGGAAACCGTGCTGCCAAACCCGTTCACCGAGGCGAGACAGCCCTGCAGGACGCTGGGCTGCGTGGCGACGTTGCCGTGACACCCGACCCCGATGGTGTTGAAGACCCAGGACCCCCGAACCGGGCCGCGGAAGATCCGGGCGAAAATCAGGCAGTTGGCCAGGACCGTCTGCTTCTGCAGGCAAAACCGGCAAAATTCATGCTTGTTTTTCGCCGCGCAGAGCCGTACATACGCGTCGGACACGTGCTGGAAGGAGTGCCGGGAACTGTACACGTTGACCACGACGTACATCTGCGCGACAACGGGCGGCAGCCGGTCGACATCCAGATCGATCTTCTCGTCGTCGCCCTTCCCGGCGCCGGTCACGTTGTCCCCGTTGTGCCGGACCGCGCCCTGGAGGAAGGACAAATTTGCGTAGTTGACCACGTCGATCAGGTTGTTTTGGGCGTCGAAAAGCAGCACGGACGCGTCCAAATCCACGCCCCCGCGGACGCCCGGCGTCTCCCACCCGAGGCCGATGAAAAGGTCCGAACCGTCCTGGAAGAGGTGCGGGGGGATCTCGAGGAAGTCACCCTTGCGCATGTCAAACTTCTTGTCCATCGACATAATCATATTCGACGATGCGGGGTCCAGAATACCCGAGATATTCAACGCCCGACGCACGTCCGGCAGCGATTCCTCGAAGTTTCTGCCTTGACAAGCTCGGCACAAATTTCGAAACTTCCAGGCGTGATTATCCTCGATCCCCGGTGGCTTGTACAGAAACCCGAGCACCATACCGGTGAAGTCTCCCTTACGCATCGTAACCGGGCACACGGCCAACGGGGGCTCCGGTTTTCCCGCCTCCAAGATGGTGACCTTCGCGTTGGCGACGCTGCTCAAATTTCCGCCCTTGAAAGCGTTCAGGACGAAGACCATGATAGACACCCCCGGATGGACGAGGTCGATGTCGATCTGGATGGTTTCGTCGTAACTGTCGCCCGCTCCAGTCTTGTTGTCGCCCGAGTGCATGATAGCCCCCGCCATGCAGATTGGCTGGTTGAAGTAGCAGGCGTCCAAAACCTGGCCGCCAGCGTCGCAGCACACGACGGAGCAATCCAGATCCACCGGAGATGTCCTGACAGGAGTTCCCTCGACGATGTCCCAGCCCCAGGACAGCGCCACGGTCAAGTCATGGCCGTTCGGACTCAGATACACATTCACGTCCGTCCCACCCACCTCCGCTGGCATCGTTGGAACATTGTTGCCTTGGAAGGCGCCGCCCTCCATCTGGAGGCTGACCTCATCAGGGTTCGCGATCTCGCCCGTTGGGTACATGGTGAAATTCTTGTTGCGGCCGGAGCCGACAGGTCTGGCTCACACGAAATCCGACTCGTGCTCTGTCACGCGATCGATGAGGTATCTATGAAAAGCTCCAAAACACTATTGTAAGTGCGGGAAGAGAGAACAAACACAAAAGAAGCAACAGTAAAAAGAACAAGCGCTCCCTCTTTCTTAGTCGGCCGTGGCGTGGCGTCAAAGGTCGTTCAAGGCCCTGCTTGAGCTCTTCCGGATCATCCCTCGTGGTCTTTCGCTCTCTTTTTGCTCATGGATCAGTATGTAGTAGTAGTAATTCCCAACAGGGGGATCGAGACAAGTCCGCTCTCGATCCCACTAACTCTTTCGCACTAGAACTGCTTTCATCAATTTTTTCATCGGTGCTTTCCTCGTGTCCTTCTTGGTCTCCTTCGCTTTTGGCTTGCAGGCAGCTTCATGCGCCACCATGCGGCTGATTTTGATCGATTCGGCGTGGTTGTGAAGTCGCTCGGTCTTCTGGTCGTGGTTGAAAAGGATCTTGTACGTTTTGCACTTCCTACAGCGTAGGTACTCGCAGCCAGCCCGGTCCTTGTGAAGTGCGTCGCGCGGGATTATGTTCTTCCAGCCCTTTGCATCAGAGCCAAAGTAGTATCGCCCGGTCCACTGGTTCCACAGATGCTGCTCCGGTCTGTACTCGCCTACTGCTTCGCCATTGTTGTTCTTTTTGCGCCCAATTCGTATATAGCTATTGTCTCTATGATTTTGAGCATGCTTCTCCATGGCTCCGGCTGTCGAGCTGTACATTAACTCGCATTTTTTGCAGAATATCTTTTTTACGTTGGCCCGTGGGCCCCGCGCCATTTTGTCGCGCAGTATGTCGGAGTTTCTCTCGATAATTTCACGCCTCAACTCCGCGTCTTGTTCTGCATTAAACTGCGCTGACTTCCTGCAGATCTCTTGCTTTAAGGGAATGCTCGTGGGGGTGCGTTTGGGGTGATGCCCTTGCAAGTGGTCCCGAAGCTCCGGCGTCATGCCTTCTCTCGTTGTGCCCCAGCTCGTCATGCCTGTCACAATCTCTCCGCTCCATAAGCACTCTCCGCCCGCGGCCAAACTCTGCACGACTTCCGGCATTCCCATCGGGGGGCTGTACTCTATGTCCGCTGGCTGTGCGTCCGGATTTTCTTCAAGGACTCGCTTCACCATCTCCGCACGCGTCTCGGTTTCGCCTGGTGTTCCAAAGTATCTGACAGCGAGCTCCTCTTCGTACTCAGCCCGCTGCTGCTCGTCTCCACACGCCCAATCCTGTGCCGTTTCTCTTATGAGTGCCCACCGCGTCATCGAGTGAAAGAGTTTTTTGTTCACTGCATAAAGCGTTGTCCCCCCTGCAAGTCCTTCTGGTCGCCGCTGTTCTGTCTTCTTCCTATTCTCCGTCAACAGTTGGACCAGCTCCACCGGCATGTTGCAGCTGGTGGCGAGGTGGCTCAGCGACTCACCCAGGTACGATCCTATTCGCCGAAGCTTTGCGTCTACCTCCTTGAGGTCCTTCACCGTTCGGTAGATCTCTGCCCTTGAGCTGATGAACCGCTCTCGCTGGTCCCCTCCTGGGCCGGTTCGGTTGTGGAGGATCGGAAGGAACTGCCCGACAAGTGCCCTCCTCGTGATGTCGTCGCTATCACTTCGCAGAACGTGTCCCAGAAATCTCATTTGCAGGTATTTCAAATGGGCCGCCAGGGGTGGAACTTTTAGCGTCCTCCGCAGTTCCGACGCGCTTTTCTTTTGTAAAATTCGCTCCCACCATGGCAGGTCCTGAATGCGCTGCATCATGATCAGCTCTTCCCGTTCCAGTGCCCGAATTTCCTCGGGTCCGACGTATCGCGCCGCCAAGCCATAGAGAAAGATGCTGCGAATCATAATGACGATCAAGGACCCGCGTCGCTCGTTGTGGAGGTTGGACACCCCACTCATTTTGCCGCGCAGTTTGTTGTATGCTGTCCAAGCCTTTCGCCTTTTTTGTCGAACGTCTTCCACCGGATCCGTCCACGCGCCTAGATTACGCACCGCGATCTTGGTGATGTCGTTGCTGTATCTCTTCGTCTCGTTTTCGCTGCAACCCGCCGCGTGTAGGGCCTTGGTTAGGAGCTTCATCGCGTCGGATTCTTCTGGAGCAAGGTCTTCCGCCACTAGTGCTGCATTGAGCCGCACGAATTCCGTCAGCTCTTCGGTAGTCATGTGCTCCAGTAGGGTGGTGTCGTCCGCGAACAAGAGGTCCCGAATATGATCAATCTCCGTGGTCTCGTCTTCGTCTTCTGGGGGGCTTCCGGCGAAAATTTCGTGCAGCTTATCTACGCGCGGCATGTGCCAAGTCGATTCCCGCGAGTAAAGCCGGACCCCCTTGAGCTCTTCAGCCCCGTTTCCCTGCAGAAGTTTGCGATAATATCGGAGGACCGCCGTATAGCTTATCAGAAACACCAGCGGCGACGACACACAGCCCTCCTTTGTTCCATGCGTAAGGGTGAAGCTGTCCCCTGGTATGCCGGTCTCTTGGTCATGAAACTGGTGGACCGCATGCCTGTGCGAACTGTTTATGATTTGCCAGCATGTGCTTTCTTCGATTCCCAGGCAAGTCATGACGCCCGTCACCAGTCTCCAGTTTAACGAAGGGAAGGCTTTCCGGAGGTCGACTAAGGTACTCAGTACCTTAGACGACCTATGGTGGGAGTAGTGGCCCAAGTCCTCGCGGATCCTATTGAAAACCATGATCGACTCCAATGTGCCCCGCGCGCTCCGGAAGCCGTACTGTGTTGGACAGAAATACCCTTTGGACTCCAGTAAACTATACAGCCGGTCGCTGTACAACTTCGTGCAGAATTTCAACAAGAGCGGACTGATAACCAAATAGCGATAATTGTCCGGGTCTTTCGGGTCTCCCTTCTTGTACAAGGGCACGTCCTTGCAGAGGTGTAGATCCGCGCGTAGCTCCGATAGCTTCCGATTTTTTAGTTCCTTGTTCAGGACCTGCGTCAGCAATGTGGCGGAACTGTCATCCAGAAACTTAAAGATTCCTGCCTGCAGCCCGAAGACGTCCCGCGCCTTTCCGCCCCTCCGTAACGCCCTGGCCACCTGCTCGAACTCGTCCTGCTTTATTTCCTCGTCCAGTGATGCAATTTCCTCCGGCGTGAGTTTGGGCACAAGCTCGGGAAGGTGTTCCGCTATCGGTAGCTGCTCCAGATCTGCATGCATAGGACTGTTGCCCACCTCGTGATACTTGTCCATCGCTTGTTTCGGGGTTATTGCGCAGACCCGGTCGACCTTCGCCAGGTCGAACTCTCTGAAAACTCGCCACATTTCATTGCGCTTCTTTCCATCTTCCAGAAATTTCTCCACGTCACTGCCCGGCAGCTGCTTCTTCACTTTACCGACAAAATGGGGCATGTGCGACTTCAAAAAATCTTGGACATCTTCAAGCGTAAACTGCTCCGCCCCTCCTCTCGCCGCCACCCTTTTTGCTAAGTCGTGGTTGAAATATGCGACCTGGTCTTCTCCTGGGTCTTCCAAAATTCCAAACGTGGCCAAGCGTCGCAGTTCCCCTTCTTCTACTAATCTCCCCTTCGTCTTGACGTCTACGTCCATCTCAATCGCCTTATGGTCAAATCGTCGCGGAGACCACGTTTTCCCTTCTTTCGTTATCCCATTGACGTCGAAGCGCCGATACTGCCGCACCTTTTGCAGCTGGGGGCCTGGCACGGCAAAGAAATCCACCTCATTTCCTGCGTCATGGGTCCCATGCTGGCCCTGGTTTTCGTAGGTTCCGGGGAGTGCCATGTTCAGGGCAAGCAGGTTCGCGCCCAGCTTCCTGCCGCTCGGGGACGACAACGCCGGCCCCTTCCCTCCGTGTATTGGGGTTTCGCCGAATATGGTTGCGCCCACTTGGCTGTTCCAGTCGCCGCCTACAATCTTCGTTTTCCACTTGTGCTGCTTCATTTTTTGCGCTTCCCGCACCGCGCCCGCCACTTCAGCGTTAAACGCCTCGCGCTCTTCCAGTGGTGCGCCCGCTGTTGGCGAGTAAACCGAAACGTAGATCTCTTCATCCAAAAACAGGGAAAGAACACGCGGACGGGAGCGCACCGCGTCGGAGGTCTGCCGCCATAGTTTTCCTTTTTCGATTTGGTGGCGTAAATCATGATCCAGCACCAAGATGCCCACACCATTTGCATACAGCAGATGGAATTTGTTATGCGTAATCCACTGGAAGCCGTGTTTGCCGAAGTGCATCGCACCCACCGCCCGTTCCTCTTCTTCGTTCTCTTCCATGACCTCAAGCGCTTCGAGTGCGTGCGCCTCCGCTTCGTGGTTCTGTCCGTTGTCGTCTGGTAACTCCATGTCAACGTCCGCGCCAGCCTCGCCAGGGTTCACGCCTCCGCGCGCCGCGGCTTGGAACTTCAAGACCTCAATCTCTTCCCTCAAGTCCTTCCGGCTGTACTCGAATTCGTTTAGTAACACTACTCCCCAGCCGTTTACCCCCGCAGCCCTTAGTATATGCTGAAATCGCGGCGACTCTTGCCCGCTGCTACGCATGTTCACGGAGGCGACGCGCCGTCTCCGGTGGCCGGGGAAAGCTTCACGGCCCTTGTCCTGCGCCCGATCTGGAAAAAGGTCATGGCTCTGGTGGTCTTGGTTCTGCTCCGGCTGCTGGCGTTCTGGACCATTGCCATCATGCCCGTCTCTATCCTCTTCGCGCGCCGCCTTGGCCTTCTCCTGTTGGTCCTTGTTCACCTCGTCTAGGGGCCTACTGATGAAGCCGCCCAGAACTGTTCCTGCTATTAGCTCAGCGCGATCCTTCTCTTCCTGTTCGTCCGCGAGCTTTCTGGTCTTCGTGCTGTTTGAAGGTTTTGGCGCAGGTGGCGTGCTCCTATGGGCGCGGTATACTGGTAAAGCTACGCTCCTGCTTTTCTTCTTTTTCTTGTTTTTGTGCTGGGGGTTAGCGCCGTGGAGATTCCCTACCGCAGCCGCCACGGCCCCTCTTAGTTTTCCTTCAGTGGTAGGCCGCTCCTCCTTTTTCTTCGTCCGGTTGCACTGCCTCAAAGAGGCTTCCGCGTCGTGCTTTGCTGGCTTGCTATGTTCTTGCGCCACTGGGTGGCTACCTGGTACAAGGGATGCTGCTGCAGCTTGTTCGTGCGCGCCCTGTGTACGCTGTCCCGAAACCTCCACCGGCTGGCGAACTAGAGTTCGCGTCCTCACATGCTTGTGTGAGCCAAACACCAGTACCACGCGTCGCGCCGCCTGGTGACCTGCGTCTATCACCCGGTAAGCTGTGTCCTTTTGCGAAAATACCCAAGCAACCACCCCGCGCGCCGCCCGTCTTAACACCAAGAGCGTGCTCTCCATCTGGACTCTTCCGTTTTCCGCTTGTGCTCTTCGTTCGTTTTGAAGACGGGCTCTTCGCCTTTGAATTTTTTCCAATCGATTCGCGCGCCGCCATGAAGATGCCCTCTGCTGTAGCCGTTTTGTGGACGGTAACCGCGATCCCATCCATGCGCCCCCCCGCGACAATGGCCGCGGCTGTCGTTGGTCTATACGTCTGTAAACAGCCCGAATGCTCCGAAGCACCCTTGATAGCTTTACTTTTCCATCCGCGACACCCTCGCACCGATGCCACTTGTCCGCCATGGTGGGGCGGTGGTGCCGCATCGCATCTGCTGTTCCATCGGCATCTCCATACTGCAGCCAGTCCTGCAGCAACTTATACTCATGGGTAGTCACCACTATCGCGTTGCGCAACAGGGTAAGCATGGGTAGACAGCGCAGGAAGAACTTGAAGAGCCGCGGCATTCTGCACTGGAGCTGCTGTAGGTGACAGTAGTGTCGATACCACTGCGCTGGCACTTTTTGCCGTTGGTGGGGTCGCCGTTCCGGCCAAACATACTCCGCCAAGAGGAGCGGCGAGACGCAGAAGAAGCTCCGCTGCGGCGCCGTCCCTTCTCTACGATCTAGGGCAGGGGCCTCCTTGTCCTTTTCGGTGGTCATGCGGTGCTCGTTGCGAAGCTGCACATTCTCACCCTCCGCTGTATCTGCACATGACGTGAGGCGTGGGTCTTCTAATCCCAATCTCGGCTTCACTACTGCAAAAGGGCCGGGATTGCTGCTTGCGACGTCGGCGCCGGTATGGTGGGAAAAATTTGACCCGAACAAGCTCCCGGATGGTTTACCTTGTTGTGGCGCTGGCAAACCATCCTCTCCTTGTTCTGGTTCGTGTGAATTCAAGATAACAGCCATGCCACCCGCGGAACAAGAGCCTGGTCGCGTTGCGGCGCACTGTGAGTCGAGTTGAGGTCTCCGCCTGCGGTGCACGAGCGACGCCATTACATCATCAAATTCCGCTCGCGTTGTGCGTCGTTGTCGCTCGCCAACCATGGCTGCTGCATCCTCCAGGTCCGCGCTGCTGGTGCTACCGCTGGAGAGGGAGAGACGGCCGTCAGCTCGGGGGGTTAATAGTCTACGGTCGCCTCCCTGTAAGCAGATGCCCGGTTTCCGCTCGCGTTGTGCTTCATGTGCGAAACCGGTTTCGCCACTCCTCCTGGATCTGCTGGCCACGTCGCCGCCAGCCATACCACCCGCGGAACAAGAGCATGAACTCGCTTTAGAGTGGGAGAGACGGCCGTCAGCTCGGGGAGATAATGATACACGGCCGCCCCCCTGCAAGAAGATAGCCGGCCTCCGCTCGTGTTGTGCCTCATCTGCAAGACCATCGCCACAAGTCCTCCATCTGCTGGCCAAGTCTCCGACAGCCAAGCCACCCGCGGAACAAGAGCGCGAGCACGCTGCGACGCATTGCAGGTCAACGCTTAGCCCCCACCTGCTATGATGGTGCATCGGGTTTGATGTCCTACTTCCGCCGATGCTATGAGCCCGATTTGACAAATTCCGACCCGAGCATAAGCTTAAAACGTAAGAAATAGGGCGGCGGGATACGGACACTATTCGGCAGGTTTCGCTAGCGGGACGGCAAATTGGTCGTGGAGATAGGCAAGCCCGACCACCTCCATGCGCGCAAATTGATGAACCCCGCTCGTGCTGTGCTTCATCTAGCAGACCTACAGCACACTTGAACGCTCGCTTCCCCAGGCTGCAGCCCACCGTCTTTCCATCATTTCCCCTGCGGTGTCCGTGAATGTCCGGCCAGCAAGCGTCTGCAGTTTGGCTATCTAGCTCCAGGCGCCACCTTCTCACGTGCTGCCCCCACAAATCCAGAACTTGCGACCCGATAATAATCGGGCTTTTGTGTTGTACATTGGAGTCAAACATGATGCAGAAAGACGGATTATTGTCGGGGCTGCAGTTCTGGGTTTGTCGCCTTCCTCGTAGTGCGTCTCTGCAAACACGCTTGCACTTCGCCACCCGTGGGGATAATAACGCGAGGTCCTGCAAGCAGACATGTGGTTTCCGCTCGTGTTGTACTTCGTCTGCAAGACCAGCGCCGCGCGCTATACTTCGTTTTCCCATGCTGCACTCCTCGGGCATCCGTTTCAACCTTGTAGGCGGCAATGCTGCGTGAACCTGCAGGTTACAGTTTCGGGACGAGACGGGGCAACAACGATAGTCCACCATGACACCATCACCAGGCACGAGAGATGTTTGCTGTAACGCTATGCAGGGGGGAAACAAACATACTAGGGCACCTGCTAGGGCGCTTCCTCTTTTTCCCACCGTAGAGGAAGCCGCCCTGACCCGAATTTTTGGCGAAGGTGGTAATGTGTATTGCGGCTGTGCGGTCATGTCGTGCCCAATTTTCAACACCTTTCTCAGCATCATGGCGCACGTCGCAGATGACAGTCCACGTGAGCACGAGGCCCGCCTTCTAGTGCTATCAAGCGCAGCTTCTCCGCTTGCTGCTCCGCCCAGGACGTTCGGATTATTGGAAAAACGAGACCCGAACTCGCTTTCGCGTGATGTGCATGCGATGCGCAGATCACGACCTCCGCGCTCTGGTCGAATTAGACAAAAGATACCACGTCTTCCCACCATCTGTTCCTGCTTTACCGTGCACCAATTCCCGTCAACAACCACGCCGCAACGCACGCTCCAGATCCAGTTGCACTGCAGAGGACCTTCGTGTCCTGTTGGTGATTTCCAGTGCGCGTTAGTGGCCATCCCCAGTCGACATTTGAACTCGTGGCCCGTTTTCGAGGCGATCTTTCTCGTTCTTCTTCTACCCGTGCCTTCGTTCATCCAGCGATCTAGGCATCGCTTCTCGTCACTGCAGTTATGGGCGGAAGAACGAGACCCGAGCACCCTTTGGTGTGATGTGCTATGTGGCTGCAGATCACATCCCCCGTGCTCTGGTCGAGATAATACACAGATACTGACGCCATCCGCCAGCGCAGCTCGTGGCTCGTCACGCCTCGCTCCATCGTCTTTCCGTGCCGGTTCGCACGCCCATACTCGCACTCGGTGCAAGAGCGCCACTGGGTATCTGGACACTGATATCTTTTGCTGGGAAGGTAAAGACGTCCACGTGCTGAGCGGCTTTGATGTGCAAGTTGGCGCCCGAGGGTACCAGACCGACAACGAGCCTGTTGCCCTGATAGCCTCAATTCCGCGCGCTGGTCGAGTTAAAACACCGAGGCGACGGCTGTCCAAGACTTGTTTTTCATGATTGCCCGCCGTGAACGGTCGCGTCGCTCCTGTTTCTTCCCCGCCGTCGTTCATGAGTACTTCGCCAACACAAACACAGAAGCACTCTCTTCCTCCAGAATCTAAACCGATGCGGCTGAGCGTGGTCGAGGACGTAGTTACGTTTCCCGTGCAAGAAGTTCGGCTCCAAGGAGAGGGAGATCGGGCAACCGACTGAGCTTCAACGCCTGTGTGAATTGTGAGAAGACGACAAGAAAGACACTGATAGCTAGACACAGCTGACTTTTGCACTGAAAACCGATTCTCTCGAAAGTCGAAGCCGGAGATCCAGACCCATGCACCGAGGACCAAGAACAGCGCTAGAACTCCTACGGCACGAAGAGGCGGCACCTCGTGCGCTTGGTTTGCAGTGTTGATCGTTTTGGTTCCTGTTGTGCTTCGGCTCTTTGAAGATGAGATGAGTGCTGTCTACGAATATCGACTCGAACAAAATGAAGTAAATTTGGATAGCAAACCGTTCTTACCGTACATTTTTAAGTACAGAAACATTCAGATTCAGTCGCTGTACCTTTTAATGATCCTATCCCGTCGTCGACGAGTAAAACTGATCGCTGAAAAGGATCGTGATGTCGCTTGATTTCAATACTTATTGGGTACTTATACTTACAAGGGTGTATAGCGCGCGCTCGAGACCAGGAAACAGGTTGTGCCTCTCCTCGGTCATCTGTTTTACTGAGCACAAGTTTTATCTCAGAGCGCTTTTTCCTTCAGACGTGCGCAAGTGAAGGAACGGACAAACTTGCGGTGTCGCTTTTGAGGCCGGCGAGACGAGCTCTCTCTCTCACTTTTTGAAATGTCAGCAGTTCCGTCCTGCCAAAAATCGATGTTATACTGCTTTATCCTACTCTTCGAACCCGATTCATGTCGTAGGGGGCGTACCGGCCGTATCCCCCGCCTTTGCCATACCCGCCGCCCTTGCCGTACCAGCTCGCGTACGACGCATAATCGTCGTAATAACCGGCCCCGGTCGCATTTGTGAAATTGGCGCTCATGCCGGAAGAACCCTTGCCCTTGTAGGCGAGGGCGTCTTCGTACCTGATTGATAGATATATATCATTCGGAATTGCTTTACGAAGAAAACGAAAAAAAAAATCGAAAACAAAAACGTCACTGTCCTCTATGATAATGATACTTTGAAGAGAGTCCAAGCCGAATATTAAAACTAGTTCATGCATTGTTCTTGATAGTTCCGACCAGCATTATGCCATGTATCTATACCTCCAGGTATCCTTCATCGAAGCTTGATTCGAAGCTTGATTCGCGCTGCTAGCTCCTCCAGTCATCTCGTTGTCCCCCTTGTTTCCGCGTGCGCTGTTCGGGTTGCTGGTGCTGTTTTGTCTGCTGGCGGAGTAGCCGCTCGGATCCTGGTTTTGGATGTCCGAGAAGTTGATGGGTTGGTTTCCGGAGGAGGAGGGGTAGTTGTTTGGCCTGTCTCTACTCGTCATCATTCCACCGGCGGATGAGGAACTGTTGTTGTAGTTCTGCTGATTTCGATTGTAATGATCTCGGTCTCGGTCGCCATACGCAGCTCCTGCTGCGCCGCTAGTTGTACTGTGCGGCTGGTGTCCTCCACCCCCGCGATTGTTGTTCATTCCCCCTCGGTTGTTGTGGTTCATCCCGTGCTGGTTGTAGTGGTTGCTAGCGTACGACCCGCCCGTGTGTCCGTTCTTCCCGTTACTACCCGGGGAGATGCGGTTTTCCCAGTTCGCCTGGTCAATCTCCTTCTTGGTCATGCAGTGCATGGGCTTCGAATGCATCCCGGCGAGAAACTGGGCGTGCAGCATCGCGTGCGCGAGCCCGGGGTGTTTGGTCAGCATTGCGCGCGCCTCCTCGGCGTTGTTCTTCACCAGCCGCTGCATGTGGGCCAGCGCTGAAAACACTTCGGAAGTCGCCAGGGTCGATATCAACCCGGACACCTCGGCTTGGTAATTCACCTTGTTCATTTTTTGTCTTTCGGTTTCAACGTGCGGATAATTCGGTCTAATGCAAAAGTGAAGATGCACCAGCTGCAACAATTTTTTGTAAAGAATTTACGAACAAGACCAATTCATGCGAACAGCACCAATAGAAACTCGAAGTGCATACACATACTTTTGTATTTGTTGCAGCATAAATTTTGCATAAATCCTACCTCATGCACGCCGACCATTTGTGACTGCAGTTCCAAGAAGTCCCTCTGCCGCGTGGCGCCGAGCATTTCCAACGTCTTGACATCCACGTCGGCCGTGTCGATTCTTAAGGGCCGCCCATAGCACTCCACGCCGTTCATGGTCCTGGTGCAGAGCTCCGCACTTTCTGGGTCCTTGAATTCGCAAAACCCGTAGCCCTTGTGCGTCTTGGCGTCTTTTTTATGGCGTTCTCAAACGTTACATTCTCAACTGTTACATGATTTGTCATGCAAAATGATCATCAAGATCCACACGATCAAGCTGCTTCGCATAACAAATTTGCGAATGGCTAAACAGCACCCAAATCTGTTCGAAATTTGTAATGCTACAGATGCAACCTCCCCCCTTTCACTTTTCCCATTCTTGCATGACAAATCCATGTAACACTTGAGAATGTAACAGTTGAGAACGCCATATTTTTCTTTCAAAATTTTGAACTGGTGCACCGCCCCGCAGCGCTGGAATACCAAATGTAAAAATGTCTGGGTCTGGAAGAATGCAACTTGTAATGCGTATTTCAGAACACAGAAAAGTCTCTCATGCATAAGTAGCAAAAGCTCCCACTTTTTGCCAGCAAAATAGGGGACTTGTCATGCGGATTCGGCATTGCGGAAGGTTCTCGAAACCTGTGATGCTAGAGCTTCCATGCCAGACCTTCTGTGTCATGCAAAAACAGCATGACTCTTCCAGACTCAGACATTTTTACATTTGATATGGAAAATCTGCGTCAGATTCTCCTCGGTGCACTCGTAACTGATGTTCCCGACAAAGACGCAACATTGTCGCGTGTGCTTTATGTTGTAATTGGTAGTGTTACTGTTGTCCGCGTACAGCGCCATTTTATTTTTGCTCTCGTTTTATTACGCTATTGGAAAGATTAAGATATGTCGTGGAAGGTAGTGTTCTTGGGGTGCTACTAGTAGCGCTGGCGTCGAAGTTCCATCGATGGAAAGTAGAGACTGAAACCTTGTCAGTGAGTGTCGCTCGAGCTTGAGCTTGAGCTAAGAAGAACGAAATGGAGATATAGAAGCGAGCTAGCGACAGGTCGGCCTCGAAAATTTTTTTTGATGGGTACTACCACTACGACTGTCTAGGTGGAAAAAAGAAAGTAGAGCGTACCTACATGCTAAGGGTGAGAGCCGGAAAAGTCTCATCAAAATACAAGGACTAAATCGTCAAAGTGATACAGTAGACGTCGCTGTCTGGACGAGCACAAGATGATCGGTCATGCTGGCAGTAATTGTTTTCGCCTTCTCGCCGAAAATGTGAAAAAAATCATATCTACTGGCCGCGTTCTTGTATCGTGTGGATTACAGGGTGGATCGTTGTCTTGCGCGATCTTGTCATCAATCGATTGCGTGAGCTCATGCAAACAAGTTCACCATTGCTGATCAAGAAAAAAACTCCGCCACGTACGTCACGTTGTTCTTGAGCAGGTGTGAGCTGCACGGACCTTGTCGCAGTTACCGAACATCAATAGAACAAGAAGAAGAACTCCCTTGCAGCGCAGCTTATAATTCTAGCGTCCTTGCAGAAGTGTGTTCAATGCCTAGCGGTAGCGGCGGGAGCAGCTCATTGTTAACTGAACTAACAAGAACAGAAAGAGAGTTCGAAGTTAGGGTTCAAAACAAATTGGGTAGACAGGGTTCAAAACGAATCAATGGTGATGGTCTTAGTAAAACTATAAATGTTGTGTTTAGCAACAAATTCAGAATGAGTCGTCAGGCGAGCCAAAAATTGCTTCTACAATCAACTACCTACAAAATCCCGACGTTGCTTGCCGGCACTGGATTGCACCAAGAGCCAGGCACATCGGGCAACACGCCACGGTGCCTCCATCCGATGTATTCCCACTTGTGGGAGACAGACCGATCAGGGTCCACCGAACGCTATTGCCTCCGCAACTAGAAGGGTTCGAAAGATACAACCCAACAGGAGCCCTACCACCACCTAATGAATATGCTAACTTATTAAGTATCCTCCGCATGTGTTCATATCCCCCTGCATGTTGTGTCAACTGCAGTGTCACCCTCGTTTTTTTTTTCCTTTAAATCCTGGAGAAATCATGTTTATGTGTGAAAAGTGTCTCTCGTAAGTGTGCAATGTGACGAACTATAGCTATGAAGCGATCTGTTCACTGTCTAATAGGGGTAATTACTCACCTTCATGATCAACACAGGAGTTGGTCAAAAGCCCAACACATTTGCTGGCTTAAGCTTTTATGTTTAATATGCTCTTGAGAATGAGAATCATACAATCAAAATTTCATCTATCTTCTTCTCTGTATCTGGACACTTCTCAATCTGAATCTTTTCTTTAAGTTGCTAAAAGCTGTGCATATTTCTCGAAGCAGGCACGATCACGGCTCGTCCACTGTTGAAAAGCAAGTTACAGCAGGAGCCAGCGTGCAAAACTTCTCAAAGTCAAGGCGCACAAAGCCGATTTCTAGCTTATCGTGGCGTCTCCAGAGGTTTGTAGCGGCCTTCCTTGAGACCGACCCAGGCATTCAACAAGTCGTGTTGCCTGTTCTTGCGTGTGGAATCCGAAGCGTCCAGATCGCAGATAGCCAGGAAATCCACGCCTTCCTGCAGACCATTCAGATCGATCCCTGATGCGTCACCGACCAAGAAGTCAACCCCCTCGCGGCGCCCCCGCGGGTTCAAGTAGTCCGACCGTTTCCGGGCGATCCAGTGCGAATTTGGGCCATCCAGATAGGTGCCGTTGGAGCGGGTGGCGTTAAGCCGGGGAATGTTGGTGTAGAGCTCCCACTTCACTTCCTCCGAGCGCTCGTCAGAAAGGCGACGCATCAGGTCGGCATCGACCCCCGGGGTGCCCGTTTCCGGCACAAAAATCTGGGAGCGCAGCTTTCCCATTCCCTGTGCCCAATAGTGTGCTGCAACCGGTTCTAGAAGGCGGGCGTACGCCGGAGCATCAGTGGAGGTCGGCGTCAGCCGTATCCTGTGTAAAAACGTCCCCCCCTTATTAAAGTCAAGATGTGCAACATTTTGCCGCCCGAGTCAGCCAAGTTTTGTGCGTTGCGTAAGACAGATTTGGCCTTGGAGTCTAAGTAGCCATGTATGTTTCGCAAGTTTAGCCGCATCGTCAGAAATTGAGAACCTTGTCAATATCCTGGCCCGAGGATTACAAATTCCGAAACACAAACATGACTAGAAAACGCTTCTAGTGGGCCTGCGCACGAGAAGGAGCATATTGGGATTTAATTAATATAATACTAAAATGCAGATTTGCATGACAAAGATGGGGCGTAGGCCACGTTTTTACACAAGGTAGCATCTTCACTGTCGTGAAAATCTCCCGGAAGAATCTTCGGCCCATCGCCTGACATGTAGTGCACGGGATGAGAATAAGAGTGCAACACGCCAGACCCAGCGGCATCGGTTACCGTGGCAAACCGGTCGAAATAGAACCCTTGTTTCTTCGCCACCGCGTCAGTATCGAGCGCGATCACGCACTGGCGAAAATAGTCTTGTTCGATGTTAACCTCGACTTTCTGCTCCTCCGAACTCCAAAGCCCCGGCTGCAAATTGGTCAAATGCACACCAGTCGTTTCATGTATCCTACCTGTGGTGCCCTTCAGTTTTCCCGAGGAGCGGATACCTCTCAGCCGGTACTGCGACGTGTAATGGTACAGAATCTTCGGCGGTGCGAAGCTGGTGCGGTCAAAGCCCAGATTAGGGGAAAGCGGTTGGTTGTCTACATCCGACACCGCCGGCGCGTGGGGATTGCGAAACACGCGCGCGTCCGCCACGACAGGGTCCGGAACCTGATCCCAGGTGTCGTTCTTCTGGTGCATAATCAGTCGCCCGATGCGCAGCCGGGAGAAGAAAGCCGCCCAGAAAAGCACCTGAACGATCTTCCGCACCTTATTTTCCGTCATCTCAAACAGACGACCTAGTACAGCTGAGTGCCCGTGCATCCGGCCCCCACGGCCGTCCAGGTGGAACTGCGAAAACAAAAAGTCCAGCTCGCGGTGGTGAAGCCGCACCTGCAAGAAATCTTCCATTTGCGCTTTCAGGCGGTACTTCATCGCCAGGACCCGTTTTTCGGTCCAGTGAGTCGGCGAGGTCCAATTAAAATCGTCGCCGTCCCAGACGCGGTTCAGTTCGTGCTGGTAGCAGGACACGTCAAAAATACGATCTGCTCCAGTCATATGGTCTGTTTTGAATATTTCGAAAAAGTACCGAATCAGACCGTTTTTGTCCCTGACGCTTTTATCCGGGCTTCCTGCCGTGCTCCACGCATCCTTCCGGTTCCTTTTCGGGTTGGTCAACCCGAGGTGGATCCGATCTTTCGTGATGTTCTCCGAAAAGTGATGCACCAACGTCTCCGTGGCCGCTGTTTCCAACCGCTTTTTCAAAGTCGCTTTTCCCGCGTCGGTCCCCTCCTCCGCGATGAACACGTCTCCTTCCTCCAACAGATCGAAGTGGTTCCCCGGGAGTGTTTCCTTCCACGGGTCGTTTTCGAACTGCGAATACTTCAAGTAGTTGAAGTACTCAACCTGCTTTTTTCCGAGCAGGTCCGGCACTTGCTTCGTGCGCTGGGCTTCGTCCAGGACAAAAATCGTCTCGCCGGTGCTCGAGTCGTAGCTCAGCGGCACGTGACTGGGCTGCGCCACAGCCGCCTGCCCGGGCACCCACGGGGCCGGGGGCGGGGGGCCAGGCGGGCTAAACATCGGCAACGGTGGATTATTATTGTTGTTGTTATTATTGTTGTTAGTGTTGTTGTTATTGTTAGTGTTGTTGTTATTGTTATTGTTATTGTTATTGTTGCTGCCAAGGCCGCCACCTGTAGGAAGTAGAAGATTGCAGTAGAATAAAGTCTAAAGCAAACAACAAGTACACCAACGCGATCATCGGGAACTAAGTCTCGAAAAAAAATCACATGCAGTAAATTCTATAATTTCATCTTGATACAAAACCGTCGAGGGGAAGACGAAGAGGCGGCGGCGATATAAGGAAGATTCAAGATGGTATTGGAGAATGATCAATGGCTCTAACAGAAGATGATCCGTTCGGTGGCTGAACAGTCAAAGAAAAAGATAGGCGACCAACAAGATTTTTATACCATTTCCCGGTCCTGCGCCGGTACCTACTCCGCCTGTTCCCACCGGTTGAGCCTGGTACGATTCCTGGGCGACGTATGAGGGTACAAAACTCCTCCCCTCGTCCCTCATTGATTTCTTATGCAGAACCAGCACGACAATGAATGGCAAAATGAAATGAACGTCCTGCAGGACAAGCCTATGCCCCCTCTGCATAGATCGTAATATTAAACTTCTGTTTCGGGTGTTGCAGTTGCAAAAATTTAGAACGTAAGATAGTGCCAAAAGGCAACAGCTGGAGTTCTGTTTTTGCATTCGAAGTGAGGGGGAGGAGGAACTGTGAACGTTCATACGGCATTATTCGTGTGCACGACCCACATCACCACGCCGGCGGTAATTCCACCCACGACGAGCAGCACCACCGCTACAATCAAAATCACCACCCCCGCAGAGCTATCCTGTGCAAAATCTAAATCGTAGTCGTACTGATTTTAATTGGTGCAACCATGCATGACACATTTTTTGTCTTTGAAATTTTTCTTTCAGCGTGACGATGACAATACAAAGATCGAGATAGAGATGCTTGAAAATAAAAATGCTATATGCAGTTTCTGCAAAAAAGCAAAAGTACGCTAGGAGATTTGCAACAATGCATAAGAGCACCCGGACGACGGTGGCGGGCTTGAGTCGTCATCAAATTGAACTTCCGTGTACGCGGGGTTCTGCCGGTGCGGAATTTGGTGGTACTGCACCGGGGCAGGAGCAGCAGCCACCGGCGTCTGCAGGTGCGCCGGGCCGCCTTGCTGGACCGACGTCACATGGTGCGGCTGGGCGTAGTACTGCTGGTGTTGGTGTGCGACGACCTGTTGCGGCGGCTGCTGGTAATTGCTGTTGATGCACTGTGGCTGGTGGTGGGTCACTACAGGTTGTCCACCAGCCATGGCTGCTGGTCCGGATCCAGGCATCACTCCTGCATTCGGCTGGTGAACATAACGTGGCGGTGCGGGCGCTGGTGGTTGAGCAGACAGGACCTGCTGCTGCTGCTGCTGCACACCCACGTTGACTGGGACGGCGGCAGGGGTCAGCGACGTCGGCGCGGCTGCAGCAGTATTGCTGGCCACACGGGGTGGAGCTGCAGCTGCGTTAGTCGGATCAGCAATGGTACTGGCCGTAATCGGCGGTGGAGGTGGCGCGTCCGACGACATTGTTACTTAATATTTCTGTGAAGCGACGTAGCAAAAAAGATAAACTTTAGAATCAAATAAACGCGATAGTACGACTTAGTATGTACAGTAAACAGGGATTATAATCTGTGTAAGTAGTAGAGAAGTGCAGAATGATACAACCAATGTCGGTATGGTACACAAGTTCAAGAGATGATGGAAAAGATAAATGCGGATAAAAAAGGAAACGTAGTCCTAGTCGAGCCTTGTTCTAGAAAAAGTTCTAGAAGAAAACCGCTGCAGAGGGGCGGGGCAATAGAAGAGCAATATTGGCGTGAGTGTAGAAGGCTAATATTAAGCGGAGCCAGATCATCGAAGTGGAACTCCAGAATTGTTTCTCCAAGCTCCCATCGGGTCGCAACATGATAAGACGAGGAAATTGCCAATAGAGCGCTTGTGGCAGGTTTTGTATGATGGGGATCGTCCGCACTATGCTGCATTGAGCATCAACTTCAACACCTGGCGCAGGCACTCATTTAGACCTGGCCACCGCCTTATGCAGGAGGACGACGAAGAGATCGTTTGCGAATCACGAGAAGATTAGTGCTGTCTGCTCCTCAATTATCGACGTGGATAGGATCTCATCATCATCATCTTAAAGATGGCATCTTCTTCTTCAAAGATCGTTTCTGCGAAAATAAGCAGTGCAAATCACCATACTGAGGCAAATGAAACTCCACAGATCTTCCGGATCAGAGCAAATAGATCGTGTTGTCGCGCAGTCTCACGCCTTGCATGCTTACCGATTGCATCATATCGGATCACATTCGCAAGACCAAGACAAAATGAGAACAATCGGTGACGATTTTAGAAAGTGCGCAAAGCTGTGCAGCCTCGACGACACGAAGAGGACAACAAAGTGCTGAAGATGATGTTGAACTGTTACAACTACGACCGGGAATTGCCAGTAAAAGACTGACAGGCACTTGGGGTTTTCCCGTTTTCCTTGCGGTCAAAGTCATAGCTCGTTTTCCTTGCTATAAACGGTCCGTGGTTCTATTTAGTACAGTGGTACCAGTAGACATAGTTCGTGTACTGGCAAAAATTGAATTTGAAATCCACATGGGTGTGCGCAATTACATTGGTGTAAGCACAGAAGTCGTAGTAAGAGTTGTCGACGCAGCTGCTGCTTTTGATGTTGTACAGTGTCTGGTGCGAAAGTTTCGCGGCGAAGCTCAAATTCGAAAGTAGAGTACAAATCAACAGAAACGATCCAGAAAAAATTTTATCAGGCACGCATCAAGAGGATGGCGCAATTTTCTATTTTGCATTTCTCATTGGGCTTTCAATAGAAGTCGAATTTCAACATCAACATCTCGAACGGAATGTAGCATTTCGAAAAAGCTTAGCAGTAAATACTCATGATTGCAGTACAACTTCACCTTTTAAAAACTGAAACAAATCATACAGACACGACTGTGCCGAACTGAGTGCAATCAACGTTCTTAGCGCTAACTTTCAAACTTTCAATTGTCTGGTGATATTTCACAAACTGAAAACTGATGAGCTGCACTCGCCATCGCCTTGCTGCTGGAGGGATATGCATTGCCATCGCAAACGTGTCTGGGTCTGGAAAATTGCAAGGCTAGCTTGCAAGAGAAACAGAAGAACTGTCATGCGCGTTGAGCTAGAGCCCAATATATTTGCCGTCTTCTTCTTCGTTGAGACAGACCCCCTGCGGTCGTCCTCACGGTGTCATCCTGGCCCTCGACCGTTTATCATGCAACAAGGCCCTTTATCATGCGATTTACCGAAGACGTGGTCGCTGCTCGCAAACTTCTTGTCATACATACCTATTATTCTTCGAGGGTGCTTTCTTATCAGTCACATCTCATTCGCATCACAGCTTTCGAGATCCAGACGCATTTGCGATGGATAGGCGATCTAATTCTGTACAACTTGAAAGAGTTCCAATGTATGTGGTTTTTATCTTTTGCAGGGGTAGGAAATTGACAGCAATTACGCTGCAGCTGAAGATGTGACGCGAGACGGGCGAATAGATCTGTTATATATTTTGCGATTCCGATTTCTTTTTCTATACTGTTTTTCACTCGTTTGAGTTGTCTTTCAAGTTCAACCAGGGGCGCCATGCATTAGAGACAAGGAAATTATGATGAACTTGGAAACATTTTTTGATGGGAATAACTTTATTCGCACTACAAATTATACAAACTCAGGTCTAGTACCTGCTAGCTTCGAACAGCCTTAGTTGTATCTTCCCTGCTTGTCATCGAGCTTGTCCTCGTTTCATGATCAAACTTCGCAGGAGCGCAAACGAAAAGATCAGACAGAAGTCAGCGGCTGGCCTCGTCGAGCGGCAGCTCGTCTTGCGACGGGGCATCGGTGTCCTGGTCTTCGGGAAGCGCTTGGACTGCGGTCGTCTTGCTGGTGAAGGAATGCTGCGGGAAGGTCTTAGCGGCGCTGTTGGCTTGGTCTTGGCGCCGCTGAAAAAATGCTGAGGCATGCTCCCACCTGGTGCGCTTTCCGTCTTTGGACATGTAGTACACCCCCGCATCTGGATTGTCATTGCGCCCTTTCCGAAAAAGGGCAAGGACACGCTCTTTTTCGTCCAGCTCGGCGCGGCGGTTGTGATCTGTATTCCGCGAAAGTCTCTTAACAAAAATGAAAATGCGTGTTTTCACGTACTAGCTGCGCATGACAGGTTTTTCCTGTAATGCAAATACGAATTTGTGATACAGTTACACTTACACACTTTTTTTCTTCTATCTTTTCTTCATACTAAAAAATCAAAATTACACACCCCAAGAAAGCGGGTAGACGCTCGCGGTAGCTACGCTAACAGACAATTTTACCTGCGTCCCCGCTCTGCTCGGAGAAGATAGGCCTGTAGGGCTTGCCACGCCTGGTCGGCGTGAAAACGGCATGCTTGCCATCGTTTCCAACCCACACGCGCTCATCTGCAAGTTTTTAAATACTTATTTTCCTCCGTGCTCAGTGATTGATTGAAGTTTGTGAGGCGGCAACAAGACTAAGACGAGCGCCAATGCGTTCTATGACTCCTCGTCCTCCTACCGTGGGGCCCTGTTGGGTTGCATAAATCCAAAAGGGGGGCGGGCGATACAAAAACAGCACAGCAGCGTCGGCAGCTCGGGGGGGAGGCCATGAAGCTGGCGGGGGCCCGGGGCCCAGAAGGAACCTAGCTACCGCGGCCCCGATCGCGGCACATTCGGCACAAGACCGCCCCGGCTCTTCGGCGTCTCACTCTCTCTCTCTCTCTCTCTCTCGCTCCGCGGCCCTCCCAGGAAGCTTCTTTGCGTCGTCCCCGGCAGCTAGGCACCCAGATAGCCGGCAACAGCTCACTTAGGAAAAAAGGACAAAACACCGCCCCCAGGACTGGGGGGCGCCAAAACACTCACGGGCCCGGGCAGGTCGGCGGTGACTGCCTCACGTAAAAAACCGAGCGGGGGCGCGGGCCGCGGCCAAAGAAACTCTCCGGGGCGCAAAGCACTAGCGGCGGCCGCTGAGTTTCGAAAAACCAAAAGCTAGCCGCGTCGGCCTCACGCCGCGCGGCCGCCCCGCGCACAGTGCCAGCGGCCGGACACGGCCCGGCCGATCTCGAAGGCGGCGGCCGCAGCCACCGCTGCACGCGGAGGTCCCTGCAATCTTTTCCGCCAGCTGGCCGCCGCCCTGTCGTACTTTGCTTTTCTCTTTGCACCGGATAATTTTCGAATGCATCTAAGCGCCGTAATTTCCGTAAGCAGCAGCTTTTTTGAACGCCAAAGTTTTTGTGCGTTTACATTTCAATCGCCTACAGAGTCCGCACATTTTGCGCACGAGTTTTCTCATGTCAGCCAAGAACTTTTTGTATTTGAAACAGGAGAAAGGTTCAAGTTTTTCGCTCGCAAACTTATCGCGATCCAGACACAAATTTTTCATCACCAAACCTCGCAGGCCGCGCGCGGCCTGGAGCGAGCAGCCTGACAGCCAGTCTGCGACTGCAGCCAGGTCGCAGCCTGGCAGCCCGTGCCTGTCGCGCAGCAGCTTGCACCTTGTTTCCTTTGTCAGAACGGCGCGGATATGCGAAAACGCAAGAACTGCAATCTAGTGCACGGTCTCTTTTGACAAGTTCCTTCGTTCAGCAACACCAGAATCAATCAACATCAACAACGATAAAGCAAAGGTTATCATATATTGATAGTCATATCTACAATTTTATCGCAAGACTCACGAATAGTTCAATTCCGTGAATAGTTCAAATTGAATAGTTCAATTTTGTGAATAGTTCAAATTGAATAGTTCAATTTCGCGAATAGTTCAAATTGAATAGTTCAACTCCATGAATAATTCAAATTTAATAACTCAACTTCAACTCAAATCTCAATCTGAGTCACAGTCTGAATCTTAAATCTTCCTGCCTCGATCTCAAATCTTAAGAAATCTTAAATCGATCTAAGATGATCTATCAAATCCTATTCCAATCTCAAATCTTATTTCAATCTCATATCTTAAAAAATCTTAACTATCAAATCTTATCTCAATCTCAAATCTTAAAAAAATCTTAAATCTTAAACTCATCGCAGGCCATCTATG